CTTTAGGGTGAGGAAGAAGGGGCAAGGAAGGGCAGGGAGGTTGTTGCAAGGATCAAAGACAGACGGACCTTTAAAAACATTGACATGCGGACTTAGTTCCAGAGTCAAGGCTGACTTACTGAGTTCCTCTGACTTACTGAGTTCCTGTGAAGCCAGTTCCATGGCCAAAGCGAGGTCCCCGTCCATCTCCTCCTCCTGTTCCGTCCCCACATCACCTTCATCATCTTTGTACCCTTTACTAGCATCATCGTTATCAATTTCGTTGTTGTCAAAACCATCCGCTTGCTCTGCTGCAACATCTGCTTGCCTTCCGCTCATCCATTCCTGTCCCTGCTCCCTCCCCTGCTCCCTCCCCTGCTCCCTCCCCTGCTCCCTCCCCTGCTCCCTCCCCTGCTCCCTCCCCTGCTCCCTCCCCTGCTCCCTTTCCTGCTCCCTCTCCTGTCTCTGCTCCCTCTCCCTCTCCCTCTCCCTCTCCCTCTCCCTCTCCCTCTCCCTCTCCCTCTCCCTCTCCTTCTCCTGCTCCCTCTCCCTCTCTCCCTCTGCCATCTGTAGCACCAGCCTTCGGTTCGGCACAGGTGGAGAAGCAGCAAATAGGTCAGGGGACAAAGCACGCGCAGGTAATGCAATGTGTGGTGAAACCAGTATAGCAGGGGAAGCACCTGATGAATCATCAACACACATAAACCCAGGAGTTTCCAACAGAACCCCAGGCGATTTTGACGTAACTCCAGGAGATTTCAACATACTCTCAGGCGATTTACACATGACTCCAGGAGGTTCCGAATCATCCACGACAGTGCCAAGGCCAGAAGCAGGGAGGTCCCCTCTAGGTGACAAGGGAGACAAAACACGATGTGACTGTAACGAGGGGTGCATGGGAGTTGAATGTAACGATGGGTTCACCCACAGGGCATCCTGTGGCGACACAGTAAGCGTGTTCCCTGCATCATAGCCACCAGGAGAAGCGGTGTTCCCTGCCTGGATGTGACTGCACGCGAGTGTGACTTCAGCGGGGTCTGATAACGACCTGGTGAGGGGATTGGGTTCAGGGGCAGCGCCAGGGCCAATCCATGGGCTGGATTGAGTTTGAATGGGGGGGATGGACGGGCTGGATTGTCTTTCAAGGGGCGGCAGGGGCGGGTTGGATTGACTGTCAGGAGGGCCAATCAACGGGCTTGATTGATCACTGGAGCTGGATAGTACATTCGGCTCAGCAAGCAAATGGACCGACGCTGCCTGCCCTGCTGCTGCTGCTGCTGCTGCTGCTGCTGCTGCTGCTGGTGCTGCTGCTACCACTGTTGGCCCTGCTACAACTGCTGCTTGTGCTGCTGGTCCTGCTGCTGCTGCTGCTGGTGCTGCTGTTGCTGCAGGTGCTGCGGGATCCCTGACTGCATCCTTCCCCTCTAGTTCCCGTGCGCGCACCACGGGAGACAGCCACCGCATGGGCGAAACTCCCCTGCCTGGGGACCGTCCTTTGCCTGCCTGAAACCCCTTTGCTGGCGAAGTCCCCTTTGCTGGCGAATTCCCTCTTCCTTGCAGCGGATTCCCTGACCCAGGCGAATTTCGCCGGGCAGAAGGGGACAAGCCCTTGCTAGCCCTCCCATGTCCAGGTGCATCCCCCCTGGACAGCCTCCCTGTCACGCCCTCTCCTCTCCCAGGCAGGGTTGGGAACAGGCCCCGGAGCCAATCCTCCGCGCCTCCCAACCACGACCCTGCTGCCGAACCCGAACCTGCGGAACCCGAACCTGCTGCTTCGGATTCGGCTTCCTTGAGAAACTCCTCCTGTAGCGCCGCTGCTATGGCGTGATCGTCTGAATCTGCTGTAAGAGCTTCGGGTTGGATCGACGCCTGAGATGCATCCTCTACTCTGCTCTTCTCCTTCGTTTGTTTTGCAAGGTGCTCCTCCTCCTGTAGCGCTGCTGCTATGGCGTGATCATCTGAGACTGTTGCAGGAGCTTCTGGTTGGGACGACGGTTGGGATTCAGAATCTGCTTCACTGCTGTTCCCCTCCGTTTTCGCTGCAACATACTCCTTCTGTAGCGCTGCAGCTATGGCGTGATCTTCGGAAACAGGCTCAGAGGGGACTTTACGGTCTTGATGAAGCGACGATCTCGCTTCCGCTGCTTCATACTCCTCCTGCAGAGCAGCGGCAATGGCATGATCGTCAATGTCAATGCCAATGTCGCTGCAATCTCTTGTATTCGACCTGTCGTCGGCAGCACCACTACTATCGTTCCTACACCGTCTCTCGTCGCGAGCAGCCGGGACTGCAGCAGTGAGGGATCGCCGTTGGGATTCTTGAACCATGGTGACGTCAGCGGAGGGTTGCACGACTGGGGTAAGTGAAGGATTGGGATATCGTGCGATAAATGGAGGTTGGAAGTACGGTTCTTGACGCCGATGGATGGGAACGGCTTCAGTGGACGATCCTACGTAGAGCGGATTAAAGACTGGAGATACGGGTGCTACTATTTCACCTGGCAGGACTATTTCATTCGGTAAAATCATGTCATTCGGCATGAACCGAGATGCTAGCTCATCAGCCCTAGAAGCGGTGTAGTTTTCTGAGGACTGATGGTATGCTTCCTCTACAAGATTCGCATTCCCACACCATTCCTCATAATCGTTCCGAGGCACCATCTATGTCAATGCTAAAAGTGCTAGTTCGCAAACCATGGATACGGCGTCTGTTCCTACATTCAAAGCTAACGCTGCCAGTGACGTAATTTACAGCACGATAGCTTGGCTGTCAAGTCAGACGGAAATGAAGGATGGTGGTACTGTAGTGAAGGAATCCGGCCGAGCTGGTGGTACGAGATTCTAGATTCTAGAAGGATGTTCAGTGATTTGCTGTGATTGGGAAGGAATCCGGCCGAGCTGTAAAAAGTCGTAATCGCTCCCGTGCGTTAAAACAATTGAAACGTTTGTGCATTATGTGAGTTCTTGGCATGCTTTCCTAACCTGAAGGGTGCGACGGGAAGGCGACGGTTTGCCGCGCGAAGCACACTACCGAAAACGTGCCGAACCAGATTGAACAACTTTTAGTTTCGGTTGGGTTGGCTTAGAAGCGGCGAAAAGGCTTTCCAGGAACTTCCTTGAAGGACGCCTGCAATTTTGCAGGCCGAAATGGCGTCAGCGACACGCAAAGGATCCTCGCGCGGCGTGTGTCAGCTCCACCAACGAATGTCAGCATGGTAACTAATGCGACAGAATCTGCGAGCTGAGGACACGAGAAAGGTTTCTTAGCTGCTGTTGTCACTCAATCGCCACACGAATAAGCTTGATTTCGCTTGTCGCCAACGCCTCCCTCCACATCCTCAATGGCTGAAGCTCGTCTGCCTGATGACAGACAACCGTTGGAAACCTCTACCCTCAGAAATATTATTTCACTAGCAGCAGAATCCCCTCAGCTGAGCCATAGTGGATTCCCCATGGTAGGCTAGTGAATTTCCGTCTGCTAGGTCATTATGACACCCCCTCTGAACAGCGATCGTGTAACCTGCTGACTGGGGCGGCACCCCGATAGCTAGGCTATCGTAGAAACCCGTCTGCTCGGTATCAGAAAAGTCCTGTAAATCCCTCCCTACTGACATCCTAGCCTTGTTGTTCCTCCAATTTATCGGGCTCTGAAATCTCCTGATTCTACGTTTTAAAATCCTTCGATTCGTTAGGTTCAAGGATGCCATCGTTTGGACTCAGATCCAGCTCCGAAGGCAAGCTTTGTTTTCTTCCTTACTGATTTTTGTCCGTTTTGCGAAATTGGTTGTCTGGTTTTCCATATATAAATCGGGCATGTTTCTCTGCGTTCTTGGGTTGAGTATTCCCCTTTCACATTCGTTGGCTTATTCTGGTTTGCTCTCCTTTCGTTCATTTAGATCTCCTGGTACGACTTCATGCATCGTTCTTTTTCAAAAGAATGGATCGTTATATCAAATTTGCGTGGTTGTTCCCCTTCGCGTGCTTCTTTGTTGTGTGAACAGAGCCGGCTTCACTAGAATCTGACGTGGCACCACAGCATGCCAGAGTCAGCTTGAGTCAAATACAGTCAGATCTGGTCAAATCCGACTCCGAAGCTCCTGAAAGTCCGCTGGAACCAGCTTCTGCTTCTCAAGATGCAATCGGTAATGTTTCTGTTTTTCTAAGAGATTCAAATGTCCAGCTTCCATATCTATTTCGTTGCATGATGCATCAGCCAACCATTTTGAGTCTGAAATATTTTTATAATGATATTACCACTGAAGCCAGCTTTGGTGCCTTGTCTCCTGTTTGCACCCAACGCCAGCTGAGCACCCAACGCTGCCACCTGTAGTGCAACAGCAGCAGCAGCAGCAGCAGCAGCAGCAGCAGCAGCAGCAGCAGCAGCAGCAACAGCGATCACCAGGAGCAAAGCTTGACCCAGTCCTTAGCTCCTGGCAGCAGCAGCAGGAGACACAGCCAAAGGGAAAGGATCGAGAACAATGGAGCATTCGTCCGAATTCTCAGTCAGCTCCTGCACCTTCATCAGCTCCATCAGTCGCCTCAGCCCAGTCGTCACCTGCAGCCCTGTCAAACCTTTCACCCCCTTGTCCCCTTTCAAGCACCAATCAACCTCCACCTGCGTTCCCATATCCAGCTGTTCATCCTGCAGCAAATGCTCAACCTGCTGAAACCGAGTCAGCCACTGTCGAGTCAGGGGTGCCTATGTTGGTGGTGGACGACAGTGAGGGGAGGCTGGAGCTGTGGGGGGTGGGATCAGAGGGGTCATCTTCAGGGGCGCGTGTGTCCCGTGTGGTGGCGAATCTCTCTCGCGTTTACCGCTTCGCTGTGGAACGGAGCATGAGCCAGACGGTTCAGCTGCAGCCGAATCAGCTGCAGCCGTATCAGCAGCAGCAGCAGCAGCAGCAGCAGCAGCAGCAGCAGCAGCAGCGTGGAGCTTATCAGCAGCACGGGAAGGATAGGAGTGGGCAGAGGATGGTTGGCCGTGGAAGTGCCACTTCTGCAGAAGCAAATGAACACCAAGCGAGTTGCGGTTCTAGCCGCGTTACCAGCCATGTTACAAGCCATGCTGCGAGGCAGGTTACCAGCTGTGGCGAAGAGGAGGGCAGCTGGGAGGATCTGGTCGCTAGTGAGGCAGCAGAAACGGCAGGGAATTTGGAGTCGGCACTTCTTGACCTGTCGGAGTCTTTGCTGCTCTTCCTGCCTCAGACTGAAGGGATGGGAGTGACTGGGGGAATTGGAGAAACTGCTGCTGCGTCTTCTCCTTCTCCCCCGCTTCCTCCTCCCCCGTTGGCCTCTCTGCACTCGCCTCACGCTCTGGAATCCGATTTTATTAAGCAAGAGGGTGATTCTCCTCGTGCGCCTCCTCCACCTCATCTCCCTCCGCACCCTCACCACCCTCCTCCCACTCACCACCCTCCTCCCCTTCACCACCCTCCTCCCCCTCACCACCCTCCTCCCCCTCACCACCCTCCTCCCCCTCACCACCCTCCTCCCCCTCACCACCCTCCTCCCCCTCACCACCCTCCCCCTCCTCACCACCCTCCTCCCCCTCACCACCCTCCTTCCCCTCACCACCCTTCTCCTCCTCACCACCCTCCCCCTCCTCATCACCCTCCCCCTCCTCATCACCCTCCCCCTCCTCATCACCCTCCCCCTCCTCATCACCCTCCCCCTCACCATCCTCCTCCACATCAACCCCCCCCTCAGCACCCTCCTCCGCACAACCCTCATTCTCCTCACCCTCTCGATCCTCCCCCTCACCATCCTCACCCCGCTCACGACCCCTATCCCCACCACCACCCATATGAGCATCATTACTTCTCCCCTCCACATTTCCACCACTACGCTCCTCCTCCTCCTCCTCTTCAGGCCCATCCCCCTCATCCTGCAGATGCGGAAGCGTCCACCTCATCCCCTCCCCCTCCCTCTCCGCATCTCAATGCTCAACCGGTCAAGGAAAATGAGGGGGAAGGTGGTACTGAAGTGAGTTTTGAGACGCCGCGAGTGGAACTTTCACCTCATGGCCTTCATTCCACTGCTTCTCAGCCAGTTAAGGAAAATGGAGGGGAAGGTGGTCCTGAAGTGAGTTTCGGGGTGGCTCAAGTGTCATCCTCACCACATGACCTTTCTTCAACTTCTTCTCAGCCAGTGGAGGCAAACGAGTGGGAGGGTAGTCCTGGGGAGAAGCAGGATGAGAGGGGGGAGAAGGGGGAAAGGGAGAAGCAGGAGAGGGGAGAGAAGGGGGAGATGGAGGAGAGGGACGAGAGGGACGAGAGGGACGAGAGGGACGAGAGGGTGGAGATGGAGGGGAGGGTGGAGATGGGGGAGAGGGAAGAGAGGAAGCAGAGGGAGAAGGCAGAGATAAAGGAAAGGGAAGAGATTGAAGAAAGAGAAGAGAGGGAGGAAGGGGAGGAAAGGATGGAAAGGGATTCAGAAACGAGCAAAGAAGCTGGGAGGCTAACAGGAATGCTGGGGGGTGGGGAATGGGAATGCATTCCTAGGGGCGATGCTTGAGGCGCCTCATCAGTCACAGGAGTGCTGGCAAGTGGACAGTGATCCTGGAAGCAGTTTCTGATCTGCCGCAGAAATTTCGGGAGCGCTGGCGAGTGGTGCTTCAAATAGGTGCTCCAAAGAGTCACAGGGGTGCTGTGCTGGCGAGTGGACAGTCAAGCCTGGAAGCAGTTTCTCAGGTGCCTCAAAAATCTCGGGAGTGGTGGCCAGTGGAAGGTATCCTTGCTGGAGTCAGATCTGATTCAGCAGGGGCACGGGAGGAGTTTGGGAGGAACTGAGGAGAATGGGGCCTGGTTTTGAAGTGGAGTCGGGTTCAAGACATGTGTGCTTGTTCGGGCAGGGCATGGGGGGAGCGTGGAGGCAGGCTTGTGCCTCCATTCTCAAACCCGGTCCTGGCCGGTCCTGGCTGAGGTGGGGGAGAGCAGGAGCACGCAGGCGTGTCCTGTTCTGTTTCGAGAATCCGGTTCTGGCTCGGGCAGAGAAGAAGTGACGTGGAGAGGGGGGGCAGACAGTGTGGGGGGAGGAGGAGGCAGAGCATGGTGGATTTGCGATTCATATTGAGGGTGACCTGACGATCCACTTTCTGTCAGTACAGTTGGTGCACAGGAGGGAAGGGCGTCACCAGATGGTGAAAACATAGTGGATGAACTGGATAGTTAGAATTGGTGGTTAATAGGCAATCGACATTTGTGTGAGTGTAAATATATGGCAGGTCTGGGTCTAGCTGTTCGTTGCTCCCGTAAATAGCATTGCATGTTAGAAGTGATTGGGGTGCACAATGGAACCAAGGAAGGGCATGAACTTCAGACGATGGGTTCTCAAAGGTGGTGTTCTCCAGGCACTGGCGGAGGGGGAGCAAGGGGAAATAGGAATCTTCCCCCTTCTGCGTTTTTTGGGTCGACACGTCGATCAGCCGGTAAAACCGTGCCGAGCCACCAATTTGCCACCCGAACCAAAACGAAGGTAAGTGCCAACAGAACGCTTATTTACCCTCAGGGATGTGCCCCCTTGGAAGCTGCACATTTACCCTCCCCACCTTCCTCCTCAGGCAAATTTTGCCTCCCTTGCCTTGCCTTTCGGCAACCACTCTTCACGGGGAAGTGGGACAGCCAGTGAAGAGAGGAGCTGGAGGAGGGAACAACGACGTTCTACCCGTGAAACTAAAGGCTGTTTGACTTTTTACCCCACACACGCGCAAGAACCAGGAAAAAAAACCACGTCCCCTTCTTAGTGCTTACGGTTGGGAATATGGTTTGTTCCCGGTGATGTGTTTTTTTTTTTAGGAGGAGTCACCCTGGCTTTTGTTTGTAACCCTTCTTGCCTGTTAGCGCCAAATGCGATACCCCCGTTTCTGGACCAGGAAAACGTACCCACAGGTTCTTCATTTACTGTCGGAGCCTTCCCCCCCTCGCGCCCGAAATTTCCCTTCTTCGGCTGTAGCGGGAGGTGGAGAAAGCGAGCCCCGAAACACCCTCGGAACCATCATCATTTACATTCGCTCCCCCCTCTCCCCCCCTGGCAGGAGTCACCAGAACACCACCAAAGAGGTGTGTTGTTTTTTTCAACAGATGTGCATGTGATGCACACATCATTCTATTGACTCCTGTATGTGATGTAGTCGGTTGTGGCAAAAAACAAAGAAAACTCCCTTTAACACGTGAATAGGTTACAAGAGGAATTTCTAGATACAGCTCCGTAACAGCATTATGGTCCGGCTAAACTCTTCAGGTACTTTTTTCGTTCGTCCTGCTAACGAAAGCCAGGTGAAGCTCTCTCGTCTGGGGAAAGTGCCACCACACCTCCCAGATTTCGAGCCGATCAGGCATGCAGAAGTGATCCTCCGCAAGCCTCAGCTTGGTTTGGGTCCAAACCAAAGCCATAGCCCGAAAACTGCCAAACAATCAAACCAACCAACCAACCAACCAACCAACCAACCAACCAACCAACCAACCAACCAACCAACCAATCTGCCTCCCAAACCTGGCGACCTTGTGCTTCCAGGTTTCCTGGAGAACCGAACCGGACCTCCCAGACCCAAAAGCCCCAAACCAGAGACCCGCCGAACATTCATCTGGCCTGGGAACTTCTTCTGCTTCTCTCCCCGCTCTTCCGCCTTCTCCGCCTGCCATACTTGAGTCTTCAGCATTCTGCACGGCACTATTCGGCATTCTGCGCCACTCTCCCGCCATTATTCACTCTCCCGGGGCATTGTTCATTTTTCTGAGCCCCTTCGTTCCCTGTCGCTTCTGCCCTGACCTCAGTCGCTGCCAATCACTGTTGACCCCTAATGTTTCCATTCCGAACCAAGCCTACAAGAGACAGCAGACGTCGCACACACTTCAAGTCCTTCGGAAGGACGTGTCGCACAAGTTCAGATTGCTAGCGAGGTCAGTGGGAATACTTCGTCGCTGCATTCATGCGAGTTGAAACCGCATACAGCAGTCAAACAAACGGTTGGCGAAGCCCGATGTAACGGTCGCACATCGTCGCACTCTAATAACTGTCGTGAATTGGGATTTGCCTTGTTCGTGACGACCTGGATTTTGCCTCAGTCGCCGTCACTCACTACGCCTTTACGCCCACGCAAGCCGAACCACTACGCAAGACGAACCACTACGCAAGACGAACCACAACATTCCCAAACCGTCAAAATCACAACCTGTGTATCACACGCTTGATAGGTTCTGCTGTAGGGATTTTTGGCATGCGAGCGAGCAGCAGCAATTTTCGGGATTTACGGCGGGCACCTTCTGTGCTTGAATTCGGCAGACGCTAAAATTAGGGTTTGCTCCTACCTGCGCGCCACATGTCGAATCCGTCCAGACTCAGACCACCACAATTTCCAACAATCCGCGTTTTCAGAAGTATTATCAACTAATAACTTATTGACGTCGACGGTAACGATGCCGTTACCGAAAGGGAGTGACGGACGTGCCGGCCGTCCACCTAACCGGCCGAGCATGAAAATTCTCCTTCCGTCAGACTCGTTCGTGTTGAAACGTGCTGCGGCGGCAGCTGCCGCTGCAGCAGCTGCTGCGGCCGAGGCAGTTGATACTCATCTGGAAGTTCCCCCAGAGTTCGTATGTCCGCTGTCGTTACAACTCATGTCCGACCCAGCGATCGTTGCATCTGGTCAGACGTACGAACGGGCCGCCATCCAGCGATGGTTCGACGAAGGTCACACGACCTGCCCAAAAACTGGCGATCGGCTAGAGCATACGCATCTTCTATCGAACCAGGCTTTAAGAGATTTGATTTCTTCTTGGTGTGACAGAAACGGGGTCACACCCGGTTTAGTCACTACTCTGGTCCCCGGAGCAGATTTCGGGCCATCGTCTGCCGGAATTCCCGCAAGTTCCGCGGGAGGCGATGGCGGAAGCGGGAGCGCGCGCGGAAGGGGGAGCGGGTTCTGGTCGGAAGGCGCAATGAGCGAGGATGAAGGGCGCACTAGCAGCGCCAGTGGCGCGCGGAACGGCGAGAGGCCTGTGTTGCGCTCTCCCCGGGGGCGTGGGGGCGGAAGCGCAAGCGCAACTCCCACCGGCAGAGGCGGAGCGCGGATTCCCCAGTCGCCTAGAAACCCGCCGTTTGATCTCCGCTCCCGCACCCCTCCGCCAGGAAGTTTTACCGGGTTTGGGCGGGGTGGCGGAGCGGAAGGGGTGGGGGGAGTGTTGCGCGTGTCTAGCGCAGGGGAAGGCGTAGGCACAGTTTCATGGATGGAGGCTGCGCCCAGTTGGCGGAAGGGGCAGGGGGGAACGGAGTTGGGCGGAATAGCGGGTCAGGGGAACGTGCGCCTAGGCGGGTTCGGGGGAGCCGGAGGGGAACTTGCGCGTAACCGTGATGGGCGAGCGGGTTTGCGCAGAACGCACTCGGTGGAATCGAAAACCGCGATACTGGACATGTTTTTATCGGATGACGGGGAGGACGATATCGAGGATAGACTAAGACCCGCACCACAGCAGCAGCCGCTGCAGGGGCATGGGACTTTCAGTTTCGACCAATCAGGAGCGAGGGATTTTGCTGGAGGAGGCAGGAGAACCGTAGGATCTGAATCTTGGAGTGCATCCGACGACCGGGCTTTCGCGAACCTTCGGCAGCAGCAGCAGGGACAGAGCGGCGGCGGCGGCGGCCTTGCCCGGTCCGCCCTAAAGGGCATGGCGCACGCGCTCTCCCCCATGCGCGGAGGCCGCGCGGGGAACCTAAGGGCGGGAGCGGGGGGAGGCCCCGGGGGAGGTATCGGCGGAATTTCAGGCGGCGCAACGGCTGGCGGCGGACTGGGGGAAGGTCTCCGCCGAACCATCTCCCTGCAGCCCGGTGACACGTCATCCGCGCGCCAGCCAATCACAGCCTTCCACGACGTACTAGATAGCGTCCTGCTGGAAAAATCGGGCAGCGGGAGGGCGAGCGGGCGTGAGGGAGGGGGGAATGCGCGGGCGGATGGGGTCTCCGCGGGGGGGGAGGCGGGGGGAACGGGGGGGAGCAGTCGCGGAGGCGGTAGCGGAGGCGGAGGCGCTGCGTTGTCGAGGGATTTCGCTAAAAGCCCGCTCAATAGAAGCACTGCGCTGATCCCCACACGCGGAGCAGCAGCCGGCCCTAGCGATGGCAGAGATGGTGGCGGAGGGGGACTTGGCGGAGGATCGCGCGCGGGGGGAGGTCGGGGTGGAGGGGCGGGCGGAGGTTTGAGCGGGGCGCGGGGGGCGGGGGGACTGGTTCGGGGGGGGTCATTACAGCCGCAAAATCTGAGGCCCGGAAGAGGGGGCATGGGGAATGGCGGCGCCGGGCAGAATGATTTTTTGGCTGCCCTAGAAAGTTTTCATGGGGAAAGGAAGAGCGGGAGGGCAGATGGGGTGGGGAGTTCTGGAAGGGTTATGAGCGGGGGTGGAGTGCGGTTGGGAGGTATGGTCGGAGGCGGAGGAGGGAGCAACCCCAGCAGTTCTAGGGTTCAGACTCAGCAGGTGCCCCAGCGAAAGCATAAGTCTTTTGAGTTTGAATCGAGAGGAGCTCATAACGAGGATGATGAGTTCGATATAGGTACAGGCACCAGGGGCAGCGGCGGCAGGCAGCAGTTGAAGCCGAAATCGTTCGAGTTTGTGAAGCGGGGAGCTTATAGCGAGGATGACGAGTTTGATTTCGATACAAGCAGCAGCGGCAGGAGCTCCGGACGTAGCGGCAGCAGCAGCAGCGGCGGCAGCAGCAGACAGCAAGGGCAGGCGCAGGGGCAGGCGCAGGGGCAGGGCTCGGGGCTAGCAAGAGCTGGAGGTAGTAGGATGGGCGGAGTAGGCGGAGGGGGAGGGGGAGGCGGAGGGGGAGGGGGAGGCGGAGCGGGGGGGGGGGACAACAGGGGGAGCGAGAGGTGGGGGAGGCGGGATGGGGAATCCCATGAACATGGCCGCTGGATTCGGCAAGGCGATTGGCGGAGGGCTCAAAAAGGCGGGCGCTACAGTGGGAGATGGGTTACGTAGAGTCTCCACTGTAGCCCCTGCGTCCTCGTCAATGGATGATCCGTTAGGGCAGTCGTTTCACGAGGTGGTGAGGCAGCTTAAAGCGGGGATGGGGAAGGTGGTGCAGGGGGGGCAGCAGGTGCAGCAGCAGGTGCAGGGACGGCTGCGGGGGGCGACTGCTGCTGTTGGCGGTGCTGCTGCTAGCAGCTCTCCCCAAAAAGCAGCAGCAGCTTCAGCAGCACCAGCAGCAGCAGCAGGGGTTAAGAAATCCAGTAGCACGGGAGGCTCAGCTGCGGAGTTGATAGGTCTCGCTAGCACATACCCTCCTCGCGGCTCCTCTTCCGCTGCTACAGCTGGCACTGCTGCAGCAGGGGGTGCTACAGCCGCTACAGCCGGCGCTACTGCTGTAACTAGTCCCCCAGACTCATCCGGGCAGGAGCGCACCTCCCGCCTCTTTCTGGGTCCCATCAGCCCCGGCAGCAGCAGCGACAGCAGCAGCGGATTCAGCAGCAGCGGGGGGGGAGGCCTGGATTTCCCCAGCCCTAGGGTCCCAGGAGGGGGCGGAGGGGGAGGCGGAGGCGGAGGGGGGAGCGGAAGCAGCGGATCTCTAGAGATCAGAAGCCCACGGGGGATCGTTTTTCTTGATGCGCGGAGCCCCCGCGGTGGTGGCGGAGGGGGGGGCTTTGGGGAAGGGGGGAGGAGGGGGCGGGTGAGGGGAGGGGGGTCGGGGGGGAGTGGGGTGGGGCCTGGGTCGAAAGGGGTGGGCGCAGGGGCGGACGGGGGAAGGGGAGGGCTGGGGCGGAAGACTGGAAGCGCAGGGAACGTGCTGGGACTGTTGGATGCGATTAGAGGAGGGGCAGGGGGAGGGGCAGGGGCAGGGGGAGGCCCAGGGGGAGCGGGAGGGGGAGGGGGAGGCGGAGCAGCAGGGGGAGGAGGGGGAGGGGGAGCGGTGGGGGAGGCAAGTGGAGGGGGCAGAGGGGGAAGGGAACGCTGGCCCTTAAGCCCTCTAGGGGGGGCGGCGCAAGACTGGGGGAGGAAAAAGGAGCACCCGGATTCTCCCCAGCGCTCTCGGCAGCAACAGCAGCAACAGCAGCAACAGCAGCAACAGCAGCAACAGCAGCAACAGCAGCAACAGCAGCAACAGCAGCAACAGCAGCAACAGCAGGATTCTACTGGAGCAACAGCAGCCTCGAAAGCTTCTGCTGCTGCTGCTGGTGCTGCTGTCGCCTCAGACAGATCAGATACAGCAGAGAACTTTCTGGTAGATGAGGTTCAGGAGTTGCTTGCAACTATCCGCTCCTCTTCCTCTTCCACCTCCACTTCCTCCTCCTCCTCCTCCTCTCAAGCCAGCAAGCCGTCCTCGTCTTCTGACCGTCAGTTGAGAGAAGCTGTGTCGTCTCTTCGATCGCTGCTCAGAAAGCAGCCTCCGGCGAAGGAAATCGCGGTGGAGTGCGGTGGAGTGCGGCTCATTGTGGATCTGCTCTCTGTCTCTGATGTGAAAATGCAGGAGCACGCAGTTTCGTGCCTGCTGCTGGTGTCTCTGGTGAAAGGGGTAGCTGGTGAGATTGCAGCGTGCAATGGGGTGCAGCAGCTAGTGAATCTTCTCCAAAGCGGCACTGTAGCTTCGAAAGAAGGCGCTGCAGCTGCGCTGTTCACTCTGTCGGTTAGCGAGTCGCTTCTTAAGGAGGTTCGGGAGAGCGGGGCGGTGCCGCTGCTGCTGGATGTGCTTAAAACGGGGTCCACTAGAGGGAGGAAAGACTCTGCCCTCGTCCTATTTAATGTATCGAGAGACCCAAAAGGGGCGTTGGAGTTGGTTGAAGCGGGGGCGGTGGAAGTGCTTTTAGAGGTGCTTGCTTATAAAGAGTCGGGGCTTGAAGAGAAAGCAATGGCAGTGCTGGCAAATATCTGCCGGTTGAAAGAAGGGCGGGCTAGACTTGTAGCAGCAGACGGAAAAGGCTGGACCAGCGGTGGTAGTAGTGGTGGGAGTGGCAATGGTGGCAGTGGTGGCAGTGGTAGGAATGGTGCTACTGGTGGTGGTGTGGGTGATGCTGTTGCAGTACTGGTTGATGTTGTTGCGAGTGGCTCGCCAAGGGCTCAAGAGGACGCTATTATGACCCTACTGCTGCTGGCTACTGGGGGCCATTTGAGGGGAGGTGGCGATGGGGATAGTGGTGATGTCGACGGGGAGGAGGACGGGGAGGGGTTGGGAAGGAGGATGGTGGAGGAAGGGGTTTTGCCGGCTTTGGAGAAGTTGTTACGAAGTGATGTTTGCTCGGGGAGAGCGAAGGCAAAAGCTCAAGCGCTGGTTGATGTTTTGGAGGGTGCCGATGACGCAAATGGTTGAATATGCCTTCTCCTCACATTGCTTTTGTGCAATAAACCATGGTTCGCATGTGTTTTTACCCACCGGATATGAAACAAGAATGATGTTCTTCTCACTATTATCGGTTTCAGAAGATTCCATTAGCAGAGCCATGTACTCCAGTAGTAAGCATTACCACAGTAATTGACATGCCTTACTGCTTTTCATGCTATAACAACAGATACTATTATACAATAGACTGGCTGTTTTTGTGTGGATCGTCCATAATTCAAAGTCGTTTCTGGTAATGTTTAGCCGAATCATTCATTCTTGTTACGAATCTCGGTCCTCGTTATCCACAGCGCGGCCAACAAAGTCTGCTAGTGTGTTGAAGCTGCAGCATCAGACAACAACGCTATGGCCCAAACCAAAGCCTAGAGCTGCTTCTTGGGAAATTGGAGACATTTGATTTTTGTCTTGCGGAACTGTTGCTTGTCACGGGAAGTGACCAAGGATTGATGATGGCTTCTTGCTGCGCTGGCCATCAATTGGGGTGCTCACACATGCATTCGTCCGAAACAGGATGCAGCAGCAGGTCGGTGCGGGGTGGGGACTGGCGAGCGCTGACCTTTTGTGGTTGCGACCGTCTCACTCGAGATTTCCTTGTTTGGATCCGCCGGGAGCAGCACTGGAAAGTACGTTGCGCAGTTCTATGTTTTGCAATTACCCTCAGTAAATGTTACGACATGAAAAAACGTACAGAGTTGTCCATGCCCGAGCATTGCATTGATGTTGTTTAATGGACTGACAAAATAGGAGAAAAGGTCAAGAAGTTTTAACAAGGATGTATAAGAGTCGGACAGTGTAGCGCTAGGTCCATCGATTCGGTTTCTTTGGGCAGGTGTGGGCTACCCTACCCATCTAACAATGCACAGCAACCACGCTGAGCCACCACTTGCCTGTCGGCAGCGCAGAAACATTAAATCTGGAAAGCTGTCAATGACACGCAACCCAGTACACCTTTTTGCGGATTGTGTTTCGGAGTTCAGAAATGTATTTTATGAGGTGAACGCCGTAGTATTGTGAACGTAAGATTAGTGATCTCAGTTACAGCAAGAAATAATTTATTCGATGGATAGCCCCACCAGATTTCAACCCAAGTTCGAATGGTAGCGCCGCGGCAGGCAATCGGCAGTCTGTCCAATGGTATTTGCCGTAAAACGCTCGATTATGAGACAAAACAAGGTAAGTATTTGTATCGAACAACTGCAAGACTTCATGAATACACCCTCTTCCGCGCTACACTATCATTGGCTATACTGGTTAATCGGATGTACACACATCAATGCGTCCAGGATGGTCCCAGAACGTACCATATAAGCACGTTTGCCGCACTCAGCCGTACGAAAAAACAAGGTTTCTTATTTAAACCGTTGTGTACCTGTCACCGGGAGAGCATTTGCCAGCCACTTACCTGGGAGTTCGGATGTAACACCTTTTTAAGCACCAACTTGCTAGGTTCCAAGCAAAAGTACGCGCTGTATCCCAAAAAAGGTGTAGAGCTGCTGTATTCCCTGCAGTGCAGTCATTCACGGAGACAATTTTTACAACTGATGACGAATAGTGAATCCATTCATTTCCCTGCCGTTGCTGCTGGAAAACTGCAGTGTACAGTAACTCCCAAAGTGACACGCCAAAACTGTCCTTTCGTCTACGGTCGATGAACTTGAAGCATGGCAGTGAGCGCGCCCAGTCCTGCAACCGAGTCCTGTCTTGTCGTGCAATGTGGCTGCCCAACTATCTGTTTGGGGTCTGTTGGGAAAACAGAAATAAACCGAGTCCTGTCTTGTCGTGCCATGTGGCTGCCCAACTAAACCCCCGCTGGCATGTTGGATGACGAGCTCGGAGGAAATTGTTTGGCGTGGATCGCATGGCATGGCAAGGCAAGGTCCTAGATGTACAGTTCCCCCGTACGGACGAGCACCAGAGGAGGTTTAATTGTTCTGCCCGCTGTCTGTAAGGACGTGGGCCCAATTGACTTTGATCGGATCGGATCGGATCGGGTCGGGTCGGGTCGGATTGCTTGTGATAGCTTTGCTTGCGCCGCCCGATCAAAGCTGAATTTCCTTGGAAATTCCAAGCTCTCGCATGACAAGCGTGACCCCATTACCTGGTAGTTGCATACCACCTTTGGCGGGACTGGCGAGCCCAATGTATCATGGTAATGTCGCAAACATCGCAATGCACACTAAGAGTGCTCTTGAACATGCAGTTCTCGCCGGTCTGCATGTATGAGCGAGGGATTTTCGATATCTCAAGGCGAGTATGTAACTTTTTTGCCTGCGTCGCCCAGGTACCCAATCACGAGCAATCAAGTGATCGTCTTTGATTGGGTCTGATCGAGTTTGATCGGGCTGTTTCAGACGGTTGATCGAGTTGGAGCAATCAGTTGATCGCGATCAGCTGATTGCCCCTGATTGCCTGAAATTGGCTTCCCGACTTCCTGGAAAATATTGATCGCCTTTGATCGAGCTGATCAAAATCGGATAGGCCCACATCCTAAGTGTAATTCATTAGCGCACTACACTATCCGGACTTTCACGCGATTTTCATTGGCTAAATCCACTCTCCCCAAGAGGTGAGGATGGCTTAGAGAAAAGAGAAGCCAATGTGATCCCCGCAAAGAAAAAAGAGACCTTCCTCAGCTTTCCGAACCGGTGGTGCAAGGGCATGTAAAATTGTAACGACGAAGGGATGATAGACCATTTGTGCAGTTCTGGTGACTGCGAGGTGTTTAGGGCTACATACACGGTTTGACCGAATGGTATTTTTCGATAAAAAAATTGACGCACTGCATTTTGGGACCATCCTGAAGTGGTCCAGCTAGTTAGCTGGTTCACTTCCGAAAGATGAGGTCCCGGGATCAAATCCCCCCTGCGGCGTATACAGCCAGCCCCCGCTAAAGGGGGCTACACTGGTGCTCATCTGGGAGTGGATACAACAACCTCTGATACCCAGCGAGGCGTGTAAACAAATGGGTAGGCGGGTTACGACCGACGGCCGGATAATACCAAAGGGGGGTTCCCTTGAAACCTTTACCTCACCTTTTCTACATTTTCTGACCTACGTAGACTTGTATCCTCAGCAAGGGGTACCTTTGAATTTGCCGAAACTTACTGTTTTGTTAAACACCATAGTTTAGGCTTGCTATCCTCTTGTATTCTACATCCCGTTCGAATGCAGTAAAAGGACTAATTTTTTCGCTTTCAACTATGTCGATGGTTTGTGGCAGATGCCCCAAGTGCTGGCAAAATTTGTGGCAGGGATCGCTTACGCGTTACACCTATTCGCAGTCGCTGGAAACGCGCAATGGGCGGAATATCGGCTGGTCGTTACAAAGTTACACGCCCTAAGACCTGACAGAGTGTTCTTTCTGGGCTGATCTTAACGGCAGCTCCTCCAAACCTCTGGTTCAGCGTTGGTGATGGGGGAATGCGCCCAGTCAGCTCGGAAAGTACCGAGTTCAAAAATCTATGTGAACAAAAAATGCATTCAATTGCCCAAACCTAAGGACGTGGCCCAGACCGCTTCTGATTGCCTCGATCAGAAGCGATCAATAACTTCCAGGAAGCCCCAAGGCCAATTTTAGGCAATCGGGGGCAATCAGCTGATCGCGATCAGCTGATCGCCCCATCTCGATCAACCGCCTCAATCACCCCAATCAAAATCACACACAATCACGCACGATCAGTTGATTGCGTTGGGTTGCACCCCTATGCGACGCCAGCGAAAAGTTATAGTGTTCGTCTGGGTTTCGAGTAGCCCTCGCCGTCACTGTGCTGTCTCTATCTGCGAAATCACTGTGATGGGTTTCCAAGTCAGAAGTTTCTGGAGCCATCGTAGCTTTGCTGTCTCCCTTTGCGAAATTACAGGGTGATACAGGTATCGCTGGAGCAGTGCTCATGCCTTTCTCTATCGCCAAATTTGGCCCGAAGCTGGTGGGAAATGTGTTTGTGCCTGCCATGCACCATCCCATCACATTCGAGGAATTTCGGCTGTGATCAGGCGGCATGCGCCGCGCGATCAAAGTCGCCCCAATCAGATCCAACCCGCGCAGATCACTGCCGATCAGAAGCGGTCTGGGCCGCGTCCTAAATTATCAGCTCCTTCTGGGAAACGGGTTGTCCCTCGGAGATTGCAGCCATTGTCAGTACAAGGCTGTGTGTTAATCCACGTCATTACTCATCACATCAAATCCGCGGACGCCAGCGGCTGTGGCGCCATCTCACGACAACATGGACAGCATGCGACTCAGGGCTGGAGGAAAACCATTTTTGCAACAAAACGAGTCGCGTGCCCCAAAGCAGCAGCCGCGTCGCGCTGCTCATAATTCTTCAGATCTAGTGTAGCATGCGTGAAATTTCTGGAAACAGTCTTGATGGCTAGCAAACAGAAGGCTGGGGGTTACAGTACTACGGCAACTGAAGCGCCAAGTGCCGAAGGCGCAACAAGGAATGCCAGCCAGGACAAGCATTTGACGACGATATGAGGCCAGCCAGCTAAACTGTGCACGGCGGCGTCATCAGAATTTGTGACCTTTGGCGTGGTGTGGCTTCGCACATGCGGTCCCGTTGGCAGCTGCCATACCTCCCGCCATCCACCTTGAACTTCTCCTCTACAGTAGAAATCACCGTCCTCATGCGAACTGTTGCCCCAATTTCAACAGCGCCCGACAAACGAAGCAAATGACGACGGCGATTTGTTATGTTGCCCCAATTTCCGTGCAGTTGGAACTCACTCACTCGCTCGCTCAGCTGTTCAGCGTATGGGACTTGACTGTTCCTACACGCATTTCTTGGGTTGGTGCACGGAGCACTGTTCTCGATTCACAGCCTGATCAGTTCAGCTTGTGATACATATGGGCGCTACTCTACTCATTTTAACATTATTTCGGGCTTCAACATCCGCAACGTTCCTGTAAGCATACTAAAAACGCTCAATTTTGCCAGACTTAGTTTGGAACCATGGCGGACACCGCAGTTCCTGCGGCTCTTCAATTGCAGTTCCTCGGCAGATCCGTTTGTTGCAAACGCAGCAGAGACCGTGACGCCGCCAACCCAATGGCGAGCCATGGCTGCTCCACCTTTTCAGACGATTCGGACCTTGACGATCTGCTCCTGGCGTTGATGACAGAGCAACAAGAGCAGGAGCGGCAGCAGCAGCACCAGCTGCTGCTGCAGCAGCAGCGACAGCAGCGCCATCACATGCGACGCCAGGTCCTGTTTCGCGCGTGCGCGACAGCGCTTATCGCGCCTACGACGACGGCTTCGCAGCGTCTAGGCGACGCGACGTGCGACGTCGCACCGTCGCTACCTAATCTGTCGTCGCACTCGACAGTTGAGTCGTCCGCAGCAGCGGGGTGCTATTTGGGACCCGCCGACATTGCACGCGCCTCCGTGCACACACCGATCCCCACAGCAGCGTCTCAGGCTGAATATTTCTACCCTCGTTCGAAACGTCCTCGTTGCGAGGAATTTGCGCATGCAGCACACGGCCGCACTCACGGAGACTTGTACCAATCGCTGCAACAAACCGGGTTTTGTCAGCAGTCAACAGCGCAGCAATCATACTCGATGCTTGCGGGCGGTTTGGACAACGGCGCGCTTTTTGCGCTGATCCAGCAAGCGGTTGCGGGGCAAGTGCGCTCTGTCGTCTCGGCGGCGCTGGAAGAAGCCGCGGGGAGCAAGCGCCGAGTGGCGGAGCTGGAGCAACAAGTATCCGCGTTACAAGCAAATCTCGCTTCAGCACACGGCCTGATTGCCGCGTCCCAGCGTACCGTTTCTTCTCTTCAACGTTCCCTTGAGAATTCCGAGCAGCAGCTTCAGCAGGAACGATTTCGCGAAGGTTCGGGAGACAGTGATGACGTGGCAGTGGGCGGGACGTGGCAAGCGGAGGGTCCTGCGGAGGATGCAGTTTCTCATTGCGACGCTGAGCCTATTTGCGCGAAAGGGTCAAATTTTGATGTTTTCCCTGCAAGCAGGTTTTCATCTGCCCCTGCAGTTCCAAACCAGATGTACAATACCTCCGAGCGTGCTCAGAATGACTCCCGCTTGAAGCACGTCTGCCGAGCCTGCAAGTTTGGCGAAGCCTCGGTGGTGCTTCTTCCCTGCAGGCACTTGGCTTTGTGCCGAGCCTGTGAGCCACGTACCGCAGCATGCCCTGCCTGTGGCGTGTCTAAGCACGCTAGTGTGCACATATCCCTTGATAACTGACAAACTTTCACAAAGTAGAACTAACCGGTAATTGATCATGGGACTACTAGACCAAATTGGCGCCCCCAGAAGGTATCATGCACGTAGGCTTGATTTGCAGCTTGTATATTGTGTTTTGGTTCTGTAAGATAAGTGAAACCGATATTTCCAACAGCATTTTTGCTTGCACTGCATTTCACTTGTGCCACTGCCGTGTGCCCTTTCCAAGACTCTTACCAAACCTTGTGTTGATCATTTTGGTTGTTGTGAAGTGTAAGTGATACCGCCAAGCTGATAATTGCACAATGCGTTATAATAGCGCGGATGGTTCCCCTCTCGTGGCTTTCGCGAAAATTGGGATGGTCGTCATCAACCCAAAAACAAGCCGTTGCCGCGAAAAGGTGTTCTGCAGGAAAACACAAGCCGCAAGGGATAGAGGAGCTGCATGGCATTGGATGAGTTGGCATGGATCATGGACGGGTCACGCGACGCGAGCAGGGGTACGATCAATGAGACAAGCGGTGGAGCGAGCCCATAAGGAAGATGTCCACTGCACGCGACTGCAGCACAATAAAAACCTCCTACTCGCGCCTCGCACTTGACGAGATGGCTTCTCAAATTGACATAGCAAAGCTGGCTTCCACCAGCTGACCGCAACAGACACAAAATTACGAACGAACTTCAAATCGAGGGCCGCAACCGCCAGCTGATTCTATACTACAATTGATGTTCACCCCATGCACGCGAATTTGCCTTGCGCCGGATGGATACGCTGCACCCGAGGTTGTTTCCCCAGCCTTATGCACCTACATTACAAGCGCGTCAAGCAGAAGAGACCGAAGTCAAGCAGAAGAGACTGAAGTCAAACTAGGTAACTAGGTAGCAGAGTCTTGTTTATAAGCACATGCGAATTCTTTTTAGCTAGCTGCGAATTGACGAAACTTATGCGAACTGCTCGTGACAGCTTATACGCCCCCTTCATAAGGCAACCGGGAGGGGCTCAAACAGGCATCAATTGTACTGTATATCAAATTGTGTATTATGCCTGACTGAGGACGGGTGACTGAGGGCCCCTTCAGGAAGGGGGCCGTTGGTCGGACCCGCCTGGGGAAAAAACCATGGGTCCCCAAAATCAGGGCTGACGAAGAAAAATTCGTCTCGCCGCGCCATGCCAATTCGCCATTGTGGACGCCGGCATGTGAGCGGAGTCAAGTAACGACAGGCAGAGTAGAGGGCAAATGCGGTCTGGCCGTCTCTTCCCCTCTGGTTTGCGGTTATGGTGACTTGCAATGTGGCAAATTGGCGAGCGTGGTTTTGCGGTTGCGGTTGAGAGATGATGAGGAAATGGAAGGTCTGATATGAAATGCTGCAACTCAATGCAAGCACATTCCAGGGCTTCTATGCGCGACACGTAGTGTGATGGGGGAGATGAGAAGATTAGACAGATGCAAAAGGAGTGATGGAATACATTGGAAAAAAACTTACGTGCAGATGTTGCTTCCAACGTGGCACAGCAGCTTGCTTTCTGTACAATCCAAGGCTGCAAAAGCCCTCTATAGGGAGCTGCTATCTTTAGGGTGCTGCTGGCTTACCTCAGGAAATGTCAAAAGTTTTGTAACACAGTTGTCAGACTGGGAGGGAGGCCCGGACTCCTCAGTGCTGTTCTTCTCCCTTAAATAGTTGAAACTGGTTTGCCTTATTCTGCACAATCGACAGCTGAAACTGGCTCCCTATCCTACACTGTTTACAGCATGTAAGTGAAGATCAAGTTGCCAGATTACCTTATAAACCAGCATAACCAACAACACCAACAGCACCAGCAACAGCAACAACACCAGCAGGCAACAGCAACAGCAGCAACAACACCAGCACCAGCAGCAACAGCAGAAATACAGTTTTCTCCCTGACGAGCCTCATTCTCACATAAGCACAGCGATGCCCTGTGCCTGCCATGGTCTCCTGTGATCCAAGAAACCAGCACCATCACTAGCAACTCCACCGATAATACCACCAGCACCAACAAGCAGCACCAGCAGCAGCACAAATTATAGCACTCTCCCTAACAAGCCTTGTTCTCTCTTCGAACAGCACTTCCCTCTGCCTGCCAATGCTCGCCCTCTCCCTTGCAAGTTTCCGGGTATTCTGTGACGTGGCTAACCTGCACCATCACTAGCAACTCCACTGATAATACCACCAGCGCCAACAAGAAGCAGCAGCGGCAGCACAAATTATAGCACTCTCCCTAACAAGCCTTGTTCTCTCTTCCCACAGCACTTCCCTCTGCCTGCCATTTCTCGCCCTCTCGCTTGCAAATTTCAGGGTAGTCTCCTGTGACGTGGCTAACCTGCACCATCAGTAGCAATACCACCGATGACACCACCAGCACCAGCACCACCAGCACCAGCACCAGCACCAGCACCACCAGCAGCAGCAGCGGCACGAATAGCAACTCTTTCCCTGACAAGCCTCATTCTCTCTTCGAACAGCGCTGCCCTCTGCCTGTCTATGCTCGCTCTCTCCCGTGCCATCAGCTGCTCCAGCCTCTCGAATTGAAGCATCTTCTTCTCCAGCTTCAAACACTGTAAACGAGGGATAAGGAGCAGGTGAGGGGTTAAGAAGGAGAGGGAAAAGAAGACAACGAAGGGAGCACTGGTCTCTGCCTGCCGATGCTCGCTCCCTCCCGTGCCATCAGCTGCTCCAGCCTCTCAAACTGAAGCATCTTCTTCTCCAGCTTCAGACACTGGGAGGGAGAGGGAGGGGGGGAGGGAGCGGATAAGTCAGCGATTTGGGAAGGGAAAAGAATGAGAAGAAAGGGGTCCATGCTCACTGCCTGTATATGCTCGCCCTCTCCCGTGCCATCAGCTGCTCCAGCCGCTCGAACTGAAGCATCTTCTTCTCCAGCTTCAAAGACTGCTATGGTGAGAGTGGGAGCGGGAACTCAGCTGTTTGAAGCTGAGTGTCAACTCACCTGTTTCGCCAACTCAGCCATGACTCGCCGCAATTCCCTCTCCTCCTCCTCCTCACCTGACTGGTTTACATGCGCCAACTCCCACCATGAACCTACCCTTCCCTTTCAACAGAGAAAACCAACCATGAAGTGAGTGCATTAGCTATGGCCGTGAGTGCAGCGGCCGTCACCTGTTTCGCCACCAGTTCAGCCATGACTCGTCGCATCTCCCCCTCCTCCTCCGCCATCAGCCTCACCTTCACCGCTGCAGCAACCATGGCCGTGGGAGCACTCTTGCGGCACCTAGCAACAAGATGTTATTCGAACTGAAGATGCAACCCCTTCAGTCAACCACCAGCTCACCTGTTTCGCCACCAACTCAGCCATCACTCGCCGCATCTCCCGCTCCTCCTCCTCCTCCGCCATAAGCCTCGCCTTCGCTGCTGCGGCAGCCATGGGCTGTGACAACAGCTGACAGCAACAATCGAAGCTGCATGTAAGAAGCAACTTCTAAAATGAGCCAACTCACCTGTTTCGCCACCAGCTCTGCCATCACCCGCCGCATCTCCCGCTCCTCCTCCTCTGCCATTAGCCGCGCCTTTACCGCTGCAGCAGCCATGGCCGTGGCAGCAGCAGCTCGAATGCGCAGCGCTGACGGCACGTCGCTCAGAGACGGAATGTGGCGTTGAAAGCCCTTGCCTCCTCCTGCTTCTCCTTCTGCTCCTCCCCCTCCTCCTCCTCCTCCTGCTTTTGCTCCTGCTGCTCCTTCTGCTTTCTCTGGTGCAACCTTTTCTTCTGCGATGGCTGCTGCTGCTGCTGCAGCTGTTGCAGTCATGCCATTCTCTTTCTCCTCTCCTTTCTCTCCCTGCTCGCCCTTCACACCCCCACCTTCCCTGCTCTTTTCCCCCTCCCTTTCAACGTCACCTCCTCCCTTCCCTTCCTCCTTCCCTTTGCTCGCTTCCTTACCACCGTCAACATCCAAGCCAGCGATCCCACCATCACCCTCTTTCTTGCTCACTACCCCACCCCCCTCCTCGTTCTGTCCCTCGTGCTCCTCTCCGTCCCTCTCCATCGGTACCTGTCCCTTATCCTCAGTAGCTTCGGCATCCCCTTTCACACCCTCTTCCCCTTTAACAGCATCCCCTTTAGCAGCATCCCCTTTAACATCACCCCTTTCAGCAGGATCCCCTTTCACGCCATCCCCTTCACGCCCAGCAGCCTTCTTATCCTCATCACCACCCTCGGAAGCAGCAGCGACAGCAGTATCACCAGCAACGCCACCAGCAGCAGCACTGCCTCCTTCCGCCAATGCTGCTTTCCCTGTCTCCGCTCCTCCCTCTTTCTCCCCTGCTCTTGCTACCACTGCATCGCCTCCTGCTGCTCCATCCGCAACCGCCTCTGAATCTGCTCCTCCCATGTCTTTCTCTCTCACTGCAATCCCCTCTTTCTCTCCCTTCGCTGCTGATTCCCCTCCTCCTCCTTCTCCTTCTCCTGCTGCTGCTGGTGCCCCTGCCCCTGCCCCTGCCCCTGCCCCTGCCCCTGCCATCGCCTCATTCCCTGCTGCTGCTGCTCTTGCCTCTTGCCCTGCAGCCACTGCCTTAGCCTCTTGCTCTGCTGCCACTGCTTTTGCCTCTTTCTCTGATGCCACTGCCTTTGCCTCTTGCTCTGCAGCCACTGCCCTCGCCTCTTCCTCAGCTGCAGCCTGGTGCAACTCAGCCAGGGCAGACGGGTCTTCAAACACAAGCGCCGCCAGAGCAGCCTGAGCAGCAGCAGCCGCCACTCGCGGCCCCGCCACACCAGATATAAACGCCACCTGAGCCATGATAGGGTTACCACTGTCGCCAAACGGGATTGGTTCGTCCAGGCCCATTACTGTTGGCTTCGGAAGCTGCTCATTAAACAGAGGCTCCAAATCCGATCCCTTTCTCTTCGTGCCTCTTCTTGACAAGTCTTTCTCTATGGCCTTGGCCTCTGTAACAGTCTCCTCTGACTTTTCAGCTGCTGCTTCTTCTCCCACGTCAGCATCTTGCATTTCCGCGTCACCCTTCTTTTCACCCACCCCACCTCCATCCCTCCCCTCCCAACCCTTCTCACCTCCCTCGCTCCGCTCAACAGCAGCAGCAGCAGCAGCAGCTGTGGCAGATACAGGTGCTTCTGGGGGAGGCGAGACTGAAGCAGGTGTGACTGAAGCAGGTGGCGCACTGATCGATTCAAACGAGTCACCCATGGGCATGCGGACAAAGTAAGCCAGACACTGCGCTCGGTCTTTCGTCTTCACGTGCCCGGCCACCTTCTCCCAGCTATCCCCAAACATCTCAATTGCTTCCAGCAACAGCAACACCTCTTCCTCACTCCACCCGCTTCCCGCAGCCACCACTGCTGCTGCTGCTGCCGCCCCCTCTGTTGCCGAACCTGCCCCTGCACCTGGAGCTCCCGGACCTCCTCCTGCTCCTGTGCTCACCGCTGCTGCAGCGGCAGCAGCTGTGGCTGCAGCAGCAGGCGCTCCTGCAGCTATAGCGGGGGTGCTCTCTATAGTCACACTCACTCGTGCTGCATCAGATGGTATAACAGGTGCCTCGACCCGCAGAAACTCGGCTAAGGACCGGGACGAAGGGACTTTCCCTTGAGAGAAACACTTGGGACAGAGATCCATGGGTGGGTGTTTAGCTGAGTGGTAACGCAACTTTGTACACTGGGTGCCACACGTGCTACAGTGCGCATCCCCCACCATTCCCAGCAGCGCCAGCTCAGCAGTTCGCACCGTTCCAGGCTTCCTGGCTCCGGCTGCTCCCAAACCTGCTCCCGAACCTACAGCTCCGGGCCAAGCGCCAGGCACGGCACCCCGAGCAAAGGTGCAGACCAGATCCGAAGCCATGAGACCCTCCTGTTTGACTGCAGGAACGGCGAGACGAGACACGCCGCCCTTTGCTGCTAATTCTGATTCCAATGGGGCGATCTCAGGCCAGGGGTTGAGAGCAGCAGAGGCGGCAGCATCAGCAACAGCATCGTCAGTAGTGGAATCTTGAACTGCTGCCACTGCTGCTGCTGCTGCAGCAGCAGCACGCCTGCGAGTGGTTAAACCAGTAGACGAAGCAGCAGCTGTTGCTGCAGCAATGGCTGCGGATGCTGCAGCAGCGGCGGATGCGCTTGCTGCTGCTGCTCCTCCTGCTCCACCCCCTCCTGGCACGTCAGCATTGATCAACCCCCATTGGTCAAGAAAATCAAACACCCGACGAATTGAGCTGACATCACCAACCAACGCCCGGCGGACACGTGTGAAAGTGAGCGGCCAATCGGAAGGCGGCATCTGGCAGTACATGGTGATAATGGCGTCTCGGTATTCCTTGTAAAGCGTGGGTGTTTTGGCGGGAGGAGGAGGAGGAAACATGGTGGCTGTGGGTGGCTGTGGTGGGGGTGGGGGGAGGAAGAACTCCGGAACCCCACGTTTTTCCAAAGGGTGGATCTTGTCCCATCGAAACCAACCTGTGTCGTTCAGAGGGGTTGAGAGAGCAAGGTTAAGAATCAAGAAAGAACTCTGGCTGTGGGTGGCTGCGGTGGTGGTGTTGGGAGGAAGAACTCTAGAACCCCACGCTTCTCCATAGGGTGTATCTTGTCCCATCTAAACCAGCCTGTGCGGTTGAGAAGGGTTGAGAGAGAAAGGTAAAAAGTCAAGAATGGATTCGAGACGAGGGCGTCATGAAGGAAGGTAGGCGGAGGAGAAAAGCTTCAGGAGCAGGCTTGGCTGAGAGGCAAAGAAACAATAATCAGCGAGGGTGCATGATCTGAAGCACGCAAGCTTACGAATAAAACCCATCCTAACCCATAGTCAACCCCCCAACCCTCCCCCTCCACCCCCCCAAAAAAGGTCGGACTTTCGTAACAAACGAATGGGCAACCAAGGTCGCAGTGGACTCACTCGCATGGCACGGAACACGATACACCTTTCGCTTCATTCCGACTGCTGCCGGAACCTTCTCCTCCCGTTTCTCCTGCCCCCCCTGCAGCTTCGCCGCTCCCTCGTCGCCCGCCGCTTCAGCGCCATCCCCCACACGATCCGTCCCACCACCCGTCCCCGCGTGCTTCGCAAGAGCATCAACATCGGTCGCGTCGTGCATCTCCCCTTCCCTAAACTCCTCTTGCTGCTGCAACTGCTGGTGGTGCCGTTGCTCCTCGTTTCTGTGGTCATGTTGCTCGTGCGCGCCGTCCTGATGGCCCGGACTGAGCTGCAACGCGTCGTCTTCGTCCGCCTCATACGCTTGTAACGCGCCTTCCATCATCATATCTTCGTCAAGATCCATTTCCTCGATAAGTGGCTTCGATCAATGGTCCTAATATATGTCCTCAATTTAATGGACCTGATAGATGGACCTGATCAATGGCCTCGATCACTATGACCTTTGCGAGATGAAGCTACACGTTTGCTGGAAGTCGTTCTTTTTTAGAGCTTGTCTTCAGGCCGTTTCAAACAGTAAATCGCAACGGAACACGCTTGTCGATACGCAGTAACTCCCTTTGACTAAGCGCAGAGCGTGGAGACCATACACGACGCTGGTGAAAACACTCGGGTGAAAACACGCTAGCAAACCTGCTGTGATTGAGTCTTTCGCTTCTCGAGCTTGTCAAGAACTAGGTTGCATGCCTCGGTATACTACTATCCAGGGGCTGTCATCCAAGTTCAATTGAAGCGTATTTGAGAACGTTTGGGTAGAACTCAAAACGAAGCCACGAACCTAAGGAACTGGATATAAGAGTAGAGGCAAATTGTAATTAACATCAGCATCATCCAAATTATCAGTTGCAGAAATTTTGTGGAGGAAGTAACCATTGCATTTTGGGGGAATCTGTTGCATTTGTTTTTTAAGAAAGTCAAATGAGCTACCCGGCCCATCCTTCAGGGGTATCCAATGAAGTCGCCAATATGCCTACCATCTCTGTCTGTACCATCTTTCTCTCAGCTCCCAACAGCTGCACCAAGACTCGAAACACGTTCGAGGAAAGCGTGCCGATAGCATGGTCGCTGATCTTGTATGCCAGGGAGAAGCTTGCAAGGAAATGATCTTGAATGCCTTTCTTCTCGTCTGCAGGGACATACACATGCCCTCCAACCCTTTCCAGAACAGTCCGGTCAGTCAAGTTGTCAAACATGAGCGATGGGGCATCTGAAATAGTAGCCACATAGCTCTCCATATTCTTGATGACAGTCTGACTGTCGCTCATGATGAAGAGGCTGTTCCAATGCATGCTCAGATTCGCTGCTGATGTCTCAATTGCATTTGTGTAGTTGCTCAATCCTCGGTATTGGTGACCATGAAGCCTCCAAAAAGGATCTGCAATGTGAAATACAAGTCAAGAGAGCAAAGAACCAGTTTTGGTGGCGTAACCTTCGCAAAGCCCTTACCTTCTTGTTCCTTGTCCGTTCGCCTGATGTGGAGAGACACCGCGGGCCTGGACCAGCCTGGATACTGCTTCAATATGTCCTTTTCAATGTCAAGAATGTGGTGCTGGGGTTGAAAGAGCCACTGGCTGATAATGGCATGGAGCATGAATGGTGCCCCCGAACCAGCAAAAAACCCTGCCAGCTCTGCGTTTCCACACTGCCGCAAAATGCGAAACGGATCATTACGCATTTGCGTCCAAAAATGTGATGGCCAGATGTCTCCACCCCATCCAGGATAAACTCCATTCATCGGTTCCAAGTATATGACCCTCTCGTTTGAGATTTCGGCCAAGCGGTCCACGTCGCACAGTCCATTGCAGGTGAAATTCCAAGATTTCCAGGAAACGGGGGAGTTGAGGTCGTCAGGGATCTTGCAAGTGGTTATATTCGGGAAGTAGCAACCAAGGTGCTTCTCATCACAGCCATCAAACGTGGCATATTCCCAGCGCTTTCCGCCGAGTCTTCGAGGAGCTGGAATCACTGTGCGATTAAGCTTCATACCAAGCGATAATGCGCGGACGAAAGACCGGAAGTTCCACATGAGACCTGCACGGGTTATTTGTTAAAGCTTCACCTGCCAAAATTGGCATCATAAAGTGTGCAACAGGTTCTTTTGTTACCGCTAACGTCGGCCTCCACGACCATAAGCTTCGCGTCATCGCATGATCGCGGATGCTGAAGCGCTGTTATGGCATCGTAGATTATCACATGAGCCGTTTCCGTCCACTGCACAGGGGACCTTTTCGCTCTTCTTGGCACTGTGACATTAACAGTCAATTTCTCTTGCAATCCACTCCCATTGTGGTTTCCTTCGGGAGGGATGAGAGCATAGCAGCTATGCTTAGACTTGAGGCCATCAGGAAGCAGACACAATGAATGGCCCTTCAAATCTAGGTTGGCCAGCTGTATTACAAAGAACGAAAAAACAGTAGCAGCGATGGTTATTAGAATTCCACACTGGCAAGGGCTGCAAGGAATGCCTTTCTCCATGGCGGCGTCAACTGAATATGGAAAACCAATCTACGTCAATAGCCTGCGAGGGTCTACTGGGGAAAGTTATGTAGGAAGGAATGGATTATCGATGGCCTACTATGATTGCATTGGCCCCTCTCAGCACACCACCTAGAAATTCCAAAATGCAGCGTGACACTTTCAAGGCAAGGGCGCAATCGCTGTACAAGCAAAGCATCGAGACATCCTTTATCCATACGGCTCTTCAAAAAATTTAATCCTGATTGTACTATGATAACAGAAGACAAATTATCCCAATCACAATGAATGCAATATACCATTTTTCTGAACACTATGCACATAAAATATTCAAATTGTATTACTGCCACGGATCTTGGGAAAGAGGTACAGGAGGGATCCGTAGCTTGGCTTTCTGTTTTGGAGGATCAGTTTGGTTTGCACTACTCAATGTAGACGCGTTGACGTTACGAGTTTTAGCTGGTGCCCGATTTGAAAGGGATGATGCTGCCATCACGGATCTTGCAGATGTGAAACCTGTATTGGGAGAAGAGGCACCACTTGCTAGCCTTGGGACCTTCTGCACGAACCAAGGAGAGAACAACAAATCATGCAGGGCAACAGGAGTGTAAGCAATGAGTGGAAATTTAAGGATCAGCCAAAATGAACCAACGCAATTCAGCGCAATTCAGATGGGTATGCGATAAGGCAAAAAGACAGCGAGTTTTAGCGAGATAGGTTGATGTCGAGGGCACGAGGGAGGGATGCCAAAAACAATGTAGACGTTTGTGACAGCATCATCCAAGGGAGAACTCCTCACAAACTGTTGTCGCAGGGATGCACATCTGCTTCTCGACACTGCGTGCTCGCGGTTCCATGCCTCCTCAACTTGGCCCATTGGCTCCATCTCGCTGGAACACGAGGGTCTCTTGTTGAGGCACCTCGAAAAAGACTCCACTCACAAATCATTGTCGCAGCGATGCCAGCCTGCTCCTCGGTGCTGGATGCTCGTGGCTATACACCTCCTCAGCCCGGCTCAATGCATCCATCTTGCTGGCAAAGGATGGTCTCTTGTCGAGGCGCCTAAGACTTACAAATTGCTGTCGCAGGGATGCTAGCCTGCTTCTCGGTGCTGCATGCTCGCAGTTATATGCTTCCTCAGCTCGGCTCATTGCGTCCATCTTGCTGGCAAACGAGGGCCTCTTGCCCATCCTCCTCTCCACTCGAGCAATCTTCTCCGATGCTTCATCCTCCCCTGGCGTTTGCAGCAGCGCAAACAGACACATGCAATTAGGTACATGATAGGCGTCAGCGTACAAAGAAGGGGTTTCGGATTAACTGAACAAACGGCGGCATGGTTAGGTGCCAATCACTCATCCAGAAGCGCCATCAGCGTGGCACATGGTTGCATGCTTTCTCACCATGAGAATGGCACATGGGCACATACCCATCACAGAGGGACATCGGCGCATACTCATCTTTATGGCATCACGGGAACATACAGTGGCACATCATGCACTCTCACCATCAGAGCTGGAGATGTTTTCCTCAGGCTCCTCCTTTAATCAGAATGACACATCGGTACATACGCATCAGGATGGCACATTCCCACATCACGTACTCTCACCATCAGAGCCAGAAATGCTATCTTCAGGCTCCTCCTCCGCATCATCATCCCTCTTCCAGAACTCGCTCTCCACCAGCTCCTTCAATTTGGAAGACAGCGGCGGCCTGCCACACATTAGCACAATGAAGAAATAAGAATCAATACAGAGGCGCAAGCTTTGAGTCCATAAAACACTCGGCCTGCGCCACATCGCTATACAGTGAGAGCAAGTTTGAGGGCGCTTCTATGAACTAGAACCATGGTCAAATACATGAACAAGAATAACAGTTCATGCTTTCATCCACCTGGCCATTTGGGACCTCTGCTGCATGCCACAAGCACCACTGTCCCCTCCCCGGCACCACTGTCCCCTCCCCAGCACCGCTTTCTCGGAGCTCCTGAAGTGCCGCCTGCTTGAGTTGAATCCAAAACCCACTCCCCCCCCCCATAACCTCTACATACCCACCTGCCCTCTGCTGCATGCCACCACCGCTGTCCCTCACAGCACCACTGTCCCCGAGCTCCTGAAGAGCCACTTGCTTCTTGAATTGACTCAAAAACAGATGTCCCCCCCCCCCCATAATTTGCACGCACCTGCCCATTTGAACTCTTTGCTGCATGCCACCATCGCTGCCCCCCACAGCACCACTCTCCCGAAGCTCTTGAAGAGCCATCTTGACAGTGTGCGGCGTCTTGCTCGCACACGCCAACGTCACCCATGTAACCTCCACATACACACCTGCCCATGTGAACTCTCTGCTGCATACCACCACCACCGCTGCCCCCCACAGCACCACTCTCCCGAAGCTCTTGCAGAGCCATCTTGACAGTGTGTGGCGTCTTGCACACATCACAGCCGCCCGCACACAGCCTCGGGGTGGCCTGGGGGAAGAGATGGACGGGAACTAAACTTTGTGGTGCGTAAAGATATGCACATGGTATGGTGGATGTCACGCGGCTTTACTGTCTTTTTAGAATCTGGTGTTGAAGCACTTGAAAGAGATACAGGTTAGGGCCTTGGGCACTTACTGTCTCTCCGAAATGCGTCAGCAGCTTCATTCGGCGGCATGACAGGAGCTCACAATAGTCCACCATCTGATGCATAGTACCAGCAAGGGAGGGCAGAAAAAGAACGGGCAAAAAAAGAATGCGCAAAACAAGAATGGGCAAAAAGAGAGGATAGCAGGGGGTTAAACGAAGAGAACTGGCAACACCACACCAAGACAAGCAGCCAACAGAAATTAAAAAGGGGCATTCAGAGCAGTTCGACCACAGCGCATTGAAGATTATCAGGACCATGATTCCATGCATTAAAGAGCGAATTAAATAAAAGCTCATGACAGAACAACCACCAAAGGCCCTTAAATCCAGCTTAAATCCAGTTGCTGAGTGGTACTGCCTAAGTAAATGCTTCTTGTGCAAACCTTTTGAAAGGCATCCAATGCGTTCTTGACTCGCTGAGGTTGTGGTGGGCCTTTACCCCGTGCACCGTCATCCTTCTTGATTATAAACTCCTGGAGAACAGCAAGAGGTGGAGATGAAGGATGAGGAATGGGGGGAAGAGATGTTGCGAGTGGCAGAGGGAAGTGCAACAGGAGAAGGTGATCGCGGGCACGGGGAGTGGTGGAGGGGGAAAGGGGGATGGGGAGGAGGAGTAATACAGGGATGAGCGACAGTGTGATACACCCCACAGCATGGCGCTCTGTTTGGTGGTTTATGCCTGCTCGGCTTAAATCAACACATCAGCAACATTTGTTTCATTGCACAGAATGATGCCCGCACTCACCATAGTTCGTCTGTCTTGCACCCCACAGTACAGAATGCTGCGGCAAGGCTGCGGGTCACTATCTGCTTTGCTTGGTCCCTGTCGCTGCTAATCCCTGCCAGTTTGGCCCGATCTCTGCCCCACTCACCATAGTCCGTCTGTCCTGCACGCCATAGTACAGAATGCTCCGGCAGGGCTGCTGGTCCCTGCCTGCTCGCCCCGACTCCTGGTAGAAGGCCTCAATGGATTTGGGGAGGGAGTAGTGGCACACCAGCCGCACTATCCCACGGTCAATGCCCTGGCGGTATGTGGGACAATTGCAGGGGACGGATTGTAAAGCGCCTGAAACCAGGGCTGTTGGCCTCTCTCTGCCTGCCCGCCCTGAGTCCTGATAGGAGGCCTCGATTGACTTGGGCAGGGAGTAGTGGCACACCAGCCGCACTATCCCACGATCAATGCCCTGCCAGTAGTGAGACAAGTGCAGGGGACGGTTTATAACACGCCTCAACCTAGGGCTGCTGCTACCTGCCTGCTCGCCCTGACTCCTGGTAGAATGCCTCGATGGACTTGGGCAGGGAGTAGTGGCAGAATGCCACGATCACTGCCCTGCAAGAGGGGAGGAAGAGTGGATGGCGAGATTTTGAAGCGGCCTGAACCAAGGACCGTGTCTCTCTCTCTTTGTCAATCTGCTCGCCCCGACTCCTGGTAAAATGCCTCGATGGACCTGGGCAGGGAGTAGTAGCACAGCCGTCGCACTATCCCACAGTCAATGCCCTCGCGAAGCGGGGAGGTGAAAGAAGAGGACAAGTGAAGTACCTCAAACCAGACGCCGTCAAATCCGGTCATTCGTGGTCAGGTAGGAGTTTGCAACGTGTCCAAGCTCTTTCTGGCTGTTGCTTCATCTTATCTTAACTGACATGGAGAGCGGGACACAAGACATGGGACCAGCCTACCATTCTCCATGGAGGCGGCTGCCTACCTTAGTTCTACCAGTTAACGGATCTGCAGGCGGCTCTACAGCAGCAGAAAAAGTGCTCTTTCTGACACTGACAGGTGAGGGTCGTTTCTGGCTTGACAGTGTTTGATCTTATCTTAACTGAATTGGTCGTGGAGAGTAGGACACTAGACATGGTGGGACCAGCTTACCATTCTGCATGGCAAAGAACAGCAGAAACAGCAGGAAGAGCAGAGAGACAGAATCGAGCAAGGGAAAAGGATGAGGAACGAATGTGGAACTGCATCAGGAGTGGAATTGCAAGAAGAAGCGTTTGACACCTTGCTTTCTATATTAATTAATGCCATAGCCGCAGAAAACAAAAGCTTGCATTGATGAGATGAATGCGCGATGTCACATGTCACATACCCAAAGGCGACAGTGGCAATCATAATGGGGATTTTCCCTCGTGACCAGTCATCCAGTGCTTCTGTGCGAGCTGCGGTGGAGAGCCCTGCATGGTACACTGCAGGGAGCAGTGGGAGTGAGAGGAGAGAAGATCATGTGGGGCACACACAGGCAAGCTATGATGGATTTGACGCGCTCAGCGTTTTGACTCTGAGTCAAAACGCTAGCGTTTTGACGCTCTTGACGCCCCCTGTCTGAGGGGTACCCCCAGTTTGACGCTCTGGCGGGCAGGCAAAAAAAATCTCGGGCAGGGGTAAAAAAAACTTGGAAACCCTAGAATGGGGTTTCCAGAGGAGAATTGTGGTGAAGTTCTAGGGGATGGGTTGGGTTGAGTAGTTTCAAAGGGGTGGAGGGTGGTTTGAGTGTTGGTTTGGTTGGGGCCTGTTTTGGGGCCTCAAAATGTCGAGTTCAACTTGGCGTGTCGCGTTTTGAGCGCAGAATTTCGATGGCGATTTTTTTTTGTATATATATTTTTTTTCGAAATCGGGCTGCCCAAAAAATTTTACCAGTAGCGTCAAGCGTCAAAACCCTTTGACGCGTCAAACGTCAAAACGCGGCGTTTTGACCCTTGACGTTTTCTGTTCTGGGCGTCAAATCCATCATAGCAGGCAAGGACAGAGCAACCTCAGCCGACCATTTTTTCCTGCGAGAGATTTCTAGAGACTCTAAAAAATGTCTCCTGCAAACTGTGCAGCTGACAGCCCTGCATGCCTAATATGCTGCAGAGAGTGTGAGAGATCAATGCAAAGACACACACAGGAAACCCATTTCCCCCTCCCCTTCCTCGCCTGCTTTCTTCACTCCTCTCCATCCCACCCAACGCCCCTCCCCTCCCGTACTTCCCTCCCTCCTCCCAGCTCACCTTTGCATTTGAGCCCATCGCGGGTGAGCCAGCAGGCCAGCTCGTCACAGGTGCTGCGGGAGTGGCAGTAGATGATCCCACACTGCTGCTTCGACGCCAGCAGGGTGTCCCGCAAGTCCTTGTACGGGTCCATGAGGTCCTTGTAGCGCACTGGGTGGGAGAAGAATTGGGTAAGGGAAGAACCTCAACAGGAGAAGGGAGCCAGCTGCCAGCAGGGTGTCCCGCAGGTCCTTGTAAGGGTCCATGATGTCCTTGTAACGCACTGGGTGGAAGTGGGGAGGGAGGAGGCGGAGGGGGGGATCTAAGCAAGGTGCCTTCGCTTGCAACAGTACGCGGTAGAGAGAGAGGAGCCATAACAGGAGGAGGAGAGAGGCAGGGTATCCCGCAAGTCCTTGTATGGGTCCATGAGGTTCTTTGTAGTGCACTGAGTGGGAGAAGGGGGACAAAGGGGATCAATGCAAGGTGGCACTGTTGCATTCAAAATAAAGAAGAAAGCAATTTCCTGCGTGCATTGACATGTATGCGGAAAGCAACATATCAGGTAAGATGAGACCACCATCGTAGTAGTTGTTGTCATTGGGAAGGCATCAAAACCCACCTTCGTAGTAGATGTTGGGTCTGTTGAAGGAGGAGATCAGGGTTGTGGGGTTGCGAAGGCAGAGAGACGACACAATGTCCTCTCGCACCCTGCACACACACCAGCCGGTACACACACCAGCCGGTACACACACCAGCGGGTACACACACTAGCCGGCACACACACCAGCCGGTACACACACCAGCCGGTACACACACCAGCCGGCACACACACCAGCCGGCACACACACCAGCCGGTACACACACCAGCCGGCACACACACCAGCCGGCACACACACCAGCCGGCACACACACCAACCAGCACATGCACCAACCAGCACACGCACCAGCCAGCACACACACCAACCAGCACACACACCAACCAGCACACACACCAACCAGCAAATACAACAACCGGCAAGCATAACAACCCACACACACACTAAATGGCAAACGTTGAAATTTGTAAAGGGAAGAAGAAAGAAGCTGTTCCATTTGACTTCGCAAAAGCCATGACACAACGAGCCATGGCAGAAAGCTATACGTAATCCGTTTTACTTACTTTGCAACAGCCGTGGCAGTGAGAGCGAGGATTGGAACGTTGGAGAACCGTTGTCGAAGAGAGGAGAGCTTACGATATGCAGGTCTGAAGTCATGCCCCCATGACGAAATGCAATGAGCCTGCACCAGAATGAGCAAACAACGTTCATGTGAGAATCGTTGAGAAGCCTTTTCTTGTGGAGCTTCCTTCAACACGCTTAGTATGGTGCGTGCCGCCCACTGCATCCAGGGACACGTTTCATAAGCAGGATTTGCGCGTACTGCAAAGAATATGAGAAGACCTCTGCCAAGATCTATTTTGGAAACCGATTAACCTCACCTCATCCACAGCGAAGAGGCTCAGCAGCCCTCTGTCGTGGAGCTTCTTGAAGACACTCATTATGGTGTGGGTGTCCACTGCCTCTGGGGTAACATACAGCAGCTTCAGTGCTGGCCGTCCATTCCCCAGATCGGCGAGAATCTGAACAGACGAGAATGGCAGTACGGTTAGGAAAGGGGAAAAAAGAGGCTAGCATGCGTGAAGCTTAAATGGATGGTGAGAAGTACGAGTTTGCAGTTACATTTGCCCGCCGTGCAGCAGAAATGGATGACGAGAGATACTCCGCAGGTATGTTCTTCTTCCTTAAAGACTCCACTTGATTCTGCATCAACGCTGCAACATCCAGGAGTGGTAAGAAGAGATCGAAGTCACGTGTCAAATTTCTTAAAGAAACACGAGCATCTCAGGAGGGTGAGGAACTGTAGCAATCCACAAAGCTTGACGTTAATTTTTGGGAGATGACGGAACCAACAGCAGCACGGGAGCACTCTTTCAGCGAGAAAGCTCCGGTTTAAAACGGGACGGAGTGAAGCGAAGAGGAATGACATGAGGCGTATGGTGCGAGGCTCGCTCACCAATGAGCGGAGAGACGACGATGACGACACCCGGTTTCATCAGCGCAGGAATTTCATAGCACAGAGACTTGCCACCTCCGGTCGGCATTATGCAGAAGCAGTCAGACCCTGAAACCGAGTAATCACTGACATATCAGGATTCAGAAGTCTCATGGCGGTTCCGTAGAGCCATTACTCGTTTTGTGGAAAAATTGGTCGCTGCGCGATGCGCTCACTAACTAGGGTAAGTACCTGATAAAACGGTTCTGATAACTTCCTCCTGATTCCCGCGAAAACTGCATCAAGACAGCAAGCGCACGGTTGACTCCGGTTTTTCAATTCTCGCATTTGCCTACAAATGAACGATGCTAACCTGACATAACCGAAGTACTTCGTCAAGACACTGACGGGATCTGACATATTTCTGTCTTCCGTCTGGACTTCTTCTCCGTTCCTTACAACATCACGATCTTCAGGAGCATTTTCCATGGCTGCTGAGTCTAGCGTCACCGTGACGCTATTTTCTTCAGTTTGTTGATGGTTGGAATCGAAAGTTCTGATTCTTTTGCTGGAGGTAGGAGCCATGAAGTCTGTGATCCGAGAGGCCTGAGCGGGAGGAGAGGGGGTTGGCTTTCGCCTAGCCATTCTGGACACCGATGACAGAATTTCGCAGCCAGAAAGTTGATACTTCTTTCAGGAGTCTTGAGATCACGAAGCCGAAGGGCATAATGCGATATCTCATTCCTGCGGTTCAAGTAGATTTCTAAACGTTTTACACCATAGTTAAAGGGTTGGGTATGGTATGAGCTGAAAGTGAAAACGCCGCGAAGCACGGCGAAGTCTATGGCGACGAGGACGAAAAGTGAGCGTCTCGCCATTCCCAAGGGAGTATCTCGCAGCGAACACGAGTCAATCTGAAACACCAGATGTTGGCTCTTAACTACAGAGGCATCAATATTTTTACTTCAAGAACATAAAAGCAAAAATACTATGCTGGTACTAATGATATTTTAATATATGTTTATTTTTCACTTCTTATTATCATGATGAAGGAAATGATATTTTACAATATATAGCTAATAGAAGCGATGTCACATTTCGTGCAATTTCTGCTGACTGTATGTGTTTTTTGTAAGGTATACGAAGCTTTCCACTGTGCTATAACGTGCGACCATGCCTCGCTGTATTCCCCCTAGAAGTCACCAGAACGCGACAAGACCAATGTAATAGACGCGGTGGCGTTATGGTAGAACAGTGAGCGTCGGCTTATGTGTACTAGGATTGGGAATGCCGATAAAGCCGTATTTCAGCCTCTAATTGGCTCGCGACTCTTGCGATCCTTCGCCAAGTCGCGAGAACTTCTGTTCCCGAAGAGCGAAGGCTTGCGCGAAAGCTTCTTGACCACTAAGACGAAATACTAACGCGGTTCAACGAACCATTGGGTTCCTACAATGAGGGGTAGGAGATCTTTCGCCTAACCTGTGGATTAGGCTATGTATGGTGTATGCTAACCTATGCTATCCTGTGCTAACTTGTCGTTTTCTAGCAGCAACCTAAGAAACCCTTGTTGGTCTCACGAGACCTTGTAGGAGGGTGGTGTTGAATGAAAGTTGGTTGGTTCAAGTACCCTCTGATCCAATCTTGCTTGCAATGCCTACTAAGTCCATTCTTGCTGTGATTTCTTGGTCTCCGATTTTTACGGATGACTTGCTTAGCTTCTCCCATAGAACAACATTCTTTGCCGGTTCGCTGCTATGGTTACCACGTAGCTCGCACCAGGCCTTGATCAAGTTACTACCAGGAAGTTAATGAAAAATGCTAATTTAGGATCCATTGCGGGTAACTATTGAGGAGTGGAAATATATACGGAGAGATTAATCACCGGAAAAGCCAGAACATTTTCCTGGTCCTTCCTAACTTAGTCGGCGATATATCATGGCTGGACCTGTCGATGCCGACTTGCCTCCGACAGCACACACTGATAAGGACTCCGTGGAAATACCTAGCCCAGAAGCGCATACTATGACGAGCGACTCCGTTGATCCAAGCGGGAGCGGCGGTAACGACGGGATTGATACACGTGGAGAGAAACGGAGGAGAAGTTTTAGTTGCGACGATTCGGACCCGCGTGAAGCCCAAACGAACGGAACAATGCGAGAAGAAGGAGAAGCCCTTGAGAACGGCGGAGCTAAGAGACCAAGGGTCACAAGTCTGGGTGAGAAGAGTCGTTCAGACGACGACCGAATCGTAACCAACGAACGGGGTAACAACGAGAGTGATACTAAGGATGGTGATAATGACGCAGATCCAGCCGTGCGAGCGGAGAATGCTAAGGGGGACTCTGACACCCCTAAACCAGAGTATACAGTATCGAAGATGCGGATAACGGGTACGACTGATGACGGTACGGTCGATGTTGATGAAGAATTCGAGAAGGTTCCTGCCACTTCGATTCTTCCTTCGACAGATGTGGATGGAAAGGGAGCAACGAATCTTGACCGTGCAGCTGCGACTGCTGGTACTAGCGGTACAGCGTCAGCTTCTAACGCGGATATTATGGCTGCCAAAGTGACAACATTCGTCAGAACTAGCACTAAGGACATCAGCTCTCCACCACGTCAGCATCTCAACGCATCTGACGGTGTCGGTTCGTCCCGTCATCCATCTGGTTCCCTTGCATTCGCCACCGCTCCTCTTACCGCAGACAAACCTCTTCGAGATGTTGACCAGAAGCTAATATCGCGTTCAAACGCTCCGCCTGCTGACATCTCGGCGCCTCCGCCTGCAGTAGCGGCGGGGAAGGGGGACGCGGGAGAGTCCGCGGAAGGGGAGAGGGAGGCGGAAGATCTGGCGGAAAGGGAAGGGGAGGCGGAGGAAGAGGTGAAGGAGAAGGCGGAAGTGGGTGTTCGGATGGGGAAGGAGGAAGCGGGGGGTTCTGCTGAAGGGAAAGAAAAGGCGGAGGAGATGGAGGAAGTGAAGGAGGGGCGAGGGGGGATGAAGGAAGAGGGAGTTGTGAAGGGAGAGCGCGCGGGGGACAGTCGCATCGAAACCGACGGTGTGTTTGGTGGTGATGCACGAGGCCAAGTAAAGAGCAGGGAGGTGGAAACGGTTACCGCCAAAGGGGAGGGTCAGGTGCAAGGAAGACAAAGGAACCAGGAGCAGCAGCAGCAGCAGAAGCAGGAGGAGGAGGGCGAGAAGCAATCACCACAGCCGTTGGCGGAGGTGGTACCAGCATATAAGGAGCAGAACGCAGGGAATCAGCAGCGCCAGGAGGAGCAGCAGGAACAGCAGCTTCCTCCGGTGGTTGAGGTGGTCTCTGCAGCGGAATTATCCCAGGAGGGACGGTCTGTCACTCTGCCACTGGACGCAGTCGTGTGCGTTGAGCCACCTGTTCCTGAATCAACTCAGAAGCTTCTACCATTGGATGCTGTTGTGTGCATTGAACCGCCTGCTTCGGGTTCAACTCAGATAGCACTCCCAGCGGACGCAGTCGTGTGCGTTGACCCGCCTGCACCCGATTCAACTCAGAAGCCAGTGCCGCTGGTTGCTGTCGTTTGCGTTGAGCCGCCGCTCGCTCTCGCACGAGGACCGATCTCCCCTGCTCTGCCCGTTGCCCCGTCTCCTTCTGCCGTGCTGCCGATTGATCCGTCTGCTGTGACCGTCGTGTCTATAGACGCTGATTTGTCCCAGCAGCCGCTGCTGCCGCCGCCACTGGCAGTGGTTGAAGTGGTTTCAAGTAAGGCTGACGGAATAGGTTCGGCTGCTGCTGTGCTTCCTGCAAGCAAGGCTCTATTGTCTACCAGTGGGATCATTAGTGTTGTGCGCGCGGGCAAGGAGGAGGATGGGAAGCAGGAGGAGGTGGTGAAGGAGGAGGAGAAACGGGGGGCGGACGAAAAGAGGTTGGGGAAGGAGCAGGCAGCGAAGAGGGAGGTGGAGCGGAGTAGGGTTGTGGAGCATGGAAAAGTGGTGGGTGAAAGTGAGCACAAGGGGGTGGTTTCTGTAGTGGAGAAGAGTGAAGAGGGGCAAGAGGGGGCTAAAAAGCGGGTTCAAAAGGAGCATGGTCCACCAGATGTGAGAGAGGGAGCTTTTTGTTGGGAGAATGCTGACAGGGGGGAGGGGCAGAAGGAGCCGGGGGATGAGGAGGAGGAGGAGAAGAAGAAGGAGAAGCACACGGAGGAGGAAAAGGAAAAGAAAGGGGTAGATGGGAGCGATGGCAAGGGAGCGTTGGTAGGGTGTTTTAGTGAAGGGGAGGAGACGCTTGACTTGACTCGACAGGGTGGTGAGAAGGTGGAGGAGAAGAGTGAAGAAGGAATTGACGACGAGAGGATGCAGGCCGGGCGTAGGAAGGGAAGGGAAGAGAGAGGTGAGAAGACCGAGGAGAGCAAGAGGACAGCTGGGGGTGATGGGAGTGGTGAGATTGAGGAGGGAATTGAGGAAGACAAGAGAGGTGTGGGCGGAGAGAGAGACATGGCGAAGGGGAAAGGCACAGAGGGTGACAAAGGGATGGGGGACAAGAGTATGGAGGCTGACAGTCAGAAGGAGGTGGTGGGTGAAGTGGAGGGGGTACGAGATGAATCTGCGAGTGGTGAGGCAGGAGGACTGGGGAAAGAGGAGAGCGGCTTGGGGAAAGAGGACGGTGCTGCTAGCGACGCTGAAGGGATGGAGGTTGATGAGAAGAGCGGAGAGGTGAAGGGAGAGGAGAATGGGGAGAGAGAGGAGGAGATGGAGGACGGGAAGGTGGAGAGGAGAGAGGAGCAAATTACGGTGGAGAAGGGAAAGGAGGGAGGGAAGGAGGAGGGACATGAGGGAGAGACGGTGGAGAAGGGAGAGGAGGGAGGGAAGGAGAAGAAGGGAGAGGATGGAGGGAAGGAGGAGAAGGGAGTGGAGGGAGGGAAGGAGGAGAAGGGAGTGGAGGAAGGGGAGAGGATGGACGGCAGAGATGCAATGAAGATCGATGAGAACAAGGGAGAGGAGAGCCACGTGGCAGAAGGGAGAGGAGAGAAGGGAAGGCGAGAAGTTGCGGAGGAGGAAGGGAATGAGAAGGGCGAACGCGAGGGTGGTAAAGGGAGGCACCAGGTCAGTTTGGCTTCGACTGAAAAAGTGAAGGAGCTTGAAGAAACGGGTTTAGCTGCAGCTAAGGATAGCTCTATACTTCCCGTTTCAGCTGCTGCAGATGCTTCTGCTGTTGCAGCTGTTGCGACTCCTGCTGCTGTTGCTCCTGGTGCGGCGGATTTAGCTGCAGGGGGTGTGGGCGGGGTTGTGGAGGGGTTAGTTACAAAGAGGAACGAGGGGAGGAAGATGCGCGAGTGGGATGAGCGGATGCGTGCATGGGATGGTATCATGCGCGCATGGCATGGCCGGATGGTGGCCTGGACTGGGGTCATGGATGCGTGGCGGGAGCACAGGAGGGAGCAGAGGAGAAAGCAGAGACGGGAACACAGGAGGCACACACGGAAGCAGGAGCAGAAGGAAGAGCAGACGGGAGATCAGAAGGAAGAGCAGAAGGGAGTACAGACAGCAGAGGAGACGGCAGATGAAACTAGGCGTGTTGCTGCTGCAAGCAGTGATTCTGGGGATGATAGTGAATCCAGTGCTAGTGACAGTAGCGACGATGATACTACTGATGTTTTGCAACTTGGGGGTACTGGTAACCCGGTTACTAGTGCCTTGGTTGCTGTCTCTGCTGCAGAGTCAGTAGCAGCTGCAGCAGCAGAAGCAGCGGCAGCAGCGGCAGCAGACGCTGCTGCAATCCTGGGGCCTGTTAGATTCGCCACAGCCGTAGACGCCGCTGCTACAGCCGCCGCTGCAGCCGGCGCTACAGCCAGTGCTACAGCCATGGCAAGAGCCGCTGCTACAGCCGGCAGCGAGTGGCAGTGGGGCATGCCTGCCGCCCTGCCCCAGCACCTACCGGCTCAGTTCCAGAAGCAACAGCTGGAGGAGTTCTGCAGGCACGCAGCAGAACAGGAGGAGAATCCCTGGGTTCCTGCTACAGCTGCTGGGGCAGCTGGGGTCGCTGGGGCTGCTGGGGTTGCTGGGGTTGCTGGGGTTGCTGGGGTTGCTGGGGTTGCTGGGGTTTCTGCGGCTGCTGGGCTTGCGGGTAAGGAGAGACCGTCTGGGATGGAGCTAGCAATAGTGCCTATGGAAACAGGCTATGAAGGGAATATTGGCTACGAGGGGGATACTGACTATGAGGGGAATGAGTTGCATGAGCATGAGCGCGCGCTAGTTGCTGCAGGAGGAGTGTATGGGGCGGGTGAGGAGCATAGAATAGGGAGTGGGGTTGTTGGTAAGGGAGGGAAGGGGTTGGGCAGGAGCAGGCGCAGGAGCAAATTGAAGGGCGTGGAGGGGAGTCCTGGGAAGAAGACCAGAGAGGACGCAGAGGCAGACGCACGGGAGCAGCAGCTTCAGGAGCAGCAGCTTCAGGAGCAGCAGCATCACCTTTACCACCACTATAACCAGCAGCAGCAAATGCAAGGCTGCATGGAATACCAAGGGCAGGAGGCACAGAATGGGAGCGCAGCAGCAGCAGCAGTAGCGCAGGGCAGTGGGAGTCACAACTCAGGAGGACATGGCCGAGGGGACGGGCATAGCAGTGGGGGGGGTGGTGTTGGCGGTGCTGGCGGTGGGGGAGGGGGAGGAGGAGGAGGAGGGGGAGGAGGAGGAGCATCGGGGGGGAATCACGGCACCAGCGGGCGCTCGTGGCATTTCTCAGGGTACCCGGGCGTGTCTCGGAACGGGAGGAAATGGTCCGCTAAGGTATCCATGAACTCCCAACAGAGGGCCCGGTACGGGGTGTGCCAGAACATGCACTGCGGGCAGTGGGAGGAGGTGGAGCAGGCAGCAGCCGCGGCCGAAGCAGCGTGTTTCGTGTTCAAGGGAGGAAAAGGGCGGACGTGGAAGTTTTTGAGTGAGCAGCAAAGGCAGGTGTTAGGGGAGATGGATCCGGATGAAGGGATGTGGTTGATCAAGGCGAAGAGGTGGAGGGAGTGGAATGTATGGCAGCCCGGGAGGACTGGGTGGGTGAAGGGGATGGGGCTGGCGGAGGGTGCGGATGGGCATGGGGTGGGGGGCGCGCAGCAGGAGGGGCAGGGGGAGGGAGAGGGGAATGAGGGGCTTGGGGTCGGGCAGGAGGCACATGAGGCGCATGAGGGGCAGGATGGGCAGGGAGACGGAGAGGGGATGGAGGGTGAACCGATGCTGCTGGAGTGGCATGAGGGGTGGGAGGGGAGGCATGGGGATGGGCAGAGGGACGAGGAGAGTGAGCAAGAGAGGGAACAACAAAGGGAGAAGGAGAAGGAGCGGGAGAGGGAGGGGAGGGAGAAGGAGAGGGAGAGGAAGAGAGAGAGGGAAAGGGAGAGCGAAAGTGAGATGGAGAAGGAGAGGGCGAAGGAGAGGGAGAAAGAGGAGAAAGTGCGGGAGAAAGAGAGGGAGAAAGAGAGGGAGAAAGAGAGGGAGAAAGAGAGGGAGAAAGAGAGGGAGAAAGAGAGGGAGAAAGAGAGGGAGAAAGAGAGGGAGCAGCAAGAGAAGTACAGACACGAGCAGGAAGACGAAGGGCAGAAGGGCAAGGAGCGAGAGCAGGATACGATTCGGGAGAAAGTGGAAAAGGAGGAACAAGAACCGCGGGGATTGAAACTCGACCTGAACGCCCAACAGCCCCTGCAGTTTTACTCCGAACCTCCTCCCACCCCGTCCCTTCCTGCTCCACCTCTTTCCACTCCTCCTTTTCCTCCTCCAGTGGTTCCATCCCCCCTTGTCGCAGCACCCCCCGCATCCCATCCAGTGCCTTTTCCCTCTTTTGTGGGATCACAACAAGGCACACCCACGCTGCAGCATCATCAACCAGTGGCGTCGATCCGAGAGCTGCTGGCCATGCCCCGCCCCTTCTCTATTCCCCCCCCTCCTGCTGCTGCCGCTGCTCCGGTGAGTCAGCAGCTGGGTCTGCCAAGTCAGCAGGACAATGTGCTGAGTCAGCAGGGTCAAAGTCAACAGCAGCTGCAGCAGCAGCAGCAGGCACAGCAGCAGGGGCCAAGTTTCGTTCTCTCCCTCCCACCTGCGTCCACCCCGCCACTGCACCCTCCTCCCCTGCACCCGTCTCTGCTCCCTCCCCCCCAGGCCTTCCTGCAACAGCATGGGGGCACTCTAGGCCTCTTTCCTCCCTTGGTTCCTCCTCCCCCTCCCGCCACTCCTGCTATTGCTGCCTCTGCTGGTGCTTCTGCTACTGTCACTACCCCTCCTCTTGCCACTACCACCACTCTCACCATACCCCCTACCGCCGCTCCCGCCCCCGCCCCTGCCTCGCCCACTCCCCCCACCCCCACCGCAACCACCCTCCCGCTCTTCTCCTCTAACGAGTCAGCTCATAACGAGGCGTGGCCGCATGAGTCGTTCAGCCAGCATCAGCGAGTGGCGAGGATAAGAGAGATGCTGGGATCGTCATTTGGTGCTCTCAAGGACAAAGGGCTGGGGGAGAGCTCTCTAGGGGTCGAATCTCTGGGTGTGGGTTCTCTGGGTGCTGCTGCTGGTGGTGGTGGTGGTGGTGGTGGTGGGTCGTTAAGTGGCGGAATGGGTTTACCATGGGGGGGAACGGAGGCGGTTGGTGGTGGTGTTGCTGCTGCTGCTGATGGCGCTGCTGCTTCCAGCATCACCCCTCCTCCTTTTTCCTCGCCCCCTCCTCCTCTGCCTCATCCTATCATCGGCTCTACTGGTCCTATTGCTACTACTACAGCTGCTGCTCCTGCTACTGCGGGCAGCAATTCACCCTTCCCTTGGTTATCTGTCCCCACGCCAGGGAGTGTGGTCCCACCTGCACATTCACCTGCTCATAACCCTGATCCGCACGCTGCTGCTGTTGCCGGTGCTACAGCTGCTGCCACAGCCGGTGGTACCACAGCAGACGGGAATTCTGCTGCTGCTGCTGCTGCTACAGACACCACCGCAGCAGCAGCAGCTGCTGCATCAAACCCAGCAAATCACGGGCCAAGACCAGCCTCAGGTTACCTCGGAGTGGTGAAGAGCGGTCGAAAGTGGGCGGTGCAACTCTCAATGAACATGAAGCAGCGAGCGAGCTACTCTGTGGGACACATTCTCAACTGCGGGGTCTGGGACGACGTGGGGGAGGCTGCAATCGCTGCAGAGGCGGCTTATCTAGTGCTGAAAGGGGAGAAGATTGAGTTTAGGCTGCTGAGTGAGGAGCAGAAGAGGAGGCTGAGACAGATGGGCCCGGATGAGGCTGTGAGGATTATTAAAGAGAGGAGGTGGAAGGTGTGGAGGGACTGGCGGCCGGGGAAGGAGGGGGATGGGACGGGATGGTTTGTGGAGGGAGGGGAGGAGAGAGAGGGGGGATGGAAGGTGGGGATGGGAGAAGGGAGGGGAGAGAGGGGCCGGGAGGAGGAGGAGGAGGAAGGGTGGGAAAGGCAGGGTGGGATGGAGGAGGAGGAAGGGAGAGGGAGGGAGAGAAGGGGGGGAATGGAGGTTGTACCTGCATATACTCCTCTCTCCCTCCTCCCTCTCAGTCCCATGCGCCATCCCTCTCATCCCTCCTCTGCCCGCTCCTCTCCTCCCTCCTCCTCGGCTCCTTCTCACTCAGAACACGCATTTCCTCCTCCAGCACCAGCAACAGCAGCAGCAACAGCAGCAGCAGCACCAGCAACAGCAGCAGCAACAGCAGCAGCAGCAGCACCAGCAACAGCAGCAGCAGCAGCAGCAACAGCAGCAGCAGCAGCAGCAGCAGCAGCAGCAAGAGAGGACAGGGCCCTCCCAGAGTCAGGTACAGGAAGGGAGAAGCAGCACGGGCAGAAGCAGCATGGTCAGAACGAGTTTGCTTCCTCCCTGTCTCTCTCCTTGAACGCTTCTCCTCCCAGCGACCATTTGAGAGGCTCTGGGAGGATAGCAAAGAGAGAGGAGGAGGAGGAAGAGATTGGGATGGTCTCAGGCATGGGGAATGAGTATCACAGACGGGAGAAGCAGAAGGGGCACGGGAGGGGGCGTCACGAGGGGGAGCAAGAGCATGGGCATGATGGCGAACCGGAGTTGAAGAGGGCTCGACGCACGCATAGCGATGAAGATGCGGCAAGCAGGGAGAATGAGGATAGCGATGCTGTCACACAGCGTGACAGAGCACAGCATGGGAGGGAGGCGCATTATCCCGATTCGTCGCAAGCTCTCGTTCTGATTGGCTCTCCGGCGCACCGACTGAGCACGCCGGAGCAGCAAAGCTCAGCGCTGAGTCACCGTGAGTCAGTGCCGGGCCGTGCTGACTCGGCGCCAGGTCAGCACGGGGTAGGGCCAGGTCATTCCTCCCTGCCACAACCCCCGGGGGAGGGCTACGCGTCTGGTTACTTTGGCGTGTTTCGTAACGGTAAGAAGTGGTCTGTGAAGGTTCCTATGGACGCTAAGCAGAGAGCCTTATACGGTGTATATCAGAAGCTACACTGCGGGCAGTGGGAGGACCTGTATGAAGCGGCAGCAGCGGCAGAGGCGGCTTATTATGTGTTTAAGGGGGAGGGGAAGAGGGAGTTTAGGTTTCTGACTGAGGAGCAGAGGGAGATGTTGAGGGATATGGGGGCGGATACTGCCGTTTGGTTGGTCCGGGAGAAAAGGTGGGCTGAATGGAAGGAGTGGAGAGGCGAGAGGGGACCTGTTCAGGCGCACTTGCCACAGCAGCATCTGCAGCAACAGCAGGAGCAACAGCAGCACCAGCAGCAGCAGCAGTAACCAACACCAGCCGCAACAGAACCAGCAGCAGCAGCAGCAACAGCAGGCTAGTCAGGGATGGTGGGAGGGGCGAAAGGAGGGTGGGCTGTTGAAAGCGAAGGAGGAGGAGAGGAAAGAAAGAGAGGGGAGTGGGAGTAGGAATTGGTTACAGCAGGGGCAGGGGCAGGGGCAGGGGCAGGGGCAAGGGGGAGGGGAGGGGTGGCAGGGGCAAGTGGGTCTGTCGCTACCCCAGCAGTGGCAACAGCAGCAGCAAACTCAGGCCCAGAATTACAATCAGAATCAGGCACACCAGCAGCAGCAGATGCAACCGCATGGTTGGTTGGGGCAGGTTCCAATGCAGCAGCAGGCTAACATAGCAGTACATCAGCAGCAGCAACAACAGCAGCAGCAGCAGCAGCAGCAGCAATGGCAGGGGCTGCAGCAGCCTCTGTCACAGCCTATGCAGCAGCAGCAGTGGCCGCAGCAACAGTGGCAGCAGGGACAGCAGCAGCAGCAGCAACAACCACAACAACAGTGGCATGAGGGACAGCAGCAACAGCAATCACAGCAACAGCAGCAACAGCAGCAACAGCAGCAGCAGGGGCAGCAGCAGCAACAGCAGCAGCAGCAACAGCAGCAGCAGCAGCAGGGGCAGCAGCAGCAGCCACTATCCCTGGTTCCACTGCCCAACCCACACGAGTCCCCTCTGTCCCTCATCCCTCCCACTGCTGCCCCATCTGCCCCTCATGCAGCCAAGAGCACACCTACAAGTGCAGACGAGAGGGACCTAGCAGAAGGAGAGGAGGGTGAAACTGCTGCTGGTGGTGGTGCTGCTGGTGGGGGTGGGGGCGGTGGCTCGAGTCATGTCTCCTGGGCGTCGGGGTACTATGGAGTGGCGAGAAACGGCCGGAAATGGGCAGCGAAACTTTCAATGAACGCCGACCAGAGGCAGAGGTATGCCGTGGGAAAGAGCATCCACTGCGGGCAGTATGAGGAAGTTTTGGAGGCGGCGGCGGCAGCTGAAGCGGCGAATTTCGTGTTCAAGGGAGGGAAGGGGCGGACGTTTAAGTTTCTGACGGAGCAGCAGAGGGAGGTTCTGGCTTTAATGGACCCAGATGAGGCTATGGTGATGATCAAGAATAAGACCTGGAAGGACTGGAAGGACTGGCAGCCGGGCGGAGTTGTGGTGGGGGGAGCGGTGGAGGGAGGGGGGAGCGGGGGAGGGGGAGTTGGGGGAGGAGTGGGAGGGGCGGAGGTGGGGGGAGGAGGGGGTGGGATGGTGCCTGGGGTGGGGGAGATGGGGAGTGGAGCAGGGGGGGAAGCACCGGGGGGAGTGGGAGCAGGGGGTGGTGGAGCAGGAGGGTTTGGAGGAGTAGGTTCGGGAGCAGGTTCGGGAGTAGGAGGGGTGGGAGGAGCAGCAACAGGGGGATTTCCAAGTGGGTTTGTGCATGGAAGGATGGTGGTGGGTGGTGGGATTCACGAGGAGAGAATACAGCCGGGGAGCATTCCCATGCAGCCGGGAAGCGTTGCCATGCAATCCGAAAACATTGCCATGCAATCCGGAAACATTGCCATGCAACAGGGTACTGGTGGGAATTTTCTTGCTTACCCGCCGGGAGGGGTTGTGACGAATGCACAGGGTATGGGTCAAGGTGGGGGGAGAGGAGGGGGGAATGGGAGGAGGGAGGAGGTTCAGGAGGAGGAAGAGAATTCGGATGAGGAAGAGGAGGGGACGGGAGCGAAGGAGTGGAAAGAGTATGTTTTGCGGCTTGCCATGGGAAGTGGATAAGTGATCAGGACGTATTGCAAGCCCAGATAATTGGTTGCAGTGTAACAATCTTATTTGGAGTTTATGACTAAGTGGAAATTGTGAAAGTCCTCCATAACATGTACTGTCATGCACCATATACTGATGTGTTGTCATCATTTATTACGTTTTTTTTTTTTGAATGAATGGGTGTATGGGTGACAAAATGTTCCCTTGTGCTTTCACCTATCCGCTATCCTGCCTTCGCGAATTGCTTTAGCGGCACACCCAACTCTTCGCCAATTTCCTGTCCCCAAATCCTCTCAACAGAGCCTCCTGCAGAGCTTTTTATGTAACACGAGGAGCACAACCCGAGGTGTCTCAAATAATATTTTCTGGGATGGGATGCGAGCGTTTGGGATGCGTGCGGCTTATCGAACGAGAGGTTATTACGATAAAGGAGCTAGGAAAGGAGAGGAGGACAGCGATTAGGACTGAGCGGGGACCATTTGGTAGGTGAACATGGAGCGAGAGATGGTAGAAATCAAGGTCGACCCAGGGGAGAAGAGAACGGAGATTGACATAAAACCAGAGAGATTTGAGAAGTCTAAAAAATCTTTCGCAGAGGAGATTAAGGTTGAACCCGACGAGGCCATAATGCAGCGCGGCGACGGAGACGCTGCGCCCCTCCATCCAAACCACCCCGCGCCTCGCGCTGTATCTTATGCCGAGCCTTGCGTCGTGAGGGATGCCGAGCCTAGGGGTTCGGAAATCGCCGAGCCTGGGGAGCAGCTGCGGGAGGTTCATTCCGTGGGGCTGCTGCTTGCGCCTGCGGTCGGTATTCCCAAGGCCCGGGTTAGACCAAAGCAGGAGCCTGTAGAGGAGGTGGGAAGTCATGGGAATGGGGATGAGGATGGGGATAGGCATAGGGATGGGGATGGGGATAGGCATAGGGATGGGGATGGGGATAGGCATAGGGATGGGGATGGGCATGCGGATGTGTTTTTTTCCAAGGGAAGAGAGGGAACCGCGGTGAAGAAAGAAGAGGGAGAGGAGGGGGAGATCAAAGAGGGGGAGGAAAAGGGGGAGGAAGAGGGGGAGGATGGGGAGATTGGAGAGGAGGAGGAAGAGGAGATCAATGAGGGGGAAGAAGGGGAGATCAAAGAGGGGGAGGAAGGGGAGGAGTGTCGTATGGACGGAAAACGGCATTTGGAGGCAAGTGTGCTTGTGAAAAGGGAGGAGGGGGGGGAAATGGAGGAGGAAGGAGAGGAGGAGGAAGAAGAGGAGGTGGTGATAGTGGACGAGTGGTATGAGGAGGTTGAGATGGGTGGGGAGGAGCGGAAGGAGGAGGAGGAGGAGTTGGAAGGGGAGGAGGTGATGCGAAGAGTGGAAGGAGGAGGAGGAGGAGGAGGAGGAGGAGGAGGAGGAGGAGGAGGAGGAGGAGGAGGAGGAGGAGGAGGAGGAGGAGGAGGAGGAAAAGGATTGCACACCGGTCAGCAGAGTGGTCAGCTGGTGGTGCGCGTAAAGAAAGAGGAAGAGGAGGAGCAGAGGGAAAGAGAGGAGGGAGAGATGGCACTGGTGGTGGTGCATGAAGCAAAGGAGGAGGACGGGGAGGAAAGGGGGAAAGGGAAGAGAGGAGAGGAAGAGGGGGAAGAGGCGGAAGAAGAGGACGAGGAGGAAGAGGGGGAAGAGGCGGAAGAAGAGACGAGGAGGAAGAGGGGGAAGAGGCGGAAGAAGAGGACGAGGAGGAAGAGGGGGAATGGAGGGATGTTACGGAGGAGAGGCAGGTGCTGGTTGTGCTGGATGGAGGGACAGGAGGGCTTGAGGTGAAGCCACAGGGCACGGAATGGGGAGCAGGGTGGGAAGAAGCAGCGTTCGCATCGGCATACTCCAATTTGGAGCGATGCTCTCGGTTCACACCTCCGCCGGCAAAGTCTCCAAACCTTCCTAAGGCTTCAAAAGCTTTCAAGGCCTTGAGTGGGAGGCAGCGAGCAACACAGAACTGCACTCCATCCTCCTCTCCCAATGGGAATCTCACTTCTTCCTCCACTCCCAATGGGAATCTCACTTCTTCCTCCTCTCCACTCCATCCTTCACAGAATCTCACTTCCCACCTCTTTTGAAAATGTCACTCCATCCCCCACCCCCCCTGGGAATCTCACTTCTTCCCCCATTCCTCATGATGCCCCACCTTCCACCCCTCCAGCAAAGTCCTCCCGCTCATCGGGGTACTTTGGAGTGGTTCGGGTCGGTTCCAAGTGGTCCGTGAATCTCTTTCTCAGCCAGGCACAGCAGACCAAGTATGGTATCAGAGCATCAGCTCTCAACTGCGGGTCCTGGGAGGAAGGGGAGCTTCTAGAAGCGGCCGCAGCAGCCGAGGCGGCGTATCTGGTACTTAAGGGGGAGAGGGGTATAGAGTTTAAGATGCTGAGGGAAGGGGAGAAGGAGATGTTGAGGCGGATGGGGTGGGAGGACGCTGTGGGGATGATTAAGGGGAAGATGTGGCATTGGTGGCGGGAGTGGGGGAAGAAAGGGGAGAGAGAGGAGAGAGAAAACAAGGGAGAAGAGGGGGAGAAAGGGGAGTGCAGAGAGAAGGGGGGCGTGAGAAGGGGAGACGAAAATGGTGGGAATCAGGAAGTAGAGGTCTTGGGGTTGGACCAGAGAGTGGGAGTGGATGAGGAGAGGCCATTGCAGGAAATCATTTCAGAAGTGCCTCGAAAAGGGCCTGTGGAACCGCCTAGAGATGTTTACCACGACAAGACCCCGGTTGTTACAAAGAAAAAGCAGGCGAATTCGTCTGGTTACATAGGCGTTACAAACAACTACAATGCGTGGGCCGTGCGCGTGCCGTTGAATGCGCAGCGAAGCGCCTTATACGGGGTATGCAAGAAACTGCACTGCGGGCAGTGGGATGATCTGGAAGCAGCAGGAGCAGCAGCAGAAGCCGCTTATTTCGTGCTCATAGGGGAGAAAGAGATTCAAGAGAGGGGGATTAAGCTGCGACTTTTAACTGAGAGGCAGAAGGAGACGCTTAGGCAGATGGATCCGTTTGAAGCTGTGAGAATGATCAAGGAAAAGAAATGGAAGGATTGGATGAAATGGGCTCTGGAGGGAGTGGCGGGTGCTGCTGTGGGTTGCTCAGATGGAAGAGATGTGCCGCGAGGCAATAATAATAAGCTTGTGGGCGGCAGTGAAGTGGTTGTTGAGTCGGCGGGAAAGGCGACTCGGCTTGTGGGTGGCAGCAATGCGGTGCTGCAGCAGAGGCTAAGGTACGGGCAGTTGACTTCCCTGTTGCAGCAGCTGCCGGCGCAGGGGCACGAGCAGGAGAGGCAGCAGCAACTTGGGCATCAGCATCGTCATGAACATCAGCATCAGCACCAACTCCTGCTCACGCTTCCTGACAATTCTCCACAGCAGCAGCAGCACCAGCAGCAGCACCAACAACGGCAACTTTTGCAACAGCCACTCTCCTTGCCTTCTCCTTCTCTGCCCAGGGATTCCAAGGGAGGCACGAAGGACCTTCTGACAGGCCATTACACAATAATCAAGGTCAGCAAAGTCGGCAATCCTGAAGGATCCCGCAGAAATACCGGTACCATGAGCGGTGACGGTGATGGCACTGGTAGTGGTAGTGGTGGCACGCGTAATGGTAGCAACAGTGGTAGCAATGGTGAGAGTGACTGTTACGGTGCGAGCAAGTGGCAGGCTGTGTTGAATTTTAGTGCGCACAAGAGCATGCGTTTTGGCGTCCCGGAGCGGTTTGTTTGTGGAGAATGGGACAGCTTTCGTGAGGCAGCGGCAGCAGCGGAGGCGGCCTGTATGGCGATCAAAGGAGAGAAGAAGATTGCGTTTCAGGTACTGGGTGAAAGGGAGAGGGAGGGGTTGAGAGGGTTGAGTAGGAGTGGTGCGGTGTGGATCATACGGGAGGGGGAGTGGGGAAGGTGGAGGGAGTGGAGGGAGGTGTTACAAGAATTGATGGGAGGGAATGGGAGGAAGAGGGAGAGGGAAAGGGAGGAAAAGGGGACGGAGGATGGGGGAGGGAAGAGGAAGCGTGCTGAAAGTAGAAATGATACCTCTGTGTGCACGTCATAACACATCAACGGATCATTGTCTCTTTTTGAAATCTACCGAACATCCAATGTCACCCCATGGTACAGTAGGGGCTATGTCAAAACGGCTGTACACATAGGTTCATCACAGGGCCCACAATTACAAAGGCAGTTTGTATTGCGCCTGCTGTGCACACCTGTTGTTGGGCCAGCACATCTGCCCAATCACACTCGACTTGAAAGTGATAGTGACGCCGACGCGGAATCACAACCGTTCGTTTCGACCAGAATTTTGCCCAGTTCACATCGGCAATATTCAGGGAATTCTGACGACCCATTCCCGTCGAATTTTGAAAGCACGGTTCGGTCTGGTGAGCTACGGTCAGTAGCGGGAAACCAGAACCGTTTGTGTAACATGTGTGAACGTTCTAAACCGTGCTGGCCGATCAGCGACCAGTGCATGTTGCAAAACAAGTTCAAATCGCTCGGAAACGTAACTGACCGAATTTTTTTGCTCAGCCATTCATGCTTGCACGAGAAGCGGAAGGGCCATTCATGCTGGTTGATCTTGCTACTGCTGCTTTCTATGAAGCAGGTTGAATGGCAAAATAGCAGAACGGCGTCGAAACCTGTCCAGTCGCGTTAGGTCAAAGGTACCTTTTTTCATCTAATGCCAGCGATTGCGGATTTCTTACCCTGCTGCGGGTAGTACCTTCTTACCCTGCTTGTAGCTCGTACGAGGTGCGCTGCTAAATCTAAATAATTCGTCTGCTCTCTGAGCTTCGGCGATTGATTGGTGTAAAACATACATGTATAATTTTGCTAAAGCAGTTAAATGGCTTGAAACAGTAGGTTGGGTTGGGATGAGGCATGACTGATCAATCCTCTTACCCAACGCATCTCCAGCAACTTCCTTTCAACTGACGCTCAGCGTCATTGGCCAGCCTCCACGTGGCAGCTCCTGGTTGGCCGATCTCTCCACCAATGGACGCGAGCCACCTGAAATGGCTGCAGGGAATGGCTCTGGTGGTGGCCGTGGCTTTAATCTGGATATCCGCGAGTTACATAGTGCAGGTAAGAAAGGATACCCTATAGAGTTAGCTTGATTTGATCATCTGTGCTTCGTTGCATGGCGCTGATGCTTCAGTGCATGGATTCTTAGTGCACACACTTATATGAGTCTTATTTCTAATTATTGTATGTTTCTTTCTCTCTTCCTTATGCCCCTTACTTCCAGGCTGTAGAAGAAGGTGGTCTGGCGCCCTTTATACTCACGTACATCTGCAACTCGTTATTCGTGCTGTACATCCCCGTTGTAGAGCTCTGGTGGTACCTCTTCGGAAAGGACGAGCCTGGAAGTGGTGCTTCCTTCTCCAATAGTGGCACGGGCAGCAGAAAGGGCGATTCAAAAGGTCGTTCTGGTTGGAAAATCAGTGGCAAGAACGATGACAGTGGTGGTAACTCTGTAACCAGTATCAGTATGAGGGAGAAGAAGAAAAAGGGGGACGGGACTGGAGATGAGGAAGAAAGAGGGTTGTTGTTAGAAGGGGAGAAGGCGAGGGCATTGGGAGGCATTGAAGAGGAGGGAAAGGGAACGGGCGTTGATGAAGGGATGCTGGGGTCAATGCACGAGCGAAGGGAGGAGGGGAACGATAGGGGAGTGATGGGGGAAGAGGAGAGGGGGGAGCAGGGAAAAGGCTTTCAGGGAGGGATGCTGGGGATAGGGCATGAGCAAAGGGAGGAGGGTGGGTTGGAGGTGCAGGAGAAACAGGAGGAGGAGGCGCGGGGGGGGCGGGAGGAGGAGCAGGGGCAGCTGGGGCCGCAGGGAGCGCAGGCACAAGGAGAATTGATTGAGGCAGTTGAAGGGCAGGGAAGACAAACACGGGAGGCAGCAACGGAGCTGATTGTAGAGGGGACAGAGCCAGCGCAAGGGGGAGTAGAGGCAGTGCAAGGGGTGAAGGAACCAGGGGAGGGGGGAGTGGGGATGGAGAGAGGGGGAGGTTACCAGGAACAGCAGAGCACTGCTGAACTTCCAGGGCATGTAGGGGTGGATGATTTGACTCAGGGTGTGACTATAAAGGGGGAAGGAATTCAGATAGAAGACCTTTCGTTGCACAGTGGTAGCCCAGCTCATGCTGATGTGGACAGGAGGCCTCATGAGCTGGCAACCCGCCTTTCGCTTCATACTGCACTGACTCAATCCGCCAGCAAGGAGTCTGTCCAATCGAATTCGTCCACGTCTGCAGAGGTTCTCGCCTCCCCCTCTTTCCGCCACTGGGGTCACCGATCCTTCGATGCAGGCTCGTTCAGGCTCTGGCTCGGCAGCCCAGGCTCGGAACCGAGTCTCACACCAAACCCTTCCGAACGTAGATCCTCCCAACCTAAGCAACAAGAACGGGAAGAGAGCTTGCAGGAGGAGCAACAGCAGCAGCAGCAGCAGCGGCGGTTCACGGTCGAGCTTGAGAAAAGCTGCAGCGCCAACTGGGGTGGAAAAGTTAGCAGGGGAGGAGGCGAGGTGGACGAGGGGGCGGGTGGCGGGAGTGAGTCTGGCCATCTGCCCCGTGTGGTTCCTCGCGCAGTTCACCTTCAACCTCTCCCTCGCCTACACCAGCGTCACGGTGAGTCGTGGGGGGGGCGGGGGGGGCTCACTTAGCTAGCTGCACATCGAGCCTCGTCACCTTTGCTCTCTCCATCCATCTCCTCCCATCCAACGAGCATTTAGTTCTCTTCTCCATATCGCTGTTGAAGGGTGTTTTTGAGAATTCTCAAAAACACTCTCCTCCCATCCCACGAGCATTTAACTCTCTTCTCCATATCGCTGTTCCCTCCCTCCTCTAGCCCCATCCTGTTCCCTCCCTCCCCCGCCACCAGTCCAACACCATTCTCAGCTGCACGTCGAGCCTCTTCACCTTTGCTGCCTCTGCTCTGCTGCCATCCACCCTCAACCCCACCTTCCCCCCCATCTTCCCCTCCCCCTTCCCCTTCATCAGTCCAACACCATTCTCAGCTGCACGTCAAGCCTCTTCACCTTTGCTCTCTCCGTCTATCTCCTTCACGAGCGCTTCTGCCTTCGCAAGCTGCTCTCAGTGCTGCTCTGTGTGGCCGGCACTGTCGTTGTCGCCCTGGCAGACCAAGCCCAGGCCAGCAACACGCTAAACGCCGCTCTTAGCAACCTAAGCGCCAGCGGCGGTTTCAACAGCAGCAGTAGCAGTGGCGCAGGGCTAAGTGGCAGCGGGAATAGCACAGGTTTCGGCGCCGGTGTTGGTGGTGGGAGTGCGTTTGATGCTGCTGCGGTGGCAGAGGCGAGTGCAGCAGTGGCGAGTAACGCAAGGGAGAGTCTGTTTGGGGATGTGCTGGTTCTCATGTCAGCAGGGTTCTACGCTCTCTATACCACCATGTTACGTTCTTTCACACCTGCTGAAGGGGGGTTTGAGGAGATGGGGAGTGAGGAGGAGGGGAAGGAGGGAGAGTGGGGGGGCGAGAGAGGGGAAGGGAGAGGAGAGGAGAGGAGAGGGGAGGAGGGACGGGTGGGGTCGGGTGAAGGTTTGGAATTTGCTGTGGCTGGAGCAGGGAAGGGGAAGGAAGAGGTGAAACAGGAGGAGAAGGCGGAGGAGGGAACAGAAATAAAAGAGCATGAGGAGGAGAAGGAGGAGGTGGAGAAGGTGGGGGAAAGAGGGAAAGAAGAAGAGAAGGAAAGTGGTGGGAAAAGGAGAGGGGAATGGAAGGAAAGGGAGACATGGGAGGAGCAGGAAGGGGAGGAGGAGGAGGAGGTACCGTTCAGCATGGCGCTCATGTTTGGGTATCTGGGTCTCTTCAACCTCTTCCTGCTGGCGCCCGTGGGACTGCTGGTGCAGTGGGTGCGAGGGCAGTGGTTCGCCTGGCCCGATGCATCCCAGTGGGGTCTGGTTATTGCCAAAGGTATGCTCCCCCGCCCTTCCCTTAGAGGTACTAGTAAAGGTGGGCTGGGAGTCTCTTCAACATCTTCCTGCTCGCACCCGTGGGGCTGCTGCTGCAGTGGGTGCGAGCCCAGTGGTTCGCCTGGCCTGATGCATCCCAGTGGGGACTCGTCATTGCCCCAAGGTACGCCATGCTAGCCATTTTGAGTTGAATGCCCTTGTCCCCCATCCTCCCCCTGCTGTGCTCCCTGCTCCCTTCCCCCTCCCGGTGCTCGCCTCCCCCCTTCCCCTTCCCCCTACCCACCACACCAGGTCTGTTAGACAACGTTCTGAGTGACTACCTTTGGGCTCGAGCCGTCCTCCTCACCACCCCCACCGCTGCTACAGCCGGGCTACAGATTCAAATCCCCATCGCCCTCCCCACCACCCCACCCACTTGTGTTCCCCTTCAGGTCTGCTGGACAATGTCTTGAGTGACTACCTGTGGGCGCGCGCCGTCCTTCTCACCACCCCCACCGCCGCTACAGCCGGGCTGCAGATTCAAATCCCCATTGCCCTCACTGTAGACAGCTGGAGAGCAAACAGCCTCCCAGACACTGTTCACATGGTCGGGGCGGCGTTGGTTGTCCTGGGGTTCCTGGGGATCAATTCTTTTGTGACGTTTGATTGGCTGGGAGATGTGGGTGCTGCCGAGAGGTGGCTTTTGGATCGGTGTGTAAAGCGGTGGGAGTAGTTATTTGGGGGTTGGTGGCGGCAGTGGGTGAAATTCTACAAGGGATGGTTCACAGGGTGGTTGGGAGGAGGAGGGGTGGGGAATTGGAGGGGCTTTTGGAGAGTGAGGATGGGGGAGTAGCTGGGGCAGAATCAACTCTGGTAGGAAATAAAGTGCTTGCAAAAGCTTCGGATATTGTAGGGGAGAAAGTATCAGTGTAGTGAATTGTTGCGGCACGCTTGCTGCTGTGCTTCACTTGCGTTTATTCCTCACACCAACCAACAGGGCTAAACGATGGGTATGATACAATCCATCATGGAGAGATACAGCATGCAAAAATAGGAGCTACATGGCAGTCACAAAGCATCAAATTATGATATGAAGTGTCAGAGGTCCACTGGAGATCCCCGATTGATCCTAGGGAAGGGTTACAGCATGACGGCCTCGGGGGTTATGGGCCCACTCACCCGCTACACAAACAAGCTCTTTTATCCCAGTGGTTAGTGACTGGGATTCTGACATGGTATCAGAGCGAAGGTCTCGGGTTCGAATCCCGGTGTGTGCACCTCGGGCATCCCAGTGCGGGGGGGTGTCAGAGGTCCACTGGAGATCCCCGATTGATCCTAGGGAAGGGTTACAAGCATGGCGGCCTGGGGGGTGATGGGCGCACTCACCCGCTACACAAACAAGCCATTTTATCCCAGTGGTTAGTGACTGGGATTCTGACATGAAGCATCAAATTATGGTATGAAGCATCAAATTATGGTATGAAGCATCACATTATGATACGAAGCATCAAATTACCTGGTATGAAGCATCAAATTATGATATGAAGCATCAAATTATGATATGCAGCATCAAGTTATAATATGAAGCCCAATCCAGTCCAGTGCTATTTACAACGACACGTGGAGTTGAGTTGAACTGAAATTATGATACAGCGCCAGACTTCCCAGTCAGTTAACCATCTCCAGAGCATGATGAATTATTGAAAAGAAAAACACAACACACCGCATTGCACCGATATCACAGCGCATCACACCATACTGCGCCACATCACATCGCACCACACCACTCCACACCGTGCCGCGCCACATATCTTGTCGCATCTCGTCACATCAGGAGGATCGAAACACAGAGGGCGAAGGGAAAACGAGGCGAGCGGAAGGGGCAACAGGAGAGGAGGCTGAGGGAGGGAGGGTAGGCATGGAGGAGGCTGAGAGACAGCTGCATCAGCCTCCTCTAATACCCATATGCATGACCTCCCCCTCTTGGCCCCTCAGAGGGCTGGCGAGCAGAGGAGGAACGGTGCGAGGAGGACGGCAGGGCAAGGCGGGCAGGAGGAGCAGACGGGGCGGCGGAGGCTGAGGGAGGGAGGGCGTGACGTGCGTGGTGCTGCCATGTGCTGTCGAAGGTTGCTGCTTCCTCTGCCATGGAATGCGAACGGGAGATCAAGAGAAAGTGAGAAAAGAGATTGTGAGAACTGACAAGGAAGACAAAGAGTGAGCGACGTGCGTGGTGCTGCCATGTGCTTGTCAAAGGTTGCTGCTTCCTCTGGTGGGGCGAAAGGGGGAGGAAAGGATGGTACAGGGGGGGGGACAAGGCGTTGTGAGAACAGAGATGGGGGCGTGACGTGCGTGGGTGCTGCCATGTGGGTGATGTCCAAGGTTGCTGCTTCCTCTGGTGGAGGAGGGGGGGGGGGGGGGGGGGGGGGAGAAGAGAGAAAGGAAGCTGTGAGGATCGGGTCGGGATGGAAGTGCTGAGGTGACACATGGGAGGGCAAGATGCGAGCGTTGTGCAGAATCTCGGACGACCATACATACACACGTCCCAACACGACCAATACCTTGCACATGAACCCCCCACCTTGCGACATGCTATGCAGGATTTCGTATCTTGGGGATAGACCCCCCACCACCACCCACCGCCGCCCACCACCGCCCACCACCGCCCACCACCTCACCTTGCGACATGTCGCGCAGAACCTCGTACAACCTCTGCTGACACCTCTCAACACCACTCATACCTCGCGCACAATTTCACATCCCACCACCAACAACCCCCACCTTGTGACATGTTGTGAAGAATCTTGTATGACTTCTGCTGCAGCAATCATATCTCTATGTCAGACATACCCCTCACCACCACCCACCACCACCCACCACCCCACCTTGCGACATGTTGTGCAGAATCTCGTACGACTTCTGTTGCCCGCCCTCCCTGGTGCAGCTCAGCGTGCGCGCCTGGGGGGGGGGGGAGAGAGGGGGGGAGAGGTGGGGAGTGGTGAGGAGTGGTGAGGAGTGGTGAGGAGATGAAGAGAGTTGCTGCCCGCCCTCCCTGGTGCAGCTCAGTGTTCGCGCCTGTTGCCATATGGGGGGGGGGGAAGAGGGAAGGGGAGAGCTGCGGAGTGGTGAGGAGATGAAGAGAGTTGCTGCCTGCCCTCCCTGGTGCAGCTCAGCGTGCGCGCCTGTTGCCATATGGGAAAAGAAGAGGGAAGGAGTGGTGCGGAGTGGGAAGAGGTGAGTGGTCAGTGTGAGAGGTAAGTAGTGGTGGAGGGGGGTTGAGTCACGAGGAGTGGAGAGTGGTGAGAGATGATGAAGAGAGATGCTTCCCATCCTCCCTCCCTGGTGCAGCTCAGGGTGCGTGCCTGCCCCCCCCTGCCAGCCATTCCCCCATGCCTCTCCCCCCCCCTGCCAACCATTCCCCCATGCCTCTCCCCCCCTTGCCAGCCATTCCCCCATGCCTCTCCCCCCCTTAGCAGCCATTCCCCCATGCCAGCCTTCCCCATGCAAGCCCTTCCCATACCAGCCATCCCCCCTGCCAGTCTCCCCCCGCTACCACCTCCCCCCCTGCCAGCCCCCCACTTGCCAGCAGCCCCCCCGCTGCCAGCACCCCTCCCTGCCAGCCCCCCTCATGCCAACCCCCCCCCCCTGCCACCCCCCCCTGGCAAACCTCCCCCCCCGCCAGCTCACCTTATCGCCCAACCCCCGGGCAACTGTCATGCTCTGGCGCCCCCTCGAGTCCCGCCGCTGGTGCTGTGCCTCCACCACCTGCGGTACAGAGGGGTGAAGAGCGGTGACGCGGGGCGAGATGCAATGCCGGGGGGGATGAGAGGGCAGTGTGGATGAGGGGTGAGGGGAGTGCAGAAAAGGGGGGAAGAGGGGCGAAGAGGGGCGAAGAGGGGCGAAGAGGGGCAAAGAGGGGCGAAGAGGGGCGAGGATAGGTAGAAAGGATTCGAGTCAGCTCGAAGGTAAATGTTCTCATCAAAACTCAGCGATTGACGTGCCGGTTTTTTCGATTTACCCGCTGATCCCCGGTTAGGGGCGACTAATACACAGTGAATACCAGGCTCCGTTATAACCACAAACCCCGCAGACAGATCTGTTAAAAGAATCACTCACCCCGTTGGCAGCGATTCGGTGGGAGGACGTTTCAGGGTAGTACGTCTGCCCGCCTGTCCCTGAGTAGGTAACCGTTGAACTCTGGGAGGAAAAGGGCCTTACCTTTGAGCCGCCTCAAGAGCCACCCCACGATTCCCTGGTCCCACCCACATCTTCGTTGTAAGGCCCACTCACCCCGTTGGCAGCGATCTGATGAGAGGACGATTCAGAGTAGTACGTCTGCCCGCCTATCCCCGAGTAGGTGACCGTTGAGCTTTGGAAGGAATAGGACGCGCCGCCCCCTGCTGCTCCCCCGAGTCCCGCCAACGCGCCACCGAAGCCAGCGCCAAATCCGCCGCCTAATCCGCCACCGAAGAGGCTGAGAGCGTTGAAAGGAGACGATGATGTAACGAGGGTTTCGTGGGTGTGATTAGGCGTGGCTGTACAGAATGGGGGAAAAGAGAGCGCAAAAGAGTGGGAAGAGTCGGGGAGGAAAAGACAAACGGAGAAGGGGCGGAGAGGGGAGGACGGAAAAGGGACCGCGAGAAGGACAAAAGCTTCGCTCCGTAGCAGCGAAACGCGATGGAGAATGGAAGACAGGAGCTTTTGGTTCTGACACGCATCTGATTCAATGAATTGAAAAGGGCGTGACTGCTGCAGATGGGCGCGTTCGAAAGAGCAAGTACTGTAACACTGTCAATTATGTAACAGTGGTAACACCGTAACCAGCAGGTTACCTTGCTGCTGCGAGCTGCGACCCTGCTGCCTCGTAGAGCTCCTCCTCTGCTGCTGCTGCTGCTGCTGCTGGATAAGCCGAGTTTCTTCCCTGGGAGTACTGCTGCTGCCGCTCATACGCTTCCCTCTCCGCGTTTCCCGCATCTTCTTCCTCCTCCTCGCGTTCTCGCCTCCTCTTCCCGTCCTGCTCCTCCTCCTCTTCGTCGTCTGGAAGCTCCACTATAGGCTCTTTCGCGATATAAGCTCGGCTCCTTCGCCCTGGTCGTTCGCCGCCGGTTTCGCGATAATCCGACGGTTTCGCTCCCCTGCTGCTCGTGCTGTGGTAACCATGCGGTAACCCGGCTTCGTCGTCGTCGTGAACTTCTTGAATGGCCGGTGCAGATACGTGCTGCTGGTAACGCTGTCGGTGCTGCTGTTGCTGTTCCTGCTGCTGCTGTTGTTGCTGTTGCTGCTGCTGCTGCTGCTGCTGTTGAAGGTGCCTGTTATGATGCTCCTGTTGCTGACGCAGATGCTGCACGTAAACAAGGAAGAACACGAATGAGAAACGAGGGAGCAAGAAACAAATATATACATGCTGGAAAAATGAACTGTTCAATGCGTCTCATAGCAATATCTCCAATCCCTTTCAAAAAGAAGTTCCCTTACATGGTCGTCGAATCCGAACGGCGAAGCGGACGGCAGCATCGGTGCTTGCGGGAACATCGACCCGAACGCGCCGAAATCCCCGCCGAAAATCCCGCCGGGGATTCCGCGTCCGGCAATCCCGCCTTGACGGCCGAACATGGACCCGAAAGGATCCGTGAAGAAGGGGTCTGAGAATACGGGGTCGTTGAAAAGGCTTGGACCAAATCCGAAACCCATCCCAGCGAATGGGTCCTGACTAGGGTTCGGGAAACCGCCTTGACCTACTCCTCTACTCATCTTGGGAAAAGCGTTCTTACACGACCGCTCGTGACACGACGGAAGACACTCTTACAAATAACGTCCCAGAAACGAGGCACTCAAGAGCACTTCAACCCACAAGAAATCTACGCACAGCTCGACAACGGGGCAAGAAACCGAGAACCATGAAAGATCGATGCGCATCACATGGTATTTAATCTGTAGCAAGAAGTTAGTGCCTCACCCAAAAATTACAGGATCCGAAAATTCTTGACCCTCCAGTCCAGAAATGACGCCCATCATTGAGGTTGCCTTTCCTTTCCCGTTTACCTGTTTGCCTAACCAAACCCAAGGCCAGCCAAGCCTCCCCTCACCTCCCTGTTGCCTCATCCGAAGATTGAGATTGCGATTCGCCAGAAAAAGGGAGTTTTCGTGGCCGCGGCGAAAGTCGCCACAGGGAAATTGGAGCCTGCCTGGGTCCCTCTTGATGACCGTGGTAACTGTACTGCACCGTGTTGGACGATATTTTAGATGATGTACAGTACAGAACTCGCACAAGACCACTTGCAAGGGAAAAGTGCAGTCTCAGCCTGGTTGTGCCACGCCCGCAATGTGGGGCAGCTCGGGCAGGATCCAAACTACATGAGGTGACGTGGCAAAAAATCAGTTGTACTCTAGAAAAATCACGAAACAAATTTCTTGACGTTCGTTCATTGCTGAGGTGGAGTCCTCCCACAGTGTCAAAAACCCAGAGGTCCCAAATCCGCGGCTCATGCACCCTGTAACCTAGCCTCGAGATAGTGTAGTAAATATATCTACACTAATGTAGAGACCAGCAATATGTATCTGCAAGATGCTTCACCTCCATAGTCACCACAACCTCTACTGCATCATCCCTCCCTCTATATCCTGCGTGGCCATTTTAGCTTAATCCGTGGCATTTTTACGCCATTCGCATCCCTTCTTTTTCCTTCCTCTACAAGTTTTTTAGCTTGAGTTGGCGTCCTGCAAATCCCATCACCCACATTTCCAGAATAAATCAATGCTCATTCACAAGCCATCTCCCACAGGCCTAACCTGTGGCCCGCAGGCCTTCACATTCCCGTGTCCTCCATCCAAGAACCTCCTGTGGGAGAACAGGGGCACAACCTTTCCACACTTAACCATTTCAAGCGTGTCGCTTACACCGCAACTCACATTGCTGCTGATGCTGCTGCCACTGCTCCCATCAGCACACCCAGTCACCAGATCAGCTGCCATTTTGCCAACCAGTGGCCCAAATTTAAACCCATGCCCCGAGAACCCTCCTACTACCACAATATTCACTCCTCCTGTCTCTCTGAAGATTTCTTTAACAGTCCCATCTCTTCGTGCTCCCTCCCATAGAACCCCCTCCATACCATCACTGCTAGTCCTGCTTCCTGCCGGTAGATCGTGTGTTTCTGTAGCCAATGGGATGCGATCAATAATGAAATCTTGGTCCGGAGTCATGGTGTAGAGGCACGACTCCATCATCACAGGCTCGGTGGTAACCCTACTTCCAAACCTGGCCTGCAGCCACGGCACCAGCACGGTCCGAACCGCATGCACGTCCGGGAGGGAGGGTCGGTAGTCAGGGTCGGGGCAGGGCAGGCCGGAATGGAGTGAGACCTTGATTAGGTCAGGGAACTCCAGGCTCGGAATGCCGTACACGTATGGTTCGTCATAGTTGATAAATAATGGAATGGTAGTGCTGCTGCCATTTCTGCCTCTGCTGCTGAAAGCACCATCAGAATCAGCAGCAGCAGCACCAGCAGCAGTATCAGAACTAACAGCAGCAGCACTGCCTGTATCAGCAGCAGCAGCAGGAGCACAATCAGCATCAGCCTCTCCCTCCCCAGCAACCCGCCAGTAAGCCACGGTGGTTCTTAGAGCCTGCAGAGGAAGCTTCCTCCCTGTTGCCCTCTCGATCAACTTTCCCGCCCATGCCCCTGCTGCTACTACACAGTCGTTACATGTAACGCTGCCTCTGCTGGTTACCACACGAATCCGACCAGGATTTTCAACCCCTGCCGCCTCTTTGTCCTGTAGCGGCTCAATGGCAGTAACTGCCGTTTTGTCTCGTAGTGCCGCCCCCTGCCTCGCCGCCAGCTGTTGGAACATCGCCACTGCTTTCGTCGCATGCAGCACCCCAGCATCAGGACAAAACACGCCGACCAAATCATCGTCAGAAGAAGAACCATCCGGAAAGTTAAACATCGGGAATCGCTCGCTCAAGGCAGCTCCCTCAAGGAGCTGATGTGGCACGCTGTGGTTGCGACAGCTGGCGAGAACGGCTGCCAGGTCAGCGTTGCTGCGTGGGCCGAAATCCAAGCCTCCGGTGATGGTAAGAGGGGAGTATCCAGCCTCGCTAGAAGCAGACTCCCATAACTTATAAGCGAGTGGCATGAGCGCAGTGTAGTGGTCTTCAGGGTAAGTTCTCCTAATAATTCGAGACTCCCCGTGGGAAGAGCCTGGAGATATCAGAGGAGAAGGAAGCAAGGGTGAATGAGAGTGGGATGTATGAGCACATAGCTGCAATCTTCAGGTTAAGTTATCTTAATCATTCGAGACTCGCCGTAGGAAGAGCCTGCGGATCAGAGGAGGCAGAGGAGGAGAGTCCTGAAACGCAGATTCGATAAAGTCCACTCGATAACAGCAAAATTTTCTAGCATCTCTGCCTCGTTCACCTCGTCGGCGCAGCAGGTCTAACTACCCCAGCAGCATTCTCGTCAAGAACAGATTCGATAAATCTCCACTCACCTCGTCGGTGCAGCAAATCGAACTGCTCCAGCAGCAGCACGCTGAGCCCGCGCTTCGCGAGCTCGTACGCCGCGCAGCTGCCCATGATGCCCGCACCCACCACCACCACGTCGTACCGCTCCATTATCCGGATCGAAGCGGCTGAAACCGCGTGGAAAGCGACAAGACTATGGCAATGCGGTGCAATGCGTTGAGGTGTGGTGCGGGACGATTGATAGCACCGAGATTTCTGCCGGGGACACTAACGCACTCCGGGAATCCCGCCCGGCTAACTCTGTTTACGGGCCCTAGAGATGTACGCACGGACCAACTCTGCTCCGCTGGATACACCTTTATGGGCTAGACTATAGAACTCGTTACTACACGCTCCGCTGATGTCAACCTGAAAAAATTAGACACTATCGGTGATGCATCACCTCTTTCATTGCTTGATAAATCACCACAAAAAGTTCAACCTGTTCATAATTAGACCACTACAATGGGGCAAGTTGCAAAAATTCGCCAGTCTTTTTAGACGAGACCCCCTTTTTCCACCATTTCCACCTCTGTGTGAACCCCTTAGCCCATGAAGCAAGGTGAGCAAGCCACACTGCTGCTTCCAGTTTCAACAGCTGCATCTCTACTTGTGCTATTTGCAGCCTTTTATGGACAAACGCTTTCAAACGAACTGTCAAGGAGTTTGGAGCTTTGGAAACCAAAGCTTTCTCGTCTGCTTCTGCGATTGCTTGTGTGCATTCCCGCGCGGTGATCATGAATGTGTTGACGGGTGTGCCCTGCAGGTGATGTATCCCATAAGGAGCCGGACATCAAGAGTAGCGAGAGACAAGGGACTTAGCGGTGCGTCAGAGGAGAGAACGAGAGGATGGGATAGAAATCCACAGATACAATGATCTGGTTCTGACAGACAGCAGGCAGAAGACATTAAAGAAATTGGCTGTGAGGAACAGCAGCAGTACGACAGAAATGTGTCGTTCCCTAACAGAGCAGTGTCAAGGGGCATGCGTGAAAGTCATCCGAAGGAAAACAATGTGTTGAGCAGAGGAAGCTTCTCACCAAGGCAGTGTCCAGGGATCGAAGGCAGTCATTGGTTTTGAGGAGCAGCAGCAGCACACGGGGCAAGCGAGCGAGGAGGCGCGTTATGTCATTGAAATAAGCCGCTGCTGATTTCTGGAGAGGCAGAGAGGGAGGGAGGGAGGGAGGGAGGGAGGGAGGGAGGGAGGGAGGGAGGGAGGGAGGGAGGGAGGGAGGGAGGGAGGGAGGGAGGGAGGGAGGGACGGACGGACGGACGGACGGACGGACGGACGGAGCAGGGCTGAAACAGGGAGGACGGTTGTGGTGTGATGAACGAGTGAGGAGGTACGTGATTTTGCCTCCCACCACCCACCCCCCATCCCACCACCCCCCCATCCACCTTCACCTGTAAATGCTGCTTCTCCTCAGCCGTGTCTGGAATGAAGAGGTGATCCGATGAAGCCTCAACAAGATTCTCCCAAGACTGCAGAGTGAGCGTTGCAGCAAAGATGGCGTACAGTGCCATCTCCCCCCCTTTTTCAACACACCTGTAAATGCTGCTTCTCCTCCGCTGTATCTGGAATGAACAGATGATCCGAAGACGCCTCGACGATGTTCTCCCACGCCCGCAGAGTGAGCGTTGCAGCAAATATGGCGTAAAGGTCCGCCCCGGCGCCCAGCGCAATGCTGTACTGCATGATGCCTCGTGCGTCTGCCAGCACAAGGGCCTTCCAAAGGTGCGCGTAGTTGAGGCGGAGGGAATCGGGGAGTTGCCGGTATAGGCCATGATCCAGTAACACGATCTCTGGCTCTAGATGACCTGGAGTATGGGATGGGGAGCGATGCACAACAAGTCAAATGGGCGTAGCAGATATGTTGGCGAGCACAAGGGCCTTCCAGAGGTGCGGGGTAGGTAGTAGAGGTGGAGGGAGTCGGGCAGCTGACGGTATAACCCATGATTCAGCAGCACCATCTCTGGTTCTAGATAACCTGGAGGGAGGGGGAACGAATCACAACAAGACATGTGGGCATAGTTGAGGTGGAGGGAGTCGGGCAGGTAAGGCAGGAAAGGTAAGGGAGCGAGAGGAGTGGGGATGGGGAAGAAAGAGCAGGGACAGTAAGGTCTCCCCCCCCCCCTCAGTGCAATGCAGTACAATATGATGCCTCGCGCGTTGGCCAACACAAGGGCCTTCCAAAGGTGCGTATAGTTGGGTCAAGCACAGAGAGCAGGAACAGCACTATTGAGCAGACTGCAATCACCGCCAGGCATTCGCCGCCCTCCTTTCTTCGGCTGCACCAGCACATTAGCCGCATGGGGATCGCAGTGAACATAGTATTCAAGCAGGCAGGTCCATGCATCCTAGTCCCTGGTTCCCAGGCACACAAAGCAGCCACTCACCTCCAGGCATTCGCCGCCCTCCTCTCTTCGGCCGCACCAACACGTTTGCTGCATGTGGATCGCAATGCACAAAGCCGTGTCGAAATATCATCTCCGCGAAAGCCGTGCTGATCTGGATGGTGTAGAATGGGAGGAGGAGAGCGGGGTAAGAGGCAGAGAGGTGGAGAGGGGGGCGGAGAATTTAAGGTGTGATAACCAAGTTTGCCACATGTGTGTCGCAGTGCACGAGGCCGTGCTGGAGTGTCACCTCCGCGAACGCAGTGCTGATCTGGATGGGGGAGGGAGGGGGGGAGGAGAAGGGGGGAAGGGGCAGAGGGGGGAAGGGGCAGAGGGGGGGAGGGGAGGCAGGATAAGGCAAGGAGTGGTAGTCAAAATGGGTGCACGAGGGCCGCAGTGCACAAACCCGTGCCGGAATATCATCTCCGCGAAAGCAGTGCTGATCTGGATGGAGGAGCAAGGGAGGAAAGGGGGGGGAAGAGAAGAATGGGAGTGAGGTTCCATTAGGTTGGGGGTTATAAACACACATCAAAGAAACTGATTTGGGTATAAAAGAAACTGATGGGACAGGTACCAACTAAAAATGAGCCAAAGAGTTTACCACCTCGTCACCAGATGAGTAAAAATACTGCAAACTCACCAGTTTTGCCACGTCAGCAGGGTTAATCCCCATGTCCTTCAGCCGTGCCACGTCAGTTAGAGGCACGCCATCCATCCACTCCATAGTCAGCACCCGCTGCCCGGTTAGTTCCGAGAAGCTTCTCGGCACCGCCACGGACTCCCTCAGGAGCTTGGACGGGGAGGATCGAAAGTTGGCCATGCAATGCCGGCCGTTGGATGCTTCGAGAGCGAAATCCAGCTCCTGTAGTGGGGAAAAGGGTGAGTGGGTGGGTCACAGTGGGAGGGGAGGTGATTTGGAAGGCATGATGGTCCATGGAAAGGGGGAAGCACGAGGCAAAAGGTTGGAGACACAATGCAATGCAATGTCAGCCGTTGGATGGCAATGCCGTCTCACAATGCAATGCTGGCCGTTGGATGCTTTGAGACTGAAATCAAGCTCCTCGTGGCAAAGTAAACGAGAGCAGACATCGCAGCAATTTCAAGGCGTTGAGTGCGGTTGAATTGATCGTTTAAGGCGCTTGTTGAGGCGTACCTTGGGTAAACTCTCCTCCACCTCTGTAATCAGCCACCTGACATGGGAAGGGCAGACAGGTCGGATGGGAGTGCCACATGTTAAACTACGGTATAAATTATAGAACAACACAATGGAGCAACTGGCGTGACGAACCACCTGTAGTCTAGGCTGGGAAGAAAACTAGCAATTAAGGTTGGGGGAGAACCGGTACCTGTGGTCTAGGCTCAAGAAGAAAAAACCCGCCGTACCTGTAGTCCAGGCTCGGAAAGAACCAGTACAGTGCGGAGATGACAAGGCGCACTGAGACCATGTCTGCTGCTGCCGTGTCCAGCAGATGTGCGTGCTGCACCTAGTGGGATGCGGTGGGAAGGGGTGGCGAGGGGTGAGGAGGGGTGGGAAGGGTCGGTGAGCAGTTAACTGCCACCTCTTTTCCTGATTTCAGTGTGCACCTGGGGCAAAGAGGATTCATGCGGGGCGCTTTATTTGCTCGATCGAAGTCTCAACCTCAATTGCACCTCATCTCCACCCGACTCTCTTCGGCTTGGATCTCACCTTGACTGCCACATTTTCTTCTGATTTCAGCGTGCCTCAATGCATTTGGGTTGCGACACATTGTTACTCGACTAGCATCTCACCTTGACTGCCACGCCCACCCCTGTCTTGAGTGTGTCTTGGTGCACTTGGGCCAATGAGGGCCTGATCTGGGCGAATCATTGTCGACTTGAGGCTCACCTTCACCGCCACGTCCTCTCCTGTCTTGAGTGTGCCTCGGTGCACTTGGGCCAGAGACGCGCTTGCCACAGGCACAGGGTCGAAGGAGGAGAAGATCTGAAGGTGGGGGGTTGGAGGGAAGGGGCGTATGAGGAGAAAAAGATGCACTTGGCAAGTTAGAGAAGAAGAAGGGGCACAGGGTCGAAGAAGATCTGACTTTTGAGACGTCTCAGGGTCGAAGAAGAAGATCTGACGGTGGAAAAGAATATTAGCGACCACCTTTCCCCATACCTGGCCCCTCTCCCTCGCACTGCTTTGCCTCTACAACCATTATGTTCTCCAACCCCCCTTTCAACAAACCAGTTATCGCCACACCTCTTCCCCGCACCGTACCACTTTTTCCCTGCCCCTCTCTCCCACCGTACCTCCTCTGGTGGTTTGCCGAGCTCTGATTGGATGACGAGCCGAACATCCTCGTACGGTGTGACAGGGCATGTGTTGAGCATCGATTCCTTCATTACAATCACATACTCCTCCGGCACAATGTAGTCCTGAAATCAACAGAAGCGAGCAGAAAAATGTGTATATATACATGCATATTTTTTTGACGGCACATTTGCAGCTCCCGGTGTTCTGTCCGCAGAACGCTAACCTAGTGCGCGCGAATCTGGAAAGTTTTGAGTGGTGAAAACCGATACGAGGTAACACAGCATTCCAGGGTTGTTCGGTCCTGAAACCTTTCTCTCCGTCCAAAATCTTTCTCTCCGTCCAAAACCTACTCATTCTCTTCGTCTTGAGCTGTCAGCACTTACTCCATAGAACTTAAAATGGAGAAGACGTTTTAAAGTTGGAGTCTCGGTCGGTTGGAGTCTCATTGGCGACAAATGAGTGGGAGGGATGAAGGAGGAAGGAGAAGGAGTTGGTGCAGAGGAACGAGAACCTTACGGGGGTGTGGCAAGCGAATCCCTCCTTATCCGCCTGCCACGCCGCCGTAAGGTTCTCGTTCCTCTGCACCAAATTCTTCTCCTTCCTCCTTCATTTCTCCCGCTCATTGGCCCTCAATTCATTCTCGTTCTTGTTGAACATCCTTCTTAACTTGGTATTTTCCTCGTCCTTAAATGAAACGTTTTCCTTTCCCTCACTACCTCGCGTTCTATTTCAACCAACCAAAACTCCAGCTTCAATAACGTCTTCTCCATATGTACTCTTATTGAGTAAGTTCATGACACCCTTCATGTGAAACCCAGTCACACCCACCAGCTGTTCTAGCTTGATGTAGATCCCTCTGTTTCTGAAACACATGGCCGGCAGCCGACCCCTTCGTTAACCCGTACTATAAACACCCTTCATAGGTACAAGCTTCATAGGTACAACCTTCATAAGCACACCACTTTGGCAATGCACCCCAATTAGACCCACCAACTGCGCAACTTGCTGGCCTAGCTTGATTTAGATCCCTCCGTTTCTGAAGCACATCGCCTGCTGCCAACTCCTTAACTATACAATCAACAGCCTTCACATGCACACCCACCAGTTGCGCAATATGCTGCCCTAGCTTGATGTAGATCCCTCCGTTTCTGAAGCACATCGCCTGCAGCCGATCCGCACAGCGCAGGTGGCACTGCCGCTTCTCCGCCTCCATTTCCTCGCTGCCCGCGGGCAGCCCGCGAAGAGAAGACTTGTAGTCTGAGGAAAAAACGGGCAGACAAAAAGGTTACCAGCTGAACAGGTTCGGCAAAGGCCCTGCATTGCTACAGTACTTATCAGAACGGCTTCAGTAAGGTGTTAAGCTAAAAGCGTTTCTGGGAGCAAAGGCTGGTTGTGTGGGAAGTCGTACCAGCAACCATGGCGAGTACTGTGGTAACCACCCTTCCGACGCGCACTGGAACAGTAACGAGAAGCTTTAATCGAAGCATCGGATCCTCCCCCATTACAGCCCATCCCAGCGCACCCACGACGCCCAATCCAGCCATGCCACGTGTCAGCCGCAGAAGAATTGAAGAACGGTTCGATCTGCCGTTTACTTGTGCTTCCGCCACGTGAGATGCGGCAGCGCTCCCGGCTTGAGTTCCGGCGGTCGTGGAACTAAAGAACCGCCTAGCTGCGACGCTGCCTACGATCTCGATCTGAGACGAATAAGAGCCATTAATTTTCACCTTGCCAGCGTGACGAGCGCCGTGCGTGAAGGCTGACGAAGAATGGGGAGCTTTCGCAACAATGAAGAATGCCCTACAGGCGTTCTGTATTGTTCCGCTGTAGACGCTCTGTATGCTCCCGTAACAACGGCCGTGTATGGTTCCGTTATAGACACTCCTCCGGTCCACAGCGTGCTTGGCTCCTCGAGCAGCACTAGCGGCGGCGATGCAGAACGCATTGTAAACGCCTCTTCCCCGCATCGCAAAATGTGAGCTGTCGACTAGTGTCGAGTCGAGTCGCCTGAAAAGAACCACCTCTTGCCGACACGGATCTGGTGAGTGTTCCGGCTGCCGTGTAAAAGGCGTCTAAAACCTCCTTCTGAATCCAGAACCTTTATCTCATTTAGAGGCGAGCTATCCTCACTCGAAGATCGAGCATTGAAATTCTCGATAGTCGTTAGCGGGAACTGTGCGGTATAATTTCGATAATGCCGTGCGCAGCCTGCTGGCCTGGTTTGGCGCGAGTTCGCCTAGAGGCCGATCCGTAAACCTAGATCATACCTCCTCCATACCTTACGACTAGTAGACCAGTCAAGGCGCTAATACAGTACCTTAGCTAAAATGATTTACCTTGTATCCCTCTACCTACTCGCCTTCTGCCCTTGTGGCTGGTTTCTACACACCTACGCTCAGCAGCATTTGAGCCCAAGAATTTTCCAGACCAGAGTGATGAGGGCCTCGGGATTGGATGAACTTTTCGCGCGTTTTTTTCCTGCGAACTTGGAGGTGTGGCGAATCCCAAGGGTATTTCTGGAACACTACGAGCGCGGCGGCCGCCAGCTAGAGGGTGAGATGAATGGTTCTACTCGAGTCCTCAATCGTGAGAAAAGGCTCGTCCAATCGTTGCCGTCGATTTCCTGCTCGCTTTACACTGGACTTCAATATTAGACGTCGTCAACGCGAGGTGTTCCAAGGTTTCGAGCATTTTGTCATTAACTACACTATCATGCCTTGGCAGCTAGGAGGATGAGGGAGGAGTGTGGCGCAACATTGTAGGTGCCGCTGATTACACGGCCATTGGTTGAAATTGTGTCCAGATCATCCACAATGTCCCGTGGAGATGGCAAGTTAGTGTCCGCCTGTTCTCGACACCAAAAGACAGGAGACGTATATTCGTATATTATGTTGTGTGTATAACTGGAAGAGAGATCCATATAACAGCTTGGAGGGCTGCAGTCCAAGTGGAAAGTATTAAAGGAACATTATTGCAAAAATGAGCTGGGATGCACTCACCACTCGGACCCATTGACGGCCAGCGGGCGCGGGAGGAAGGCCAGCGTCCACAGCGAATGAATGAGCATTGAATGCCACGTACAGGTCACCAAATGTTCCAGAGACGTCATGCAGGCTGCAGCATTTGATGCATCACATATTCAGGCATGAAAGATGAACGAGTTATTGATATGGGCGCACTTAGCAAATAGCTTGGAAGAACACAGCCGTTTCAAACAATAATCCAATCATGTAAGGGAAGGAATGGAGGTTGACTTACCTGAAGGCAAGGAATCTACTTTCGTAGTTATCCCAATTGTCTTCATGCCATGTGATGTCCCGCTGAGAACATGCCACACAACACATGCACACACCAGATGCCTGACTCGACTAGAGAATGATGAAGTATGCATGCTTGTAGAATATGAGGGTATACAGATCGCCAGTCAACCATAAGTAGAACAGTTTACTCGATCCGAATCCTGGAATCGTGCAACTAGGAGGAGTTTGAGAGCCTACGGGCGAGAGGAAATTGGCTTGGCCAAGGGCTGGGTGCCAGGAGCGGAGGCGGTTGACTGCTGCTGTGAAGCGGAAGAGAGATGAGCGGACCTGGTCCAGCTGGGTGAGGCAAGCACGTGGATGGGAAAGAGAATAAGGGCAAAGACGTTTTGAGGTGCTTCAGAATTGGTGCCAGGAGCCGAGGCGATTGACTGCTGCTGTGAAGCGGAAGAGAGATGAGCGGGCCTGGTCCAGCTGGGTGAGGCAAGCACGTGGATGGGAAAGAGAATAAGGGCAAAGACGTTTTGAGGTGCTTCAGAATTGGTGCCAGGAGCGGAGGCGATTGACTGCTGCTGTGAAGCGGAAGAGAGTCGAGCGGGCCTGGTCCAACTGGGTGAGAGGAGAGAGGGAAATGAATGGATACAGGGAGGGCGTAAAAATTGGCTCCAGGAGCGGAGGCGGTTGACTGCTACTGTGAACTGGAAGAGAGACCAGGATTGGGCCTGGTCCAGCTGGGTGAGAGGAGAGAGGGAAATGAATGGAGAGAGCAGGGGAGAGCAGATAGAGGCAGTGACAGGGGAACATAATTTAACAGCAAGCGGTTAAATTATCACAAAAGCGATAAGGAAGTAGCAGACTCCCGAGACAGTGGTCAAGTGCGGCATCATGGCCGTGGCAATTGAAGGTGGCAGGTCATCATAGCTGGATAGTCACTAGCTGGATAGTCACTAGCTGGATAGTCACTACGTGGATAGTCACTAGCTGGATAGTCACTAGCTGGATAGTCACTAGGTGGATAGTCACTAGCTGGATAGTCACTAGCTGGATAGTCACTAGCTGGATAGTCACTAGCTGGATAGTCACTAGCTGGATAGTCACTAGGTGCCATAATATAGATTTCCATTGAGTAAAAAGCTGCTTTGTCACAAAGCCGTGTAGCCAATATAAGCCATAATATCCAATCCCATAGTTCATGCACCTGGTTCCATAGGAAGTGGTTGAGTGCGGTGTCGTGGCCATAGCTGTTGTTGTTGCCGTTGCGCGTGTGCCCGTACTCATCCCCCATCAGCATCATGGGAGTTCCCTGCTCCATACGTGCATGTGTGCATGTGGTACGGGCCAAAGGGGAGAGGTACGCAGGGATCAGGGCATGATGTATCGTACATGTATCATATGCCCATCCATATATGCCCGTACTCATCCCCAATCAGCATCATGGGCATGCCGTGCGCCATGTGTGCATGTTGCCTCATGGCGCACAGGGGGGAATTCATATTGTAATAAAGCATATGGTGCAGGGACAGGGCACATGACAGGTGTCATATCGTGCCGTATACAGCTTATGCATGAGAGGGCCATAGGGCAGTGAGATGTTAAGTCGTACCCACATGCACCCACCTATGACATGCATGTTTGTGCTCTCATGCGCCCATCTGAGACACCATCAGCGCGATGTGGAAGTTCCTCATCTGCCGGTTTCTCAACGCAATAATCCCCTCGTCCTGCGTGGGACCCTCACCCACCTATGACATGCGTGTATGTACTCAAATGCACGCACCTGAAAAACATGCACGCACCTGAGAGACCATCAGTGCGATGTGGAAGTTCCTCATCTGCCGGTTTCTCAGCGCAATAATCCCCTCGTCCTGCGTGGGACCTGGAGGGTTGTGGAAGGAGACATGATAAGTTGGGTGCAGAGGGTCACAGACACACACCAAGGAGTGGGTTATGAGTTGCTAAGGGTGATACACGGAGTTCAGTGCAGAAATTAATACCCTTGGCAGATCAATGCACAAGGGCGAAACACCGAGTTCAACGCACTTCCCCACCTTCCACCCATTAGTTCAACTTCAACCCCCACCGCCTCACCACCTCCCCAATTCCCCACCCTCTCCTTTCCCCAGCTCCTCCCCACCTTCCACGCCACAATTCCAGCTGAAGTTGTCGTTGCTGCCATCCCTCCCCTCCTCCCCATTCGCCTCGTTGTGCTGCCAGGGAGGGAAAGGGAATGGGGTCGGCGGCCGGAGGGAGAGGGGTGGGAAAGAGGGAAGAGGGCAGGGAAGGAGGGAAATGGTTCGGGGAAAACGGAGGAGGGAAGGAAGGAGAGCGAGCGGGAAGGGGGAGCAAGGAGAGGCGAAAGAAGCAGAGAGGATGAGATTGGAGAGCTTTGAGACATCTTAAAACAGGAAAGGGAAGGAGAAGGAAGGGAGAAGGCAGAAATGATGAGCATGAAAACAGGAAAGGGAGAGGAAGGAAGGGAAACAGCAGAGAAGATGAATGCGAACAGGGGGGGTCAGAGGAGGTGAGTAAGGCTGGGGGGAAGGGGAAGGGAGGGGAGAGAGGGGACGAATTCAGACGAATATTGCTGTTATTTTCTATATTTCATTATGGTTTTTACCTTGAAGTTGTAAGACACGAGGTCTCTGAGTGTGAATCCATCGTGAGCAATGACAAAGTTAATGCTGTGGTAGGGCTTGCGCTGATTGACCTGTGCTCGTGTTAAGGCAGAGAGCAGGGGAAGGGGGGGAAAGGGCAGAGATGGGTGTGGTGAGAGACGATGGCAACATGAACATGCAAGAGAGACTACAACATGACGGTGCAGTAACAGTGCAGGCAAATCTCATCATTGATCGCATGACAGTGTATGACATCTCATGTGATGCATCTCATATAACGTCATGGCAATACATGACATCTCGCATGGTACATGTCACCTCACATGGTACATGTCATCTCACATGGTACGTGTCATCTCACACCGCATGGTACTTGTCATCTAACAAGTTACATGTCATCTTACAAGTTAGATGTCACCTCACAAGTTACATTTCATCTCACAAGTTACATGTCATTTCACACGTTACATGTCATCTCACGTGGTACATGTCAGCAGATCCGGCCAATCGAGTGGCGAAGGCCCCTTTCAAGCCCTCATCGCCCTTTATGAACTTGCGCACGTCATCTCGATATTTGCCGTTCCACTCCGCCCACCTGAGTTGATGGTGATGGCAGCATGGCATGGCATGGCATGGGAGTGATGGCATGGGAGTGATGGCATGGGAGAGATGGCATGGGAGTGATGGCATGACCACATGGCAAGGGAGTGATGGCATGACCACATGGCAAGGGGGTGATGGCATGACCACATGGCAAGGGGGTGATGGCATGACCACATGGCAAGGGGGTGATGGCATGACCACATGGCAAGGGGGTGATGGTGATTGGCATGGCAGAGGGATGACGCGATGGCATCGTGGCAGGCGGGGCACCGGCAGCATGGTATGGGTGAGAAATGTGGAGTGTTATGCCTGCCACAGGTAATCAATGACAGGAGCATGTCGTCAGTTTCCTTTCCGATCTGTCCTGCCCGCGGAAGGCATTACCTGCCCCAGTTGGGAAAGGCGTTACCTGCACTATCTGGTGAAGGCGTCACTTGTCCTATCCGGGTAAGGCATTACCTGTCCTATCCGAGGAAGGCGTTATCTGCCCCAGTTGGGAAAGGCGTTACCTGCCCCGGTTAGGAAAGGCGTTACCTGCCCTATTCGGTGAAGGCGTTACATGTCCTATCCGGCGTTACCTGTCCTATCCTGGGAAGGCGTTACCTGCCCCGGTTAGGTAAGGCGTTACCTGCCCTATTCGGTGAAGGCGTTACATGTCCTATCCGGCGTTACCTGTCCTATCCTGGGAAGGCGTTACCTGTCCCAGTTTGGAAAGCTGCCCACTTGGTACAGTCCTCCACAGTCCCACGGCTCCGCAATGAGCTTGCACTTGGATAGCACCTCGTCCTTGGCGATGGCCTGGTGTGGGGTGGAAAAGAGGAAGAGAAAGGGCGAAGAAGAGATGTGGGGCAATGCCATGGGATAGTGGTGGGCGAACTCTAGCTTAAGCACACGGTCCCCCACAGTCCCACGGCTCTGCAATGAGCTTGCACTTGGACAGCACCTCGTCCTTGGCGATGGCCTGGTGTGGGGAATGGTGAGGGGCAGGGAGAGACAGGAAGTGGGGAAGAAACTGGAGTCACCTGTCAGGGAGCAAGCACCAGTCCCACGGCTCCGCAATGAGCTTGCACTTGGAGAGCACCTCGTCCTTGGCGATGGCCTGGTGTGGGGAATGGTGAGGGGCAGGGAGAGACAGGAGGTGGGGAAGAAACTGGAGTCACCTGTCAGGGAGCAAGCACCAGTCCCACGGCTCTGCAAATAGCTTGCACTTGGACAGCACCTCGTCCTTGGCTATGGCCTGCGGGCGGGACGGAGGTAGAGGGAGGGAGAAAGGGGGGAGAGAGAGTTAGGCTGGGGAGGCTGAATGTGGGAAGACGCGTTGAGCCACTGCACAGCCCTTCACGGGCCCACGGCTCTGCTATGAGCTTGCACTGAAACAGCACCTCGTCTTTCGTGTGGGGTGGAGGGGGGAAGAGAATGGGGGACAGGATGTGGGGGAGCCATAGCAACGCTACACATCCCCCCACAGTCACAGGGCTCTGTGATGAGCTTTCACCTCGTCCTTGACGATGGTCCGATGAGTGGTGAGGAAATGGCGAAGAGGGACTCACTCACCCAAATGAGGGGAGGCGCTTCAACCGCTCGGATTACTAGCTTCAACCGCTCACCCGAATGAGGGGAGGCGCTTTGAGGGGCTCCCCATCAGTCCCTCGGCACAGGACACTGGCAAGGTCGAAGCGGAAGCCATCCACGTGGTACTCCTGAGAGGGGTGGGTAAAGGGGAGAGGGAGTACAGGAGAAGGAAGGGGTAAGCAAGGGTTAAACGGGGTGGGCAGCGGTGGGGAGGCGCTTTGAGGGGCTCTCCATCGGTGCCTTGACACAGTACACTGGCAAGGTCGAATCGGAACCCATCCACGTGGTACTCCTGTGGGAAGGGGGGGCGCATGGGAGGAGAACGGAGCAGTGGTGCGCAGGGGTGAGCAGGGGTGAGCAGGGGTGAGCAGGGGTGATCTGGGGTGAGCAGGGGTGAGCTGGGGTGAGCAGGGGTGAGCTGGGGTGAGCAGGGGTGAGCTGGGGTGAGCAGGGGTGAGCAGAGGTGAGCAGGGGTGAGCAGAGATCTTGGAACCCGCCTGCTTCCTATGGGCCTTCTCTGTCACAATCGAATCACATCTACTCATAATCGCCAACCACCCCTACCCCCCTTCTGCCTCCTCTTCCTCTCCCCTTATCCCTCTCTCGCTCTATCCCCCTCTCCTTCTATCCCCCTCTCCCCTTCTCGCTCTCCCCCTTCTCACCTGCACCCAGTGCCGGAGGCTATCCAGGATCATCTGCATCACCACCGGGTGGTTACAGTTGAGCGTGTTACCACACCCAGCGTAATTCGCCAGTTGCACGTAGTTGTTGGGCTGGACGATATAGTACGTCTGAGAGTGGGGCCGGAAAGCGATGTGGGGAGGGGGTGTGAGGACGGGGGGTGGGAGAACAGTGGGTTAGGAAGAGGGGACAGGTAGAAGCCAAGGAAGTGGAGGGAAATTCAGCCCTTTCTTAAATTGTTTTTGCATCCAGCACAGTTCTGGGCGTGAGTTTTGGAGTCCACTCATCAAAAGTCGACTCGAGTCAATAAATGCACTGTGTATCACCCTCCCACCTCTCTGCTTCTGCTTCCCACCTTGCTCCCAGTCCCCACCTTGTAGTCGATGCCACGGAAGGAAACAGTTTATATGAAGGCATCATCAGCCTCGTTGGTGTGGTTGTATTGCACATCAAGTATCATCTCCTCGTTGGCATCATCCAGTATCACCTCCACCCCCGCCGCATGCAGCTGCTTCACTCCCAACCTCCTCCCACCCAGCTCTTCCTCTACTTCCGACCTTGTTCAACTGCCCACCTTGTTGTCAATCCCCCGGAAGGAGGTCGTGTAGGGAAACGTGTCGTCTGCCTCGTTGGTGTGGTTGTAAACCACATCAAGAATTACCTCCACCCCAGCCGCATGCAGCTGCTTCACCATCTCCTTCACCTCCCGTGCTGCTGCCACGGGGCCACCGCAGTTAGAGGCGAAGCGGGACATGGGGGCGAAGAAGTTGACAGTGGAGTACCCCCACGTGTTCACCTGTTCGTAATGTGGGAATGTGGCGCGGAGGGAGGTCGAAGGCGGTTGAAGGCGGTTAGAGGTACACATGACGACATGGCATGCAGCTGCCTCACTCCCAGCTCTTCCTGATTGTAGGGCTCTAAGACATCCACCATGTGATCGCGGGGGTTGGGGGCAGCAGCTCCACCGCGTTCACTCCCAGCTGCCTTCACTTCACCCCATCCCACTGCCTTCCACATTCCACCGCAGCTCTACCTTATCTGGGACATCTGAAGAAGCATGCCATGTGGTCGCGAGGGTTGGGCACCGTTAGAACTTGAAACTCCACCTCATCGCACTCAAAGGTTGGCAGCAGCTCCACCGCGTTCACGCCCAGCTGCCTTCACTTCACCCCATTCCATCCCACTGCCTTCCACTCCACCCCAGCTATACATCTGGGACATGTAGAGCACCATACCATGTGGTCGCGGGGGTTGGGGCGCCTCTGAAACTCCATCTCGTCATACTCAAAGATGGGCAGCAGCTCCACCGCGTTCACGCCCAGCTGCACCAGGTGCTGCACCTGCAGGCATCGAACAGGCGTCAATGGGCTCACACAAACGTGTTCGTATGGATGCACGTGGACTCATGTACACGGGTGCACTTTTGAGTTCACCAAGAGTAAGAGTCGGCTCAGAAGCATGGTTCATGGTTGCGGGTAGGTTCATGTGGGTGTAAATGGGCGGGGTCATGTCCACGCAAGTCTCTGTGCATGGTTGCATGGTTGCATGGTTGCATGGGTGTGTGGATGTATGGGCGTGCGAGTGCGTGGGTGCGTGGCTGCGTGGGCACATGGGTGCATGGGTGCGCGGGTGTGTCCACGGACATGCACATACACACCAACACGCAGAGACACACCAGGATGCACCAGCACGTCCCGCTAACTCTTTTCACCACAACAGAAACTGAAACAAGACCGCCTTGACTTGCACACCCTACCTTATCCGCAACAGCTGAGTAGCTTCCTCGGCGCCCCTCCTCAACCCCACTAGAGGGATCTGCAGTGTATGCCCGCACGTTCATCTCGTATATAATCACGTCCTTCTGCAGTCACATCGTCAGGAGCACACGAGGGAACCAGCGGGTAGAGATAGAGGCAATCATCACTCACTGAAACTGACCAGGAATATTCTCTTCCCCAGGCCGCTAGCTATCCCTCCTACGTCCATCTCTCCCAATCCCCCCACTGTCTCCTTCACCACCTTACACGCTTCCCTTCCCTCCCTTCTCTCCTTACACACTGTCGCAGATCAAACATCTCTTCTCGCCCCTCCATCCCCAACCCACGCACTGCAGGCATTCGCACAGATAATATGAAAACCAAAACCTCAAGCCCGAGATCTAAGCCCTAAATCCGAAACCCGAAACCTTTAACTCATATCCTTGAGCTCAAAATTTTTAATAATGAAATCTTAAGCCCGAACCCTCCCTTCCTTGCCTCGGGAATCGGCGTCCTCTTGGCTTCGGCCTCTCCCCAGTCGAACGGCTCGGATTCAAAGTCAAACGTGCCATACATCTGAGCCATCCGTTGGCTCTCATCCCCAAACTTCCTTCTCCCATCCACAAGGGGTGCGTAGGGATCTAGCAGCAACAGGGAGGGGTCGAAGCGGTGCCCCTCGCCCCAACCCTTCGGCCCGTCCACCTTGTAAGCATACAGCATGCCGCAGAGAGGCACGTTCTGGGGAGAGGAGGCAGGCGGAAGGGGGAAAGAAAAGAATGGTTGAATGCTGGCACGGTGGCACCTGAAACAGAAGGGTCAAACATAGTTCAGAACTGTGTCTTGACCGTTCTGATAGAAGGTGAGATAAGGGAGTGAAGGCAGTCATTCACTTCACGGTTCACCCCGTCAGGGCCTGCTCACCTCCACAGACGCATGCCAGATGTCGCCCGTTCGTTGGCTGCTGGGATCCAGGGCAATCTCGAGGTCAGGAGGCGAGCCCTGCTTGCCGGACAGGAAGCTGCAGGGATGAAAGTGAGGGGAACGAATGAGGATAGTGAGGGAGGGAAAGACCGCGGTTGAACCGTTAGTTACAAGAATCCATTCGTTTCAGACAACCTTGGGAGTAAAGACTGACATGGCCTACAGGTAGAGATTCACGGCTGTAGCGTGACTGGTGACTTACAGGCAGAGGGTCACGGCTGTAGCATGCTTGGAGAAGAGAGCAAAGTTGACGGTTCCTCGAGCAGGCAGCCTGCTGTAGCCTTCTGGCTTGGCGCGCTTCTCCACTAGAGACGGCCCCAGAGGGGAAGGCGAGCCGGTTCCGACCTTCACTTGTGACACAGGAACGGGTGTGCTAGAAGCGAGTGTTGTTATAACGGAGGACCGTCGCCAGGATGACCAAGGAGGCGAAGCTGGGGGGAAAGAGGTGGAATCTGATCTCGAGCCGCGCATGCCCTGAAAGGGATGACGTGTGCACATAGATCAGAAGACGGGAACGGTATGCGTGAAATTTGATGTTATCATGCTAAGGAATGATAATGCCAATGACATTGGCAATGAATAGGACAATGCCATTCGAGGTGGTTCGAGACCATGGATCCGATCTCAAGCTACGCGTATCCTGGAAGGTAGACGATCAGTGACTAGCAAGTAGACTGTTGCCGACTTAGAGATCGTGAGAACGACAACAAAAGAAACGACGATATCGATGGCGACGGCGATCTTGATGGCGATGGTGATCGCATCAGATTCATCATCTGCCGGGAAAGGCGAATCATCCATCTTTTCCTACCTGGGAACTTGGAGTCAGCTCCTTGACGAAAACACGCTTTCCGATAGTATCCCTGTCCGACGTCAACACCCTCCTGACGAATCCCAGGATGCCAGGTGGCGCCGCGGCGAAAGTGCTCGCAGGCGGCCTGACGATGCTCGCCTGAGCATTCATGACGAATGCGTCGCCGGGTACAATGCCGGATACTACGCCGGAAACCACTCGCGCTGAACGCGACGTCGCCTTTTCCTTGACGCTTCGGACAGTCGAATATAAGCTAGATTTCCCGACTTCGCGCTGGAAGCTTTTGATGACTTGTAGAGCCAGCGCGTGAGGCAGGAGAACTGACTACACGACGGATTCTCCTGGAATGCGAGCTATGTGTATGGTCGCAGACAGAAGAATGAATGCTTTGAGATTCGTTCTTCAAGTCTCCAACACGAGACCTACTCAGACCAACACGAGAATTCGTTGCAAGCGGAAGTCACAATCCTTTACAACCCACCATGGCAGCTAGCACTGAGAAGAATGGCAGGATCAGACTCTCTTATTTTCTGCTGAAGGGAAAATGGTTTGCATGAGGCATGAGCAGATCATTGATCAGTCAAAAGGGGTTACCAACACAATCACTTCGCTTACTCTACATGGGCAAAATCTGGGGGGTGGGGGGGGACAGCGTCTTTCGCCACGCAAATTCGTTCGACAGCTTCAAGAGTCTTCCCGCAACAATCTCATCTCCAGCAGCACAATTCTGGCCTCGATCTTGCCGAATGATCGGAGGGGTGGAAGCTGAGCCGTGTTGATTGGCTCGACGGAGCTTTTCTGCAATTGGTCGGTAAAGGAAAGGTTGCGAAAGCGGAGATATGTTTGTAGCCTCAGTTCGGATACGTTGGTCGGGAACGATGGTGTGGTGTGGGTTCGTGATTCCTCAATCAAAAAGTGTGAAAACAGGTCATACTCAGCAGAACACACCAAATATGTGTAATGTACAAAACTTCAATCTGAATGTATGGGAAGCATCGCGTATGGAAGCTGATTAGCTTCAACTGATTGCACTGTAAAACACCTTGCTTGAACATTCACAAGATGTGCGTAACGTTCACAAATGGAATTGTAATCATACTTATGATGACATGGTAAAAAGGTCTCAGCTTCTGTGGTCTGGAACATGGGAAGGGACATCTCCAAATGTTTCCTCAATCTCAATCTTGTGGCCCTCTGGGACCTCCCATGGCTTCCACTCTGCTTGTTGGGGAGAAGAAACACACACAGCACCAACATTGTTGCCAAGACATGCCACTCCCACACACCCCATCACACGCACATAAACACAAACACACGCACTCCCCCTCCCCATCCCCCAACACACACACAAACACACATGCACACACACAAATGTACACACAAGCACAATCACACTCGTAAGAACCCATGGAATCAGCTAATCCGAAGGCCTGAATCTTTGACTGGCCAGCACAGGACCCATCACAGGAACAGCTGTGGCCACAGGCCACAATCCCCTATTCCAAACGTATAAGCAAAACTTAACCTTCTATCCACCGACTCCTCACTCACAAACCCTATTTACCGTCGTCAACCCAGTGTAGTACAGTTACAAAGCTCGTCTAAGGCCGACGAGCCCTTGGCCTCAGAAGATCAGGGATCACTTTAGGAAGAGCACACGCCAGCTCGCAATACTACAGTATCACTGTATCCTCTCATTTTTTTTTTAAATGTCTCAAGCGTGAGCAGGATACTGTACCCGTTGGGAAACTTCTGAGACGTCCCCGGCATGAGCGAGACAGTGACAGCTGGCAAAACTACCGTATTACGTTGAAGAGAATAAAGACGTCTCAAGCTTGGGCAAGATACTGAGAGCGCGCAGTACAGTACCAGATAAGGGAGGGGAGACGCGAGTTGCGAGCCGTGCAAAACATGGCCATACCATAGAGGCCTCAACCCCATGCGACGCTGGGCGCGCGACGTTGCGCGCGAACTGACGCAAGAATCCCTAACCCGATCGCAACCTTACCTGACCCCACGCCGTCACCCCCATGCGACGATTGCGACACACGGAGCTCACGCCGATTCGCGACCCCTGGTTCTGCCGATCGCGCACCTACAGACCAATAACGCAACGACGCGCTCTTTTCCCTGCTATAAACTCATGCTACTCAACACCGCTCAAGACGGCGGGAATCTGACTGGCTAACAGGACGAGAAACTCACCGGCCATCTTAGGAATCAGTTCTAGCTCGTCCTTAGCTTGCTCGATCAGCTCCTCCACCTGTCCGCATTGCACGCGCGCTTCGATCCGCTCCGCATCCTGCTCCTCCTCGCAAACCGCGAGCCGGTGCCGTGTCAGCGCCTCCACGTTCTGCCTGTACACGGCCTCCTGAGGAATCACCTGAACGGCGCTTAGGGTTTGGTTGTAGAGGCCGATGAGCACCTGACGCGCGTTGGGGACAACATCAAGGCCGACGATGCCCGTCGATTCCTTCGCCTGAGCGAACAGCGCTCCTAACCGTCGACTCAACATGGCGGCTTGTGTACACTGGACTGGGCTACTTCGGGGAGTGAAGAGCAGGAGAAAAAAAAAAAAAAAAAAATTGACATGAGATTTTGTTTTAGGCTTTCGCTGTGCGTTCATGCCGGAGTGGTTAACGGGACAGACTTGAAATCTGTTGGGCTCCGCCCTCGCAGGTTCGAATCCTGCTGAACGCGGAACTGCTTTTGTTGTCTTCATTGATCTTTGTGTTGGGACAATCATTCCCTTCTGTGCCAAACTGAACAACTGATATGATATTTTAGATTTTTGTATTTGGTGTTGATGGAGACAATAACATGGACCTTAAGGTTCAATCACTTACTCTTGAAAAACTCATGAAAGACAGACACTGCTGAAGTTAGAACAGCAGCAGTTCAGTATATGAAATGACAAAGGTCAGTCAGTGCACCCTGCCATTTCCACTGCATCAATTCCTGCTGTTGCAGCTGAGAGCACATGTTGAGAGACATTCGACACTGTCAACAATGTCTCCTGGCAAGGACCGGCCAGTGTCCCCTGCCTTATCTCATGTCTTCTCGAGTGTGAAGTAATCACATTCTCTTAAGAGTATCGGCAACTGGGAATCTTAGGAAAACAGTCCCGTGTGCCCCGCCTTTTCTCGCATCTTCTCCTGCCGCTGCAGCTCCTTCAGAGGGTCAGGGCTGCGGAAAGACCGTCGACGCCGGCTGCAAGCCAAGGATGGGAAGAAAGAGATACCACGCCATAAGACTACCTGTGACCAAGAAGAACATTTACATCTGAAGCATGGAAAGCGAAGCGATAACATACCGTTCTTTCTCGTTCAAGATCGGAAACTGCGGCATGTCCTGCTGCGCCTTCGGCAGAGGCTCCTCCCTAAACCACGCGTGATTCGCCGCATCAGCCGCACTGATCCGACGGCCAGGATCGCACATGAGCATCCGCGACAGCAGATCGAACCCCGCCTCTGACAGCGTCGGCTTCCCGCCAATCGAAATCGCCGGAAAAAGCTCTCTCAACCGATTCACCGTGAAGGACGGGAACCGGGCTCCCTTTTTGCATGCGGGCAGCTCTGAAAACCCTCGCCACGTGTCATCGGTGGGGCTTCCGAGGAGACAGAAGATTTTTTGGAGTTGCTCTATTTCGGACTCGCCCTTGAAGAGTGGTTTCTTGGTCATTATTTCAGCCATGATGCATCCCATGGACCATACGTCTATGGCTGTGGAATACTCCTTTTGCCCCAGCAGCAGCTCCGGTGCTCTGATAGGGGTGGAAGTGGTGGGGGAAGGGACAGGGGGTAGTAGGAAATAGGCCACTTATTCAGCCATGATGCATCCCATGGACCAGACGTTGATGGCTGTGGAGTACTCTTTTTGGCCCAACAGCAGTTCAGGTGCCCTTGAGTGGGTGGGGGGTGGTGGATGGTGGTGGGGAGTGGTGCTCATGAAATTGGTCATTATTTCAGCCATGATGCATCCCATGGACCAGACGTTGATGGCTGTGGAATCCTCCTTCTGCCTCAGCTACGGGCTGGGAGAGGGGCACAAGCAGTGAATTGTAGAAAAGTGAAAGAAAACCTCACCTGTACCATAGGGTAACCACAGGCTGTGTATACGGCCGAAGCGGATCCCCATACTGCCTCGCCAGGCCAAAGTGACGTCACACATGCAGCACAGAGACACTTGTAACACAGGGAAACGAACACTCACCTGTACCATAGGGTAACCACAGGCTGTGTGTACGGCATGGCAGGAGCAACACTCACCTGTACCATAGGGTAACCACAGGCTGTGTGTACGGCCGAAGCAGCAGATTTGAACATCACCACGCACCTGCAGCCGAGCACACCTGTAGCAAAGACTCGTGCAGATGGGAACATATGAAAATCACCACTCACCGGTACCATAGGGTAACCACAGGCTGTGTGTACGGCCGAAGCGAATCCCCAAAATGCCTCGCCAGGCCAAAGTCGCATATCTTGGTCCCCCCCACATTGTTCATCAGCAGAGGCTCCTACAGAAGAAAATATGTGCGATATGATCCGGCACCCACCTGTACCATAGGGTAACCACAGGCTGTGTGTATGGCCGCAACGGATCCCCATATTGCCTCGCCAAACAACAGTCACGTCACACCTGCAGCACACAAACACTTGTAGTGTAAAAAGAACACCCACCTGTACCATAGGGTAACCACAGGCTGTGTGTATGGCCGCAACGGATCCCCATATTGCCTCGCCAGGCCAAAGTCGCATATCTTGATCCCCCCTGCGTTGTTCATCAGCAGATTGGACGTCTTTAAATCCCGATGCAGCACCCAATTCGCGTGCATGTAGCTTATCCCCTCTAACAGCTGCTTCACTAAACACTTCACCTCCGCCTGCCCAAACGGCCTCGGCATCGCGTCTAAAAGCACCTTTAAATCATGCTCTACATATTCCATAACCATAAAAACCCGATCCATGGACGAATTAACCACCATTTCCTTCACTCCCACGATCGCCGGGTGGTCTAGAGACAATAGTATATTAATCTCCCGGAGTGATGTTAGCGGGAAACCCTCCCGCTCCTTCTCCATCTTGACCCGTTTCAAAGCGTAAATCTTCCCGGTTTCTTTGTCCCGAGCCCGATGCACCACACCGTACACGCCTTCCCCGAGCACGTCCAACCGTTCAAAAGAGTCCACACTACGACACCCGCCGAATATAGCTTTCACGGCTGCTGCCTCTGCTTCTGCTGCTTCACCTGCTGCTGCTGACGGCGATGGGTCATGGGGTAGTGGGGACTTGGAGGCTTCCCCATCCTTACTATCCCTCCTATCATTATCGGTTCCTTCCTTGTCCCCTTGTCCATCCCCATCACCATCACCCTCACCAAAACCATCACCTTCTCTTTCCTTCCCACCTTCTCTTTCCTTCACACTTTCACCCGCTCTACTGTCACCCCCTTCACTATCACCACCCTCCCTCCCCCTCCTCCTGCTCCTATCCCCCTCCTGCTCCTCTCCTTTTCTCTTCTTCTTCCCCTCTTCATCCACCTCCCCCTCCATATCAATATCAGCCCCCCTGTCCCTCCTTCCACCCTCATCATCAGGGGTATTATCCCTCATTCTACCCTCCTCATCCGGGGTAATATCCCTCGTTCTACCCTCCTCATCCGGGGTATTAACCCTCGCTCTACCCTCCTCATCTGCTCCCTCTGCTGCTCGCTCTTCTTCCTCTTCTTCATCCAACCATCGACTACCCCATTTCGACCCACCCACTCCCTCTGTTCGCGCCCTTCCCTCCTCCTCCTTCCTCCCTACCTCCTCCTCATGCCCTGCTGCCATATCCCCCATCTCACCTTCCTCCCTCCAATCCTCCTCTTTCTCTCCATCACTCATCTCCTCCTTTCCCCCATCAGCTCTCCCCCTTCTTCCTTCTTCCCCCCTGCCCTTCCCTTCCATCTCCTCCTCTATCTCCCCCGCCTCTCCATCTCCCCATCTGCTCCTCTTCACCCCTCCCCTCACTCTCCTCTGCTCCCCTTCCTCCCTTTCCTCTCCTTCCTCCCCCTCCTCCTCTCCCTCCGCTCCCTTCCTTCTCCCTCTCTTCTTCCTTCCCTCCCCTTCCCCTTCCTCTCCCCCCTCCTCCCACTCCGCCTCCCCCTCCCCCGCCTCCCGCTCTCTTCTCGCCAGCTCAGCAATCAGCCTCATCCTCTCTCTCTTCCTTGCTTCCAACTCCTCCTCTACTGCACTTCTATTCCCCTTACTCAACAACCCTGCTCCTGCACCTGCTGCTGCACCTGCTCCTGGCTTCTCTTCTTCACTTCTCACATCCCCTCCGTCCCTCCCCCCATCATACCCCATCCCTCTTCCCATACCTCTCCCCATGCCCCTACCCATGCCTCTCCCCATCTCCCCACCCATACCCCCCCTACCCATACCTCCATCCCTACCCATACCTCCATCCCTACCCATACCCCTTCCCATTCCCCTCCCCATGTCGTTCATGCCCCCCCTCCCCATTCCCCTTCCCATTTCCCCATCCATGCCCCCCCTTCCCATTCCCCTGCCCATCCCGCCCCTCCCCACACCCCAGTCCATACCTCTCCCCCTCCCCATCACAGGCCCATCCCCAGCCCTCCACGTTCCTTCCCCTTGCTGCCACTCCTCCCCAGGCCTCCGGGCCTCATCCCCTTTCCACCCATCCCCAGGCCTCCTTGCTGCATCCCCCTTCCACCCCTCACTGCTCCTCCCCTCGTTACTCCTCCCCTCTGTCCACCCCTCATCAGGCCTCCCATCCCCCCCCTGATCTCTCAAAAAGCTCCTGCCTCTCCCACCGACAGGCCCCCCTCTTCTCGTCTCCCCTTCCTCATCTTTCCTCCCATCCTTATCTGCTGTGTCCTCTCCTCGCCTCTCCTCCCCTCGCCTCTCCTGTTCTCCTGCCTTTCGGAAGGATGGCTTCTGAAACTCGCTGCTGCCGCCCCTCCCGCCCCCACTGCTCCTCCCGTCGTTCATCCTTCCCTCCCCTCTCCCCTCCCTCTGCCCCCTCCCTCCCGCCCCGTCCGACCCACCATAATCCTCCTCTGAACCATCCCCTGTCACTCTCCCCTCCCTCCTCTTCGTCCCCCTCCCTGTCTCTTCTCCTCCCCTCTCATCCTTAGCCATCCCCTTTCTCCCTCTCTCATCTCTTTCCCTCTCTTCCCTCCCTTTTTCTTCTTTCCCTTGATCTTCTCTCACCCGTTTCTCCTCCTTCTCTCTCCCTTCCCTTCCAACCTCTTCCCTGTCCTGCTCCTCCTTCCTCCTCCTTCCCTTCTCCTCTTCCCTCTTCCCCTCCCGCCCATCCCGACCACTATTCCTATGCCCATCCTTATGCCTCCCTTTCTCCCTCTCTTCCTCCCCCTCATCCTCTCTCTCCCTCTTCCGACCCCCTGCGTTGTCACGACCATGCCTGTCTGTTTCCTTGTGCCCCTCCTTGTGCCTACTCTCGCGTTCCTTCCCATGCCCGTCCCCACGATCCCTTGTCTCCCCTTTTGGTCCCCATCTCTCCCTCTCCTTCTCCTTCGCCTTTGACCTTTCTTTTTCTCGCTCATCTTCCTTCTCATGCCCTTTACCCCTCTCTTTCTCCTCCTTCCTCTCCCCAGCTTTCTCTCCATCCTCCATCCCCATTTCCTCCCTCTCCCTCTCCCGTCTCCTCGACTCATCCCCCTTATCATCCCTCTCCCCCCTTCCCCGTTCTTTCTCACGCCTCCTCTCGTTTTCTTTCTCCCTATCATGCCCCCTCCCATGTCCCCTCTCCTTCTCTCTCTCCTTCTCTCTGTCCTTCTCTCTCTCCTTCTCTCTCTCCTTCTCCCTCTCCTTCTCCCTCTCCTTTTCTCTCTCCTTATAACTCGTCTTCTCCCTTTCCCTTCCCTTCTCCCTCTCCTTCTCCCTCTCCTCTCTCTCCTTCTCCCCTTCCCCCCTCTGCACTGCGCCCCTTTCCTTCCCACCCTCCCTTCCCCCGCTCCTGTGCCCCTTCTCCCCACCTCGATCCCCATCCCCATCGCCCCTTCTCGTCCCCCTCTCATCGTCCTTCCTCCACCCCTCATCTCGCCCTTCCCCTCCTCTCGCTCTCTCCCGCTCTCTCTCCCTATCTCTCCCCCTCCTCACGCCACCATTCGAACGCTCCTCCTCTTCCCGCTCCAATCGCTGCAAATCTCCTCGTGAACCCCGCCTCATTCCCATGCCTCCCCCTCGCAAACCGTCCCTTTCACCATCTCTTTCCTCCACCCCATTCGTTCCCTCCCCTCCCTCTCCTCTCTCTCCTCCCTCTCTTCTTCCTCCTCCCTTTTCTCCCACTTCTTCCCTCAAATCCCCTCTTGAGCTTCTCCTAACGCCCATGCCCCCACCTGCCCCAGCACCAACCCTCTCACCCTCCTCTCTATTTCCTTTCTCCCCTCTTCCCTCTCTCTCCACCCTCTTTTCCTTCTCTTCCCTATTATCCCCCTCCTTTCGCTCCAAGTCCTTCAAATTACCTCTAGAGCCTCGCCGCACACCCATTCCCGTCCCACCACCTCTTTCACCAACACTCTTATCGCTGCCACCAGCAACCGTTCCTTTAGCAGCAGCAGCAGCGTCTTTATTGCTCCTCTCTTCGTTCCTCCCCTCACTCCTCCCCTCGCTTCCCCCATCACCCCTCCCCTCACCTCTCCCCTCACCCCTCCCCTCGCCTCTCCCCTCGCTCCTCCCCTCACCTCTCCCCTCACGCCTCTCCACAGCCCTCCCTCTCCTCCACGTCTCCTCCCCCTCCTCACTCGCCTCGCTATCACTCAAATCAGACGCAGACAAAGACAGCTCCGATGATTCCTCACTGCTGCTGCTGCTGCTACTGCTGCTGCTCCTCCTCCTCTCACCCTCTGCAGACTTCTGTTCATAAGCCACGCTAGCAATCATCATTCCTCCGTCCTTCTCAACTGATATCCTTTTCGGGTCTTGTGTTGGGAGTTCCTCCTGCTCTGTAGGTGTAAACACTGGCTGATTAAAGCCCGACCCCTGTTGCTCTTTCATCTCACTTGCCCTCTCTCGAGCCCGCCCCTTCTCTCCTCCTGCTTCATTCGAGCTCTGAGGCGCCTCACAAGCCAAACCATTGTAATCCGGACCCTTCTCTCCTCCTGTTCTACTTGTAGTCAGTAACTCTCTGTCTGTGTCTCTGTCTATGTCCCTGTAACCACCATCTCTTTCCCTCCTCATTTCGTCCACTACGCCCCCCGATTCCTGCCACTTCTCTTCTTCCGACCCTCCCATTCTTCCAGGATCTCTATTACCCTCCTCTCTTTCTCTCTCCCGCTCATTACCCCAGAAACCCTGCTCTTCCTCGTCCTCGCTCTCTTCCTCCCCCCAATCCACCCTCTCCTCCTCCTCCCCTTCTTCCTCCTTATCCTCCTCCCTCTCCCTCTCCCTCACTCTCACTCGCTCCCCTTCTCCCCTTCCAGCCTCCACCTTCGTCTCTACCCCATTCCCTTCTCTTCCTTCCGCCTCCCCGTTACCAACCCCCGTTTTTATCACACCAGTCTTCTCCTGCGCATCTTGCTCCTCTTCCAACTCGTTTAGATCATCCATCCAGTTCCTCTCCGCATTATCATGGTCCTTACCATCTCGCTCGTCCCTATCACGCTCGTTCCTATCACTCTCGCGCCCCTTATTATCACGCTCCCTAGAGTCACTCGCCCCGCCAGGCTCCCTCCCCCCGCCTCCATCAAACTCCCCCTCCTCAATCTCCCCCTCCTCTCCCCCAACCATCCCCTCTTTCTTCCCCCATGCCCCGCCGCCCATCTCCCCATCCTCCTCCTCCTGCTCACCACCACCATTACCATCCTCACCACTCCCAACCGCATCTCTTTCCCTTCCAACCCCCACATCACCCCTCTCCACCCTCTCCTCCCCCACCCCCTGGTCCTCAAACCCCTCGTACCCCCTTTCCCTGTTCTCGCCCTCCTCCCTCTCCTCCCCATCCCACCCCATCCCCTCTTCCCCTTCCTCTAGCTCTTCAAAGCTCGGCCGCACTCTAGTCCCCGCTCCCAAACGGCTTCCGTTGAACTCCCTGCCCCTCTCGCTCTTCTCCCGAGAGCCATCTTTCAAATAAGCGCCTCTTTCCCGTGACTTGTCTCTTGAAAATCCGTCTCTTTCTATCGAGTTGTCTTGTAACGAAGCCCCTCTTGCCGCACTCATTTCCACACCCAGAGGGCTTCGACCAGCCTGGAAGGTCCTTGCTCTCCGCTCGCTATTGTCACGCCCGTCAGAGTCCCCCTTGCTGTGACTATGACTCTGACTGTGACTGTGACCGTGACCGTGACTGTGCGAGGGGGAGTCCCTCTGCCAATGGTGTGGGTATGGCCGACCCTCCCTCTCCTTCTCCCCCTCTCTCTCCCGCTCCCTGCTCCCTGCTCTCTCCATACTCCCCTTCCTCTCTCTGCTTCCCCTCCTCTCCACACTCCCCCTCCTCTCCACACTCCCCCTCCTCTCCACACGCCCCCTCTCCTCGCTTCTCCCCTCTCTGCCGCCCATATCACTCCCTCCTCGCTCTCTGCTGCTTCCGCGAAGCTGCTCCTTCTTTTGCGGACTGCCATCAGAACCCAGTCGGGACCAGACCCCTTTACGGGTTGCAGTGTTACCGTCCCCACGATTTCGCTCCTCCGTCCTCTCCTCCCTTCTTTCCTCCCTCTCCTCCTCCCTTCCGTCCACCCACTCATCCCTCCCACCTCTCACGTCTCCTCCACTCCTCCCCCCTCGCTCCGCCCAATCAGCCCCCCTGCTCCTCCCCATCCCCCGCTCGCCAGCTCCCCTCCCGCTACCGTCCCTCCCCCAACGCCCCCCCCTTCCGCCTCTAAAGCCCCCGTCGCCTCTGCCCTCCCTCCCAAATCTCCCCCTCCCACCACCCCAATTCCCGTCGCCGCCCCTCTCGTCCCTGCCGAGCCTCCCTTTCATCCCTCCCATTTCCGAACCTACAACCCCCCTTCCACTTCCCCCACGAAACCGCGGCTCCCGGTCCTCTCTCCCCTCACCGCTGACCTCCTTCCCCCCGTCCCGCGGCTCCCGTTCCGCACCTTGCGGATGCATCGGCGGAGTTCTTCCCCCTCCTTGCGGATGCATCGGCGGAGTTCTTCCCCCTCCTTGCGAATCCCTATCCCTGGCTCTTTCTCTGTCTCTGTCCCTGTCTCTGTCCCTGTCTCTGTCCCTTTCATGTCCAGCAGCCCTCAGTCTCTCGCGGAGATCTTCATTTGAAACCCTAACACCTCCTCCTCTCCTGTCGCCGGGTCCTCTCGGCGGCAATCCACGGTCTTCCTTTTCTTTGACGGTTCTCGCCAAATCTCCACCGTCCCTTGGATCGTGCGTCCAATCAGCAGCTCGTTGAGCTGAGGCCATTACCGGTTCTCTCGACGAACGTTCCTGGTAATTTCCCCTCCCTTTCTGGCTCTCGGAATAATCACCACCGTCCGATCTCCGTCCTCCCCCCCACGCATCGCTAAAACTCCTCCCGGCCGTCGATCTGTCATCGGAATAGTGCTTCCCAGCAAATCCGGCCGTCGATTCAGCAGACACATCTTTCCGCTCTGGAGGTCCCGGATCCATCAAAACGAAGATCGGGAAACCCTAATGCACAAATTGAATTAAAATGGACCAAGTAGGACTACACTGGATTTATGAGAATTAATTGGAAAATCAATGAAGAAAAATTGCTGGAACCACGAAAGCTAGTCAAACGTACATGGCATCCGGTACGCCTCGGATCCGATCGGACGGTCCCGATTCAACCTCCGCCGCTCATCCCAATCCAAGGAATTTACAAACCTCCAATGCCCGTCGACGCGTCAACGGAAAACGGCAGCGTAGAGAAAAGCGACGCGCGAGCGGATACGGAAACTGATAAGCAAAGGATAGGCGATTCAGCAAGGCCACCATTGATCAGAAGAACAAAGAACCAGTGTCCATAGACTAGCTGCGCGGGAGAAATGGATGGTGGGTGTGATGAACCGGCTGAAGAAACCGGTTACCACATGGCCTGAGGTCAGGATCAGGGAGTTCGCAGAACTTCCCTGCCGAACTCTTGCTGGCCGTCTTGTGGAAAATCTCGAGGTTGGGGGAAGGTGTCCAGTTTCAAGGAGGAAAATGAAATCCAGCGGTGGCTTCGACAGCAGGGGGACGCGCACGTGGGGCTAGCTGTGTCACGGGGGGCTTGTCGGGAGGATGACACTTCGTTCTCGGCTTACCTTTTGGGGTCTCTGAAGGCGCTCATCGGAGTGGCGTTACAACGGGCGCAAGCTCGTGTCATCCTGCTTCGGGCGGCGTCTTCCATGGGGGGGTTGAATGTGGACTTGGTGGATCGGGAGAGGGACGATGTCGAGGTGGAGGGCGGGCCTCTTTGGGTGGAGGCCCCCTACATGGTGGATGTGCAGATGTGACTTGGGGGGGAGGGGGGGGGGGGGGGCGAGGGGGAATGGGGTGCGAGATGGGACGTCTGGTAGGGGATCCTGGTTGGGTTTTTTCTTTATGGAGTATTTTTATGGGGCTTTTTATGGGTGTTGCGTTTGAGTTGTTTCTGGTGTCTTTCTTTCCCTTTTCCTTCTCCCTCTTTCCCTTTTCCTCTTTCAAAAGCGTGAAGCCAGTTTCTGGGACTTAATATGAAAATGCTTTTGTAAAAAAAAAAAAAAAAAAAAAAAAAAAAATGAAATCCAGCACGTATTATCTAAACGATACACTGCTATGCAAAAGGTGTTTTAAAAAAGAAGTTATGCTCTAAAATCCCCAAGAAAATAAGAACAAGCCTTTAGTTTGCAAAAATCACAACTATCCTGCTCTAGAGAACCAGAATAAGTAACCACATATTATGATAACTGCATAGGCTGCACAGCCCTTCTCATAGTAACATAAACACATCGAATCTATCAAAACACAAATCACATGCATCAGCCCTATCTTGAGCATGGAACACTTTGTTCCAGAAATCCACCTTTCGAGCTTCCAGCATCATAGAAAGCAACTACTCTGTCCTATCCTATTCTTTCAGCCTACCCAGCTGAAGCTGACCTCAGCATACTTCGTTAAACAGCACTTTAGCAAACTGTCAGCTTTCTTGAATCTCCTGGAGAATCTTCTGGCAAATCTTCTAAAGAATCTCCTGTCAACTATTTGCTGCTGGGACAGCAGCAGCAACAGCAACATCTGCAGATGTGTAGTCATCTTTATCCTCTTTATTGCATCCTTCGCTTCCATCCCCACTGCTTGGATTGATTCCTAATAAATCCTCAGCGAGGCCGTTGCTACAGTCGGGAGGGTTGTATGTGTCGTACGGAAGGGGCTGGTTTGAGAGCAACAGGGATCCGTAGGGGGAGTGGTCAGTGGTTAGGGTTGAATGCTCCTGGTCGTGCTGTGGTGGGTGAGGGGAGAGGGGAGGGAAAGGGATGAGGGGTAAAAAAGGTTGGTGGATAAAGCAGTAAGGATACGTAAGGATAGTGGGCAGTGGTTAGGGTTGAATGCCCCTGGTCGTGCTGCGGTGAGGCAGTGCGGGGAGGAGAGAGGGGAGGAACAGAGAGAGGGGAGACAGTGGAGGGAGGAGATGAGATCTAAGGGAAAGAGGAGGTTTGTGCATTTTACTTGCACAACAGTCACACTCTATACAGTCACACTTGAAACTGTCACACTCGATAAAGTCACGCTCACCAGAGCTTCGAGTCTCTTCAGCAATTGCACCACCTCGCCCATGGGGGGTCGGTCAGTCGGTTCAGCTGCCACACACGCCTGAGCCACTGCTGCTGCTTGCTCCAGGTCGCTGAGTGATACCTGGTGGTGTGATGGGGAGGGGGTGAGAACCATACAGACGAGAGGGAGTGGTTTTCCTGGTGTGAGGGGTGGGGAGAGGGAGGATTTGCTGCCTGTCGGTTCAGCCGCCACACGCCTGTGGCACTGCTGCTGCTTGCTCGAGATTACTAAGTGACACCTGGCGGTGTGACGGGGAAGAGGAGGGGGGGGATGAAGTTGATCAAAAGGGCGGGGGAGGATACCAGTTGATCAAAAGGGCGGGGGAGGATACCAGTTGATCAAAAGGGCGGGGGAGGATACCAGTTGATCAAAAGGGCGGGGGAGGATACCAGTTGATCAAAAGGGCGGGGGAGGATACCAGTTGATCAAAAGGGCGGGGGAGGATACCAGTTGATCAAAAGGGCGGGGGAGGATACCAGTTGATCAAAAGGGCGGGGGAGGATACCAGTTGATCAAAAGGGCGGGGGAGGATACCAGTTGATCAAAAGGGCGGGGGAGGATACCAGTTGATCAAAAGGGCGGGGGAGGATACCAGTTGATCAAAAGGGCGGGGGAGGATACCAGTTGATCAAAAGGCCGGGGGAGGATACCAGTTGATCAAAAGGGCGGGGGAGGATACCAGTGGGGGAGGATACCAGTTGATCAAAAGGGTGGGGGAGGATACCAGTTGATCAAAAGGGTGGGGGAGGATACCAGTTGATCAAAAGGGTGGGGGAGGATACCAGTTGATCAAAAGGGTGGGGGAGGATACCAGTTGATCAAAAGGGTGGGGGAGGATACCAGTTGATCAAAAGGGCGGGGGAGGATACCAGTTGATCAAAAGGGCGGGGGAGGATACCAGTTGATCAAAAGGGCGGGGGAGGATACCAGTTGATCAAAAGGGCGGGGGAGGATACCAGTTGATCAAAAGGGCGGGGGAGGATACCAGTTGATCAAAAGGGCGGGGGAGGATACCAGTTGATCAAAAGGGCGGGGGAGGATACCAGTTGATCAAAAGGGCGGGGGAGGATACCAGTTGATCAAAAGGGCGGGGGAGGATACCAGTTGATCAAAAGGGTGGGGGAGGATACCAGTTGATCAAAAGGGTGGGGGAGGATACCAGTTGATCAAAAGGGTGGGGGAGGATACCAGTTGATCAAAAGGGTGGGGGAGGATACCAGTTGATCAAAAGGGTGGGGGAGGATACCAGTTGATCAAAAGGGTGGGGGAGGATACCAGTTGATCAAAAGGGTGGGGGAGGATACCAGTTGATCAAAAGGGTGGGGGAGGATACCAGTTGATCAAAAGGGTGGGGGAGGATACCAGTTGATCAAAAGGGTGGGGGAGGATACCAGTTGATCAAAAGGGTGGGGGAGGATACCAGTTGATCAAAAGGGCGGGGGAGGATACCAGTTGATCAAAAGGGTGGGGGAGGATACCAGTTGATCAAAAGGGCGGGGGAGGATACCAGTTGATCAAAAGGGCGGGGGAGGATACCAGTTGATCAAAAGGGCGGGGGAGGATACCAGTTGATCAAAAGGGCGGGGGAGGATACCAGTTGATCAAAAGGGCGGGGGAGGATACCAGTTGATCAAAAGGGCGGGGGAGGATACCAGTTGATCAAAAGGGCGGGGGAGGATACCAGTTGATCAAAAGGGCGGGGGAGGATACCAGTTGATCAAAAGGGCGGGGGAGGATACCAGTTGATCAAAAGGGCGGGGGAGGATACCAGTTGATCAAAAGGGCGGGGGAGGATACCAGTTGATCAAAAGGGCGGGGGAGGATACCAGTTGATCAAAAGGGTGGGGGAGGATACCAGTTGATCAAAAGGGTGGGGGAGGATACCAGTTGATCAAAAGGGTGGGGGAGGATACCAGTTGATCAAAAGGGTGGGGGAGGATACCAGTTGATCAAAAGGGTGGGGGAGGATACCAGTTGATCAAAAGGGTGGGGGAGGATACCAGTTGATCAAAAGGGTGGGGGAGGATACCAGTTGATCAAAAGGGTGGGGGAGGATACCAGTTGATCAAAAGGGTGGGGGAGGATACCAGTTGATCAAAAGGGTGGGGGAGGATACCAGTTGATCAAAAGGGTGGGGGAGGATACCAGTTGATCAAAAGGGCGGGGGAGGATACCAGTTGATCAAAAGGGCGGGGGAGGATACCAGTTGATCAAAAGGGTGGGGGAGGATACCAGTTGATCAAAGGGTGGGGGAGGATACCAGTTGATCAAAAGGGTGGGGGAGGATACCAGTTGATCAGCGTCGATCCAGCCGAGACACATTGGCATATCTAGCTGACTTTTGAGTCGACTCAAAAGCCAGCCAACACACACTGGCATATCATCCAGCCGTCCTGCATTGCCCAGCCCACCCGGGGTCGCGGCCACGTGACCGGGTTCTCATCGCCAGAAAGCCAATTCTGGCCAAGACTCATGTCCACAGGCTTCTGCCTTCACCTTAACGGATTATGTGCTGAACCCAACGAGCTCTCACCTCTCACCTGGGAGGCGATTCTTGGATCCAGCATTTCATCCAGCCGTCCAGGGTTGCCCAGCCGGGGTCGCGCCCATGTGACCAGGTCGCGCCCACGGGGCTAAGTTCTCACCTCCCCGGGGGGCTGACTCATGTCTGTGGGCTTCACTCACCTGAACCCAGTGAATAATCTCCTGAATCCAGGCGAATCTCACCTGGGAAGAATATTCTCAGCAATTCGGGTCCAAAAGGCTCATCCAGCCGTCCAAGGTTGCCCAGCTGGGCTCGCGCCCATGTGACCAGGCGTGCCCATGTGACCAGGCGCGCCCATGTGAGCAGGCGCGCCCATGTGAGCAGGCGCGCCCATGTGAGCAGGCGCGCCCATGTGACCAGGCGCGCCCGTGTGACCAGGCGCGCCCATGTGAGCAGGCGCGCCCGTGTGAGCAGGCTCTCATCTCAGCCCCTGTGGCTGGCTTATGTCTACAGGCTTTCGAAATGAACCAAACAGATTCCTACCATATAAGGATTCCCAAAAAAAGTCTCACCTGTGAAGCAACCCTCCCTCTCCACTCCCTCCCTCCAACCTGTGAAGCAACCCTCGGGTGAGACGTTTTGACACCCGGGTGTCTGGCAGTTCATCGAGCTGCCCAGGACTTCCCAGCCGGGATCGTGCCCATGCCCATGTGACCAGGTTCTCATCCGCCGGAGGCTGACTCATGTCCACGGGCTTCTCTTCTCACCTGAACCCAGCAAATTCTGTTCTGACATGTTGAACCCAACGAGCTCTCACCTGGGAGGCGATTCGCGGGTCCAGAAGTTTATCAAGCCGCCCCCAACTTCCCAGCCGGGGTCGTGCCCATGTGACCAGGTTCTCATCCGCCAGAGGCTCACTCATGTCCACGGGCTACTTCCCAAAACCGAGCTTACAGTGTCCTGAACCCAGCAAATTCTCAAAGTAAGAATCCCCAAAAAGGTCTTACCTGGGAAGCAATCCTGGGGTCCAGCAGTTCATCCATCCATCCAGCCTGCCAGGATTCTCCAGCGCAGAGTCGCGCCCACGTGACCAGGTTCTCGTCCCCCGGGGGTTGGCTAATGTCAACGGGCTTGCTGCCTGTGACCTGAACCCAACTTACAATGTCCTGAAACCAAAGGGCAGTCCCACCTGGGAGGCGATTCTCGGATCCAGAAGCTCATCCAGCCGCCCAGGGTTGCCTAGCCGAGGCCGCGCCCATGTGACCAGGTTCTCATCCCCAGGCGGTTGACTCATGTCAACGGGCTTGCTGCCTGTGACCTGAACCCGAGGAACAAGGTCCTAAGCCCAACGAGCTCTCACCTGGGAAGCAATCCGCGGGTCCAGCAGCTCATCCAGCCGCCCAGGGTTGCCCAGCCGGGGCCGCGCCCAGGTGACCAGGTTCTCATCCCCAGGTGGTTGACTCATGTCCACAGGCTTCCTCCCTGTGAGTAATTCCAGCAGCACGACGCCATAGCTGTACACATCGGAAGCAACCACCAGGTGCCCCGTCATTGCATACTCTGGAGCAACGTAGCTGAGGGACAAGGGGAAAGATGGGAGGGGAGGGGGGATTCATTCATCTCATCAGCATTGCATCAGTGAGCCTCCCTCCCTCCCTGTGAGCAGCTCCAGCAGCACCACGCCATGGCTGTACACGTCAGACACACTGGGATGGGAAGAGTTATCTCCAGTGCACCAGCCTTCCCTTCTGACAGCAGAAAATCCAGGTGTGTTTTGCACCAGCCTTCTGAGTCGACTCAAAACACACCTCATCTCCAGTGCACCAGCCTTCCCTTCTGACAGCAGAAAATCCAGGTGTGTTTTGCACCAGCCTTCTGAGTCGACTCAAAACACACCTCATCTCCAGTGCACCAGCCTTCCCTTCTGACAGCAGAAAACGTATGTCTCCAGTGCGTCAGAAAATCGCACCGAATTAACCGAATGTGGTCCTGACTTCCCCAAACGTATTCCAGTGCCTGACTGACCTCACCCATCCAAACATGGCACCCCTAACCAACTCACCCAACCAAACGCGCCGATGGCGCAGGATGACATGTAATGTACCCCTCAGGACCCAAGACGAAAATCGGTTTGAGACCACGCGCCTATAACGCAAACCGGTTTCACCAGCCCCCAATCCGCCACTTTGGCATGAGATTCGATCTCCAGGAGGATGTTGGAGGACTTGAGTCCCCAACGCCTGACCTCACCCAGTCACACGTGCTCTCACTGACTCACCCGAACGTGCCCATCACTCGGGTCGAGATGTACCCCTCGGGTCCCTCCGGGGCCGGTTTCGCCAGCCCAAAATCCGCCACCTTGGCGAGAAAATCGTTCTCGAGAAGGATGTTAGAGGACTTGAGGTCTCTGTGAATGACGAGCGGCTGTGAGTCCTCGTGCAGGTAGGCCAGCCCCCTCGCTGCTCCCAGCGCCACCCGCATGCGCGTCGCCCAGTCAAGCACGATTTCCTTGGAGAAGGAGCCTGGTGGGGGAGAGGAAGGGAGAGAGGGGCAGGGGAGGCGCAGGGAGGGGAGGGGAGGGGGGAGGCAGCAGGGAGGGAGGGGGAGCGAGTGGGGGGGAATGAGGCAGGCTTGGCGCGAGGAAGTCATTCTCCAAGAGGATGTTGGAGGACTTGAGTTTGCAGTGGATGGCGAAGGGCTGTGAGTCCTCGTGCAGGTAGGCCAGCCCCCTCGCTGCTCCCAGCGCCACCCGCATGCGCGTCGCCCAGTCAAGCACGATTTCTTCGGAGAAGGAGCCTGGTGTGGGGACAAACGGAGGGGAGGGGAGGGGCAGCGTAGGCCAGCCCCCTCGCTTGAGGGGAGGCCCACACGACGACTTTGCATCATGCGATTCCGGTGGTGCAGGCGGCTCAGCATCTCCACCTCCACCACACACTCGCTCAGGGAGGGAAAGGGAAGGGAGGGAGGGACACGTACCATGCAACCAGGCCTCTAGACTCCCATTAGGGACGAGCTCGTAACACAGCAGTTGGTGATGGTGGCTGGCGCAGTAACCAATGAGCTTCACCAGATTCCGGTGGTGCAGGCGGCTCAGCATCTCCACCTCCACCACAAACTCGCGCTCGCCCTGCCCGCCCCTGCCACCCCCCTTGGCGCGCCCGCTGCCGGTCACGCGCAGGCGGGTGAGGCGCTTCACTGCCACCTCCTGCCCGTTCTTCAGCCGCCCCCGGTACACTCGCCCAAACCCGCCCTCCCCTAAGTAATTGGCATGGTCAAAACTGCAAGGGAGGGGGGGGTTGGGACGAGGAGGAAGGCGGAGGGAAGGGGAGGGAGGGAGGGAAATGAGGGGGTGACTCGCAGGCGAGTGAGCTGCTTCACTGCCACCTCCTGCCTGTTCTTCAGCCGCCCCTGGTATACGCGGCCCAACCCACCCTCCCTGGGCAGATTTGACAGAAAAGGAGGAGGGGAGAGATGAGGGAGCGTGTGGCCAGGTGAAACCTTCTTTCTCCAAGTGAGTGAGAGGTTTCATAATGGGAACAGAAAGAGTGAGAGCAAGAGGATAGATTTGTTATTAGTAAACAGGTGGGCTGCGGAGGTCTGATGTCCATCAACCTGAGTGTTACTGAGACGGCGAGACAAACTCCAGAATGGCAGCAGAAAGAGTGAGAGCAAGAGGATAGATTTGACCTACTTGTTAGTCGCCTCTGCCAGCTCAGCGAAGGTGAAGACTCGAACGCTCATTGGTCGAGGGAGAGACGACTGATTCGTTGACTCGGTCACTGGTGTCTCCTGCATACTTGTCCCACCCCCCCTGTCAACCCCATTGCAACCACCACCTTCCCCTCCTCCTCTCTCCCCTCCTCCTCCTCTCCCTCCTCCTTCTCCTCCTCCCTCTTTTGCTCTTCCGTTACCAGTCTCATTGTTATCACATCCGTTATAACCATCAGCAGTAGCACCATTCCCTTGTGAATCTCTCTTTCGTTCTGACGCGTTTCTGGCAGCAGCGGCGGACGAAGATTCCCTCACCATCTGACGAAGCTTCTCGTCCTCCCCTCCTTTCTCCATATCCCTGCCGCCTTTCCTCCTCCCAGGAACGCAGCAGCAGCAGTAGATCGTGACTATAACGATCAGCGCTATAAGCACCGCCGCCCCTGCCAGTAACCCTATTAGTGCTACAGTGCTTATACCGCTACTGCTGCCACTGCTCCCGTTGCTCTCACTCCTAGTCCCATTATTGCTACTGCTACTGCTGCCCTCACTGCTACTGCTGCTGCTGTTGCTGCTGCTCTCTCCGCCGTCGGATTTGTTATCTGTGCCATCTGAATTGGGCTGATCCGACGGTGGTGCAGGCGCGGGGGCTTGGGGTGGCGGAGGGGGAGGCGGAGGGGGTGGGGGACCTGGCGCAAATGGTCGGACAAGGGGGGCGCGCGGGGGAATGGGGTCATGAGGGGGAAGGAGAGCAAATGGGGGAAAGGGAGCACGAGGGGGAAATGGGCATGCGGGGAAAGGGCAGGAGGGGGAAGGGGAGCACGAAGAGGGACGGGGTGCGCGGAGGAAGGGGAGCGCGAAGGGGAACGGGGCGCGCGGAGGAAGGGGAGCACGAAAGGGGAGCGGGGTATGCGGGGAATGAGCGCGAGGGGGAAGGGGAGCTTACTGTGAGGGGGTGGTGGCGGCGGCGCTAGTTGCACGAGACTGATCAACGTGTAGTGACTGAATACATCGGGATCGAGCATTACTTGTCGTCGCGAAAGCCGCTGGCGAGTGTTGTTCACGAACTTTGGCGAAAACGTGACGTCGTGGTTCGGTAGTAACAATAGGGTTACCGCCGCGCTGCTTCCGTCGGTTCGCTGTAACGCCCTTCGCTGGATCTGATCCTCCTGCAAGGATAGTTCCCGCGCAAGTACCTGTTTGGAAACAAAAAAAAAAAACAAACAAAAAAAGAGAGAGAGGGAGCGGGGAGACGGGGGGGATCAGAGCAGACGATACAGACGGGAGGAGGAGAAAGCACTAGTGCTTCATCCAGTTCCTCTCAAAACGGACGCGACTGTTCAAACTGTGACACGATTTATTTCATCGAGCACTGGCGCCTCTACAAATGGCCGAGAATCCCTTATAGAGGCCTCCCCGTTACCTGGATAAACGGCCGGAAGTTTTTCTCGATATCGGACGCGTTAGAGAACTCAATTTTCAGCTCCAGCGGCCGCACGCACGTGCAGTTCCCCTTGGTCGCGGACGGGCTCAGCGCCTCCCACTCGCGGTTCCCGCATGCGCCAACGCAAATCTCCGCTGCCGCCGCTCCTCCCGCGAGAGATCGGGGCCATGAGGTCCGGCCGTTTAGAGAAGGCTCGCGAACTAGAACGGTCTCTGGTGCTAGAGGTGACTCAGAAATGGACTCAGGAGTCGATGCGCTTCCGGCGACAGGAACGAGGAGGGATATAAGTACCGGGACCAGCAGCAGCAACAGCTTCAGCCGGCGATTCCGCCATGGACCGCGATTTGACACAGGATGGAGACAGCCTGGGGAGCTGCGACCGCTGAACACGTTTCTCGACTCATTAAAGCGCAATTGTTTGATGTCCCGATTAGAGCTGCTTCGATTGTGCACACTGAGGCTCGAGCAGAGCCCAGCCTGCTTAAACCTAAGTACCGAGCAATCTGAGTCGACATTGTGGCTGGAGTGATCTCGGCTGTTGGGTCTTAACTCGATAAAATCTCTCTCGGATGTGCTGATCTGGTCGACAACGAGGCGTGGGACTGTGACAGTCATATGGATGCTCTTCGAGACGCCTTAAACGTCGAGCAAAAGCGCGGTTGTAATAGACATGCGGATACGCCAGGGTAGCTCTGGTTACCACAGCTATTTTTAGTGGACTTAAAAAGCGGTTGTAACAGACATGCGGATACGCCAGGTTGGCTCTGGTTACCACAGCTGGTCCGTTTTACTACGTTGGGAATTTCGAGTTAGAATAAGGATGGAGCGCACCAACACTTGTGAAGGTGCTTACACAATGCGTATGAAGCGTGCACAGCACCGTTCGTGCGCAAACGTATATGGTAGCCACGTAGAATAAGAATCGTGGGGACTTACGGGCTGTAGCACAGACAGACTGTTCAAGACTGGTCTGAGAACCTTACCTGTGGGGCAACAGCAAAAAAATTAGTCAGAAAACAGCCTACCTAGTTTATGATCATCAATATGTGGTCACTATATCACAGTACGATTATGTGTGTGTGAACATCAGCCTCCTACGACATGGAATAACTTCCCCTAGGTTCTGCCTGGCTGGACCAGAGTGTCCTAGCCATATGTGCGCATGGAAAGGAAAGTGATGGTGGGGTGGAGAGGGGCTTGGAAATGGAGAATGGACTTGAGGAATTGTTCGCTAGGTAAGGGGAGATGTGGTTCGGCTCGGCTAGCTTTGGTGGCCGACATTGGGAAAAAAGTTTCGGCTCGGGCCCGTCAGGTCCGTAATATTTTGCTGCAACTTGGAAAGGCGCACTAGCCACAGCGCCTGGCTTTTTCTGCCCAGGGACTGCGCTTCGTCGGGAGTAGTAAACACCTATTTTTGGGCCACCGATTCGTTCTGGCAAACTAGACAAACGGGGGCGGGGACTCCCGCCGAGTCACGACAACACCCTCGGGTTTCGCGGTTCGAGCAAATTGAGCGGCTGCCACAACAAAATTCCACGAAGCACCCCTCGCCGGGTGTTGTGCGCCCTTGAAAGATTTGGTTGCTCTACACTGATTCATGGGAGATTGAATATACTGGCAGTAAAATTAAAAAGCTGTCACTCCACCGGTAAGTGACTCCTTGCAAGAACCATGGCGAAGTGCCCAGGCTATCAGCACATACTGATTGACCCCGTGCTACCATTACAGACCATAACGCACTTAACATACTGCCAGCATGACAATGTACACTTGATGAGCATGGATATTGGAACAAGACTACAGTCCAGCTACTCAGCCACGGAATTCATTAATCAGAATCCTTCTTCCCAACATCTCCACTCCCCAGCCCGGCTTCCAGGTCTCTCCGTACCTCCCCTCTCCCAACCCCACCAATGCTACCCACACCCGAACCTGACCGCTGTGGCCGTGCCTGCTTCGGGGACTGCTTTGGTACAAGACTCACACCACTGCTACCACCCCCGCCACTGCTACTGCTGCTGATTGCTGCTGCTATGGGAGACGAGGGGTAGAGGAGAGAGGACATGCCCACTAGCTGTGCCACAACTGCACATGCCATCACATAGGTCTTCCAGCCCTGGAGATAAGGAGGATGGGATGCACAGATGGGATGCTCAGATGGGATGCACAGATGATTAGAAGAAAGATATGCTCAGTAGCTAAGATTGTGGGGAGAGATGTGCAATGAACGGTGACAACGGGGTGCGGTGTGCGCATAGGAATGGGGGCGATGGGATGATGAGGGGGGTGGGAGAATGGGATGGGGTGGGATAACGGGGTGGGTTGGGGACGGTATGGTGGAGGAATAAGGAGAGGTGACAGGATGGGGGCTCACTCACCTTATTGCGAGGGTTTTGTGCATCAAAGATCTTGAGGGCGAGGATAATGGCAATAAATCCACAGATGATCACCAGCCGACCCACCTGGTGGGGTCAAACAGGGGAGAGAGGAGACAAGAGGGGGAAGGGGTGGGAGGGAGGTAGGGGTGGAGAAAGAGATGTCGGGTGACTGTTGCTCAATGGCATGTGCACGAAGCATAAACATTGGGGCAGAAGATGATGCGGAAGAATCCATAGATGATGACTCAAATGAACCCAGTCGCCACCCACCCACCCACCCACCATCCGATGCAGGAAGTGCAGTCGGCCAATAAGCACTCTCGAAATCCTTAAAGTGTTGAAATACAGCAGCACGCCCAGCAGCCCCCCCAGCTCCGCGAGAATGACTGCTGACACGCCCAGCCACGCGTGCGGCGTGCTGAAGTGCGCCTTGAGTCGCGCGTGGCGGTGCGTGAACATGGCGAGAGTGCCGGCTAGTGCTAGGACGAGGCCCGTGAGTTGAAGGCCCAGGTGCAGCCGCATGGCCTCCTTGCGCCGCTGGGGGAAGGAAGAGGAGGAAGAGAAGAGTAACTGAATTTAGATGTGCAGACCCAGGTGCAGCCGCATCGCCTCCTTGCGCCCCTAGTGGGTAAGGGGGGGGGAGGGGGGGGGGGGGAGAGAAGGAGAGGGGGGGATGAGAGGATATTGGGGAGAGAAGATAAAATATTTTGAAAAGGCTAACCTGGGGTCTACGACAAGGGAAGTTGCAGATCCTGTCAGGTGCAATCGATGAGGCACGCTCACAAGGATAAGGCGAAGGTAGAGATTGCTCAGGAACAAGAACAAGGTGCGATGCCGGAGGAGGACAAAAGTGAGAAAATTTGTTGCTGGTCGAGGCACAGGCCCAGACAAACACTTACCCGTGAGGGTCTGGCGACGATAAAGACGCCTTCAGGGATAACCAAAAGGAAGGCCAGGGTCATGAGTGCCACGTGCACGGCGAAGAGTGATTTCTCGTAGAATGTGACTGTAATGAAGATTGGCGAGAGCACCGCGAGGATGTGGAAGAGCCATGGCAGGTCCCCTGCTGCCATTGGCTAGACCAAAATCAAGAACTAAGATTGACGATCTCGTTTATTAAATACTTGGTTTATAGGATGCGATCGAAACTGCCACGCAGCCGGGGACTAACTTGACCGTATCAAGGCCTTGGGTGAGAAGGTTAGACCCGAGGACTAACGTGACGATCTGACGAGGTCAATTAGATTTGCCAGAGTGAAATTAATCGTTCCTCTTACGACTGCGTCGACGACCTGAACGCATCAGTACTGTTATGGGTGTGGGTCTAGACCGCCTCGCGTGGTTGTGAAATTCCACTGAAGAGTTGATCAGGCATGAGCTAGACTGACGAGGAATAAACACGTCAGTCCTTGCGCGCAGACTAGAGCTGGACTGTTAGTGGGAAAGTACATTCCAGCTCCGTAGTTTCAAAATTATCTCAAAATTAGCACCAAGTTCACTCAAAAGGTACAACTCATTAGAATTTTGCTCACGCGAGGCCCACATTATGTTCAAAACTGGTCCTGCAGGGCAAAATTTTTTACACGTGTCCATTTGAGCGTTAAAAAGTTTTGGAAAGGGGCAAACAAACATAAAACCCCTTAAAAACGGGACACATTCGCGGGAGTGATCAACCCTAAACACCTAGCGGGTTCCGTGTTTAGGGTTGATCCCTCCCGATAATGAGTCCTGGTTCCCTAGGGAGCTTATGCTTTTTGCCCCCGTCCAAAAATTTTCAGTGCGAAAGTGGACACGTGTCGAATTTTTTGCCCCGCAGGACCAGTTTTGAACATAATGTGGGCCTCGCGTAGGCAGAAATCAAATGAGTTGTATCTTTTGAGTAAACTTGGGGCTAGATTCGAGAAATTTTTGAAACTAAGGAGCTGGGATGTACTCTCCCACTGTTAGTGTCTGACCTCGATAGTAAACCCGCAGCAGGACACGATACGGCTGGGGTTCCCAAGGAGATACAGTGAGAGTTTTGGCACCTCACAAACAATTTTGAGGGTTGTGTGATTGATTTGTCATTACATAAATTGTTCAGGCAATTGTATGATAGACTATGTCGGATCTCCATGCTTGTAACGTGGACATCAATACATGACGCAATCGCAGCCTGCTGACCTTCCAGCGACTTCAACTGGCGAAGTTTCGTAGTGTGACGAGCTTTCGTCGAGCTGTCTAGGAAATTCTGCTTACCGCGTCGCGGATCACAGCGAAAAGTGCATCGCCGCCACGCCTGCGCAAATCACAGCCATAGAGATCCGCCGCTGGGTTACACAGCCACTCTCTCTCAACACGACTCCTGGCGTGTCAACAGCACCACAAAGCCAACTCCCGCCACACAATATCCCTCCAAAAGTCTGCACGGGCAGCCCCACAAAAACCGCAATGTTCTGTAACAAAGATTTGTTTTCCAACTTCCACGACCCCAACTTGGCATGGCCGTTTCCCTCATTGGCTTCGACTGCTGAAATTCCTCGAATCATGCAATCAAGAACAAGCCTTTGAATCTGGCTCATCCTAATCCAACGGTCAAAAGGCACACACGGGCAAACATCCCCATTCCCAGAACGGAGGGATCAATTCACTGAACCCAGCCACCTGCCCGACGGCTGCGGTTTGCAGTTGGCTTGCCCCATTGCGGGTTTTGTTTTGATCACCGCGCACTCCACGTGGGGCCCCATCAACCCCCAAGTTCCAACCCACGGCACCATTCCCCAACCCCTCCCCCCCACCACCATCCCTTTCCGCCACCACAACTGCCAACGTTGCTGCTTTCCACACGGCCCATTCGCACACCATGAATTAAAATCCAGCAATCCGCCATAGTTTCACCATTATTTGTTTTTCACGCCTCCCCGGTTCCAGTTTCTACTCCCAAATAGGGAGCCTAGTCCTTCTCTTTCCGACTTGAATATCCAGGAACACATTGATTGTGAAAATCCATCGTACCCATTCGACCTATTCTTCAGCGTGAGTCACCCTTTGTAGCATACATACTTCAATCATCGTTCTGTTTCTGGTACCTCTGATACTTTCGTTCAGTGTCAATCTAAGACGAAGGCTCCTGCCAGGCTTTCTTACACAGATCATGGCTGCCGCGAGCACCCATTCAAGACGACACTCGTGCGACCAACTCCAAACAACCAGCCAAATTCTTATTCATGGGCCCGCCCATCCTCACAATACGAGAATCTCAAAACCCGCCACACCATCTTCAGCTGTCCCCGCACTATCTCCAGCGATTTTGAGGAGCAGTCGGGGTGTCAAGCTTCCACGATCGCCTCTTACAGAAGATTCTAGGTCCTTGGTCCCTCATTCATCCTCTTCTCTCGTGGGAGATTTGGTGGAGGATCGACTTCAGCGAAACCCTAACGAAGCCGTGCGGCCTTTCAGCTCTCGCGCGCGAAACTCCTTTTCCACGGACCTCGCGCTATTGTCCTTCTCGATAGAGGAACAAAGCTCGTTTGGTGTACCTTCCGTCGCTCTCGTAAATAGAGGCCTCAACAGCTCAACACGCTCGACCGACCGATTACGGGAAAGTCCATTTCCGTCGGTTCTACATAATCTCCGTTCGTCCGGCTTTTCTCAGCTAATTGACCAAGCATCCAGCCGTTTGCACCGCATTTCACATTCCGCCTTAGCTGCAGGCAAGGAACTATCTTCTGGCCTTAGCCAGGAGGCGCCAGCTGATCGAGTGGTGACCGTTGATGGTGAGGTTGGCGGGGAAAGCTGGCGCAGAGAGCGCGCGAGCATGCGTGCAGTGTTCGCGGCCCTGGACGCGGACGGTGACGGGGTGATCTCCGCGGACGACCTCCGCGCGTACTCCGCGCAGCGCGGGCTCCCCGCGGGGTACGCGCTGGAGTTCGTGAGCCGCGCGCAGCATGGGCGGAGGGGCGCGGAGGATCCTTTGTACGGGGAGTGGCGGACGGATCCGCAGGATTTGCGCAACAGCCTGTCCGGTGGAGGATGGAACGGCGCGGGGTGCGCCGCCGGGGGGCTTCAGGCGGGCGGAGTGGCGGGATCTGGCATCGGCAGAATGCCGATCCTGGGAATGGGGGAAGGAGTGGCGCCATGCGGACAGGCAGGGTCAGGCGGAACGGGCGGAGCGAGCGGATTGAGCGGAGGCAAAGTGGCGCTGTGCCGCGCATCAGCGGGGTTTGCGGCGTCGTCCTCCCAGGTAGCTCTCACCTCCTACCGAGCTTCAGTGCCTAGCTCCTAGGTTATGCTCCTAGGGTGTTTCTGAGCCTTCTCACAAACACCCTGCTATTTTTTTCCACCACATACCTCCCCTCCCCGCCATCCGTCCCTCTCCTCAGGCGCTACCACCTCCCTCTCCTGTGCCGCGCAGCAGCTTCAGCGCGTTGTGACGCGTCTCCTCTCTTTGACGCCCCATTCCCAGACCAGACGTTCCGAACCTTCCCTCCCCGCCATCCCTCCCCCCGTTCTCTCCCCCCCCCCCCCCCCCCCCCCCCCCCAGGCGCTACCCCCGGTGGACCTCCCGGCGCTGCTCTCCTCTGCCGCGCAGCACCTTCAGCGCGGGCTGGGCTCGGCGCGCTTGCACCTCAGCAGCTCCAGCAGCGGTGCAAGCAGCGGAACCAGCAGAAGTGGCGGAAGTGGCGGAACCGGCGGCGGCGGCGGTGGCGGCGGCGGCGGCGGCGGCGGAGGGGAGTTTGGGGTGTCGTATGCGGCGTTTGAGGAGTTCGTGGATGCGAGGGACAGGGTTCTGTGGGACTCGTTTAGATGCATGGACAGTAACGGGGATGGCCGAGTGTCACAAGCAGACCTGGAGCGCAGCATGAGGGTGAGTACTTCAGAGGGCCTAACGCTTCCTCATCAGAGGGCCTAACGCTTCCTCATCAGAGGGCCTAACGCTTCCGCATTCTTCATCTCTGTTCATTCTCTCCCCCCTTTCCCGTTCACATAGGACCATGCAGTTTCCCCAATGTCACTCTTCCTCTGACCACCGTCTCCTGCCGCGCGATCATACTTGTCCTCCCCTTCACTCTTCCAGAAACTCGTTTTTTTTTTTTTTTTTGCGCCTCAGAATCACTCATGCTTGTCTTCCCACCCACTCTTCCAGACCTTTTTTTTTCCTTCTTCTTCTTTTTCTTTTTTCTTTTCTTTTCTTTTCTTTCCTAAGGCCCCTTAAGAGCAGTCACTCATACTTGTCTTCCCACCAATTCCCACTCACTCTTCCAGACTCTCGCGTCTCATTGCAACCACGATTGTGCCACCAGCACCATCACCAACCCCATCACCAACCCCATCATGACCACTGCTGGTAACACGACCAACGTCACCGGCATCACTGCCAACCGAACCGCTTGCAGCAGTACTCAAACCAGCGGCGGCAGCAGCAGCAACATCAGCAGAAGCAGCGTTGTGGGGCTGGGTCAGCCGTGCAGTGTGGAATCTGTAGGGCGGAGCTGCAGCGGGAAGATGGTGCGAGCAGTGCAGCAGCAGCAGCCAGTTTTGCAGCAACAGCAGCAGCCAGTTTTGCAGCAACAGCAGCAGCAGGGAGTTCTGCAGCGGATTAGGCAGCAGGCGTGCAGTGGCGCTGCTGCTGGGGATCCCTTGTCTCAGTCCGTATCGTTTGAGGTACGTAACTAACTGCTTGATTCCTTGCTAGCATTCGCCTTTCCCCTTCACACACACCTCTCTTGATTCCTCTTTGGCACACACCTCTCCTGGTCCTACCCCTCTCTGCCCTCTCAGGAGTTCCGGGACTACTTCACTCTCCTCCCCGCGTCCGACCATCTATTTGACTACTGGATCTCTGCCTCCTGCCCGCTCGCCTGCCACGCTTCCTCTGCACCACAACCATTCGACGCACGAGAAGCACTCGAGGGTGCTTCAGCAGCTGTAGGTACAGCTGCCACAGCCGCCACAGCTGCCACAGCTGGGAATGTGTTGAAAAGGAAGGTTCCACGAAGAGGGTACTTGAGAAGAACCAGCAGCGGCAATAGCAGCAGCAGCAAGGGTGCCAGCACAGGAGGCAGCAGCAGTGGCGGCGGCGGCAGTAGGAGAAGCAAAGGGGCGGGCGGCGTGTGGCGGCATCTAGTGGCGGGCGGCATGGCAGGAGCGACGTCCCGCACGGTGACAGCCCCTCTGGAGACTCTCCGCCTGCGCATGATGGTCTCATCCGAACATGGGCTGCTGCGAACATGCTCTGTGAGTACACGGCACCCTGCCGCTGCATTAATGTGTCATGTTTCTCTTGACACGTCCCGCACGGGAACAGCCCCTCTGGAGACTCTCCTCCTGCTCATGATGGTCTTGTCCGAACATGGGCTGCTGCGAACATGCTCTGTGAGTCGCTACGCGGTGATTCACGCTTAGAGTAGCGAAACCTGCTCCTCTAGGGCGGTGTTCCAGCAAACATGGCCAACGCGGCGTGCTTTGCTGCTGCGCCCTCCCCTGTATCTCATTTCCCCGCTCCTCCCCTCCACTCTCCACTCCGTGCCTTCCCAATTGCAGCAAGTGTGGAGTGAAGCGGGCTGGAGAGCCTTTTTCCGAGGCAACATGGTGAATGTGGTGCGCTCAGCCCCTCAGAAGGCCATCGACTTCTTCGCGTTCGAGGCCTTCAAGCAAGCCATCGCAACCGTCTTCCCCACGGTACGTGCGCCTCACCCTTGGCTCCGCTCCGCACAAGGCAATGTTGGCTCTAATGCCTGCTCCCTCATATCCCCTCTCCTCCCCCTCCTTCACCCCGCTCTCCCACTTGCCAGGGCCCTGCAGGACTTCAGGTGGTGACAGCAGGTGCTTTGGCAGGTGCCACGTCCACCCTGGCGCTCTACCCTCTGGACGTTGTCAGGAGCCGCCTTACTGTTGCCGCCCGTTCCCAGGTGGGTTGGTTTGCTGTTTTCGCCCACTTGCAGTTGGTTGCTGTGCCGCCCGCTCTCAGTCACGTTGAGTTAGCCGCTCTCACTGTTTTGTTTCGTGCTCTTTTCAAGTGAGGGGTGGTGCGGTGATGTCACCGCAATAGGGACTCCTCTCCCCATTCAACTACAGCTGCTTCACACCCACTCACTTGCTCCTTCCCTCCTCCCATTCCTCCTCTTCCCTCCCATTCCTCCTCTTCCCTCCCGTTCCTCCTCCCCCCCGCACCATCCACAGTACACAGGCATTGCCCATGCACTCACCACCATGGCCAGGACAGAGGGAATCCAGCGCTATATAGAGGCCTGTGAGCCTCCCTGCTTTCCATCCTCCCAGAGGCCGCCATCACATACGGCTGCTTCGACCCTCACACTCGTTCCTGCCTGCCTTTCTTCCCTTCCCCCCCTCCCCTTCCCCCCACCCCCCACAGTACACAGGCATCGCCCACGCCCTCACCACAATAGCCAAGACAGAAGGCGTGCCGGCACTTTACAGAGGCCTCGGCGCCTCCCTGCTCTCCATCCTACCAGAGGCCGCCATCACATACGGCTGCTTTGACCTCCTCAAGACCGCCCTGCAGCGCTCCACTGGGCGCACCGTGGGAGTGCTGCCCGCCCTGGCCTGCGGTGTTGCCTCTGCGTTCACCGGCCAGCTTGTGGCGTATCCTCTTGAGCTCGTTGCCCGGCGCCTGCAGGTCTCTGCTGGTGCCGCTGCTGCTGCTGCTGGTGCTGCTGGTGCTGCAGGTGCGGTTGCAGCAGGCGCGGCGAAGCAAAATCTGGTAACCGTTACCAAGGCGATTCTGGCGGAACGGGGGGTGGCAGGGTTGTACCAGGGGATTGTGCCGGCCTCCCTGAAGGTTATCCCCATGGCGATTGTGAGCTTTGGGGTGTATGAGTCGGTTAAGTTTGCTCTGGTGCAGCTAGCGGAGCGGGAGGAGGGGTGGAGGGAGGAGAGGGAGAGGAAGCGGGAGGAAGAGGAGTGGAGGAGGTGGGTGGAGGAGGAGAGGAGGGCGAGGAGGGTGTGCTTGCCAGTGTGTAAGGCGTGCTGGCGGGAGAGGGGGTTGTGTGGGAGGCAGAGGGGGAGTTCCCTGCTGGTGGGGTGATGGTAGGCTGGAACCGGTGGTGATGGGTTGGCTATCGCTTCAGTAGGGCTGGATGTCACGCCAGTCGAGCTGCAAAAAGAAAATGCAGTGTGGCTATACGTGCTCACAGCAGCTGGTGTAAGGGTTGAGGCCCCTTCAAAAGTCTCCCCCAGCTGAAGCTGCTCCAAACAAACATACATGGGCTTTTAGCTGGTGCATTGATGGATGGCCTTGGTGCAAGGATAATACGTGTGTGCTGCAGTCTAGGCTTGCTGCATTGGCAAGCCGATTTGAAGCATCGAATGTTGCCTGGAGAAATGCTGATCTCCATGTTGTGATGTTACTTTGGGTTGGTACCGTAATGTGTATTGCCATTTGTCATGTACCCCTCGAAATCTACTATACGGTATAACGGTCTAAGAGCTTTCTCGTTTTCACTGTTCTCAAGATTTTGGGAGGTTGCCGAGCCCGGGGCTTGCCGTACAGCGCCGAAAAAATCGACGACAGCAAAGCAAAGAATGTCTTGCAAGCTTGGAACTTGCCGCGGCCTTGGCTTTTTATAATCGAGGTACTTCGTCGTAAAAGATAGGCGGGTGTTTCGTTCTTGCACTGCGCGCGGAGGCTACCAGGGTTCATCGGGTCGGAGTCGTTGCTGCTTAGTCGATGGTTCGATAACTACGTGACGCACGATACATACTAGGGTAAAGTTACATCTGGCGGGATAAGTATTGACTGAGCTGGCAGGATCTAATTAATAGGTGGTATTCCGGTGCACATAGTGTTAAGCAGGAACTTTTCAGTATCATCTTACCTCTCCGGATTCTTCAAGAAAGCAATAACGGAGACGACGAGGAAAATGGCATCTTGTGACCGGCATCAGTTGTCCTCCTTATTTCTTCTGCTTCATGTGCTGGCGACGAGTTTGGTTTTCGCGAGCGTTGCGAGATTCGCGAAAGCGAGTAACTTGGGCTCCGGCGAAGTTCGCCGTCCCGAGGAGGTCACTCAGGGCCTCGAGACCATCTCAACGGACATGCAACGCGTCGTCGAAATGCCGGAAGATTCGCAGAAGGTTCTCCTGGACGGCATGGGTCAGGCTCTCGTTTCCTCCGGCATGTGGCCATGCAACATCTTCGGCGGCGTTAAAGCGTGCGTCGCGGTGCCTTTTAACGGAGCATTCATGCAGCAGTGCGCGAACATCGCCAAGTCGGAGGTGGACTGCGCTTATAATCGCGAGACGCTGAGTGATATTAACGAAGATCCGAATGTGGTTATGAAGAAGAAGCTTGATGATGCAGGTGGGCTTTAACGAACGTGGGAAAAAAACGAAAAGGTGAAAATTTATAGAATTCTCAAAAGGTACGTGGCTGGAGGATGGTACTCTCATATCGATTCCATCTCCGTTTCGTTCCGTACTCTCAATCCATTGATTCTCAACTTTTCCCCACTCCTCCCCCGCCCTCTCACTCCCTCCCCCTCTGTCCCTCTCCCTGCCCCTCCCTCCCCCTCCAACCCCCCCTTCCCTGTCCCGCGTGTCTAGATGCGTTGCATCACTTCAGGTGGAGCCACTCCTCTGTTATTCCATGTCATGCTCTCTCCCTCCCGCCTCTTCCACTCGCTCCCACCCCTCGTCTGTCCCTTCTCGTCCCCCGCCCCTCCCAGGCTTCGAGGCGTGCCCCGCGTGTCTGGATGCGCTGCATCGCTTCTGGTGCGGGCAGACCTCGTTCCTCAGTTATCAGGTCTCCTTCGCTCACGCACCCCTCCCTCCCTCCCCCGCTCCCTCCCTCCCAGGCTTCGAGGCATGCCCCGCGTGTCTGGATGCGCTGCATCGCTTCTGGTGTGGCCAGACCACCCCCACTTGTGGCACATTCGCTAAAGTCGTTGACGAGATTCTGGTGAGTGGAGGAAATGGGACAGGGTTGGGGGGGGAGTCAAAGGTGGTGTGGAGGGGTGAGGAGGGGTTGAAAGGGGTGATGAAGGATTGGACAAAGGCAGACGACCTTCCTCCTTCACCGCAAGCACGTACTCTCACCAAGGCTTCAAGATGCATACCTGTCTTGAGCCACGGTCCCACCTCTCTTGTTCTCTCTTCTTCCTCCTACGCATCCCCCACTGTCCCTCCAGCCTGAAATGCGGCAAGTCAGTGCCGGCAAGTTAAAGCCAGACGAGCTCGTCCAGTCCACCCTCCCCCGGATGCTCCAAGCCTTTTCGCTCGGGCTGCCCTGCCGCGAAATGTGTGAGGCGGTTACCGCCACCTGCAGCTGCGGCCGCCCGGCCACGTTCGGGCAGATGATGAAAGTTTTGGAGCTGAAGCGCACCCAGCAGCAGGCGGAGGCGGAGGGGGCAGCGGGCAGGCCCCTGGCGGAGAACAAAGATTTGATTCCGTTTGGGTTCAGCACGAACATGTCTTTGTCCACTGCTGTGAAGATCTTCAAAGGCGTGTGGGACCGGCCCGTCTGCGACTTGTTTGCTCCTCATGTAAGGAAGACACGGGGGAAGAGGAATGGGAGGTGGGGAAGGGAGGGGGTGGTGGGGATGGTGTTTGAGAGGGGCAAGGGGTGTGAGACGGTACAGAGAATGTGTTCAGCACGTCTCTGGCCACTGCTGTGAAGATACTCAAAGGCGTGTGGGACCGGCCCGTCTGCGACCTCTTTGCTCCTCATGTAAGATATACGGGGGAGCAAGGGGGAGAGGGAGAGTGGGGAATTGAGGGGGCAAGGGGTGTGAGACATTACAAAGAGTGGGTGCAGCACGAACATGTCTCTGGCTACTGCTGTGAAGATATTCAAAGGCGTGTGGGACCGGCCCGTCTGCGACTTGTTTGCTCCGCATGTAAGATATACGGGGGAGCAAGGGGGAGAGGGAGAGTGGGGAATTGAGGGGGAGAGGGAGAGGGGGGAATTGAGGGGGCAAGGGGGAGAGGGAGAGGGGGGAATCGAGGGGGCAAGGGGTGTGAGACATGAGAAAGAGGACGCCCCCAGCTTCCAGGGCGTGTGTGAAACATGGTGGGCGGGCGCGGGCAAGGAACAAACGAAGGACAATCATTCCCACATCTCACCTCCCCCCTCTCCCCCCGTTTCCCCCCTGACAGGACGCCCCCGGCTTCCAGGGCGTGTGCGAGACGTGGTGGGCGGGCGCAGGCAAAGAGCGACCAGAGGACACTCATTCCCACCTCTCCCCTCCCCCCCTCTCCCCCTGTTTCCCCCCCTGACAGGACGCGCCTGGCTTCCAGGGAGTGTGTGAGACGTGGTGGGCGGGCGCGGGCAAGGAGCAGACAACGTGCCGCTGGTGCGAGTCGAAGCAGCGGCCTGAGGACATGGACGAGCAGATTGTGGCTCAGATCGCGCAGTCCGTATCCAGCATGATGCAGGTGGGACGCTGAGCTGAGTGTGTGTATGGGGTAGGTGCTTGCTGGTAGCAGCAGGGCAGGAGGGTACCTTGTGCTGTGTGTGCCGGTGTGTTGCTGGTGCGAGTCAAAGGCGCGCCCATAGGACATGGACGAGCAGATCGTGGCTCAGATCGCCCAGTCCGTATCCAGCATGATGCAGGTGGGCTGCTGCATGCATGTGTGTGAGCTGGTGTGAGCAGGGGAGAGGGTGATCGCATGCCAATGCTGTTGGTGCGAGTCAAAGGCGCGGCCAGTCTGTATTAGGCATGATCCAGGTGGGGTGCTTCATGACTCGGCTTTCCATGCAGTACTCAAGTATTCCCTTGCACACCTCGGCTTTCAATCTTGTGTTCATCTTGCAAATCCCTTTCCCTTCTCGTTCTGCAAATCCCTTTCTCTTCCTTTCCTCCTCTCCCCCCCCCTCCCCTCCCCCTCCTCAGGCTGGTCTAGAGCATGTTCTCTTCGCTGCAGCCTTCCCGGTTCCCACCCTAAATGCTGCCCACACCACCACCGCCACCACCACCCCCTCCTCCTCTGCTGCCTCTGCATCTGCCTCTGCTTCCAGTGCCGGCCCTTCAACTGCAACAACTGCTGCCGGTGCTGGTGTTGCTGGTGCTGGTGGTGCTGATGTTGCCTCTCCTGCTGTTGCTCCTGCTGCCAACACTACCGATGCAGCAGCAGTAGAGCAGGCAGAGGAGGAGGTGGAGCAGGAGGAGCAGAAAACCTTCGACTGGCAGGACGATCAAACCGGGCTACCCAATCCCGAACCTGTCGAGCTACCTCCTGACACTGTTCCTCCCGAGCTTATCAACCCTCCCCAACCTGGTGCCAAGCCTGCTGCCGAACCGGCCGCCGAGGCTGCAGTGGAGCCTGGTTCGGATGGGCCGGGGTATTTTAGAGAAGCAGCACCGGGCGATTGGGGGTATAAGGCGTCAGAAGAAGAGAAGATGGCTGAGATGATGCGAGGGGAGGGTGTGGGAGAGGGAGAGGGGGAGGTTCCATCTGGGAAAGGTGGTACTGCTGGTGGAAGATGGGAAGAGGTGATGAATGGGATGATGGGGGGGAGGGGAGGACGAGGAGGTGAGGGGGGACGAGGGGAGGGGGAGAGGGGAGAAAGGGGAGGGGCAGAGGGTAGAGGTGGTGCGTGGGAGGGGGGTTCCACTAGAGGGGGGTCGATGATGCGAGGGGGAATGGGAGAAGGTGGGGGTAGTGAGAAGGAAAGAGAGAAGGAAGGAGAGGAGGAAGAAGCGGAGGATCCGCATTCTGCTGTTGCAAGAGCAGGCACCACTTCCCCCAGTGTTTCTCGAGCCGAGCCTTCCACCGAGCCTGGAGAGCCGGAGCGGCCGCCGGTTTGGGAGAAAAAGGAATGGCAGGAGAAGGGTGGGGAGCCGAGTGCTGGGTGGCGGACGGAAAAGGAGGAGCCGGTGGAAGAGGGTGGGGGGAATGCGTGGTATCGAGGGCATGGGGATGATTTGCCCCTTCCGCCTCGAGAGGAAAAGCATGGGTCACCTTTTGTGGCGACGATTTTTATTTTCTTTGCCGCCGTGGGAGTGGTGGGGGGTTTGGCGTTTTGGAAGATGAGGAGGGAGCGGAGGGCGAGGGATGGTGGGTTGCAGTATATCGACTTGCAAGAGATGAGCTATCGGCCGCCGGAGTTTTAGAGTTTGGTGTGATTTTGAAAACGAGGCACGCTAAATACGTCATCGAACATGTTCGCCTTTGAGGCGAGTGTTCCTCATCACTTTTGCCATTTTTGTAGGTTGCTTTTTCTTGTCTTGCCTTATTGCAGTTTACCATCTGCCTTATTGTAGATTGTATTTTCTATTCGAGTATCACACTGTTGTCGTACATCGTAAGCTCAGTGAAACGAATCACCTGTCGCTGTCCGTCAGCTGTCCCTTCCAATGGTGGTCCTGTCCTGACGCCTGACAGGCGGAATTGGCGAGATGCTTGTCATTTTCACCCGTCCGATGTTGACTCAAGCACCCCGTTATCGAAAACGACCCCTTGCGAAAACACGTGCCAGCTGTCCAATGGCTTGCGACAATGTCCGCGAACTCCAAATCTCAACCCTCGTCGAGCGCGATTCGGCTTCGCACTGGATTCATAACATTGCGACTCGGATCCCCCACGCAATGTGTTCGAAAATCGACCACCATAAATCTGCACTACCATTTGATTTCCCCGTCACATCCATTCCCACTGCACTACCAACAGCCCCGCCCCTCCAGCGAACCCACATATCCGCAGCGCAATCCCAAACTCAAATCCACAGCTCAATACTTTTCTTTGGCTCGGCATTAGTTTTTTCTTCAAGGAAAATTCTTGCAAGATCTCATAAGCTAGGGAAACATCTCGTTTCCCGCCATTTTGGTGCTATTGAGAAGCTGAAGACGTGGGAGCCAAGAGTAGTCATGGCTGTCAGCATGGGAGCGCGCGTGCTGTCGCTGGTTCTCCTAATCCACCTGACCATATCTTCAACGGGTAAGCTCTTGCAAGCTCTTCATTCGTTGGCTTGTGTGAGAATCTCAAGAATCTTTTCCCAGGTTTTTAGGCGTCTTTTTAATTTTTACTTTTGAATCACACTCTTTGATCCATCCGACTCTCTTTTCTGATTTCCTGCCTCCCTTTCACCCCAATTCCTTCTTCCGACCAAAACAGCCTTATCCGCAACAGCTCAACCCATCCCACTTCCACGACTCACTGACGGCCCTGCAGCACTGGTGGGAAGCACCGCCAGCTCAGCACTGCCTGCGATTGGTAGCCCCGCGATCCCGGTCCAGAACCCGATCGGTGGCGCTGCTAGCGCGGCTCAGGGCGCAATTGGCGGCGTCACTGGCGCGGCTCAGGGCGTGATTGGCTCTGCAACCACCGCTGCACAGACCACGGCCGGCAATCTCGTGAGGACCGTTGGTGGCGCTCTGAACGGAGTTCAAAACACCATCGGTGGCGCAGTGAACGGGGTTCAGACCACTGCTGGTGGCGCCGTCAACACACTTCAGGGCATCGCTGGCGGCGCCCTGGACGGGGTTCAAACCACTGCTAGCGGCGCGCTTAACGCCGTTCAAAGCACTGCTGGGGCCGCGCTGAATGGAGTGCAGGGCGCAGCTGCAGGAGCGACGGGTGCAGCTCAACGCACCCTCGGATCTGCCCTCAACACAGCTCAGACCGTTGCTCAGGACCCGATTGGAGCTGTCCAGAGCACCGCTGGGGGCGCTCTGAACGCAGTTCAGTCCGCAGCTCGAGACCCTGTTGGTACTATTCGGGGCGCTGCTGGAAACGCGCTCAACGCAGTGCAAACTACGGCAGGGGGCGCCTTGAATGCAGTTCAGAGCACGGCGGGGGGAGCTATCGGTGCAGTGCAGAACACTGTTGGGGGCGCGCTGGGGGCGGTGCAGGGGACTGTTGCTGGGCTGGGAAACGCTCTGACTGGCACTGCGCAGCAACTCGCTACTACTGGTCCCGTTAACACTATAAGAAACGCTGCTGGCACGGCTGTAAGCAATGTGGGGAGCACTCTGAGTGTGCCTGTTGGGGCTGTGCAGGGTGTGGCTGGTGCAGCTGTGGGAAATGTTGCGAGTGCGTTGCGAGGGCGTGCTACTGCTGCTGTGAGCGCTCTGAGCGGCCCTGCAGGGGCGCTGCAGGGGGTGCTGGTGCGTCAGGGAGGTGTGTTGAGCCGCCCGCTTGAAAGCGTTCAGGGGGCTATCGCTGGTGTTGCCGGCGGTGTGCAGAATGTGGTTGGGGGAGTGCAGAGCACACTTGGCAATGTAGGAGCCGGTGTGCAGAGCACCCTTGGGAATGTCGCAGGGGGCGTGCAAAGCACCCTGGGCAATGCTGCTGGTGGTGTTCAGAGCACAGTGGGCAATGTCGCTGGAGGGGTGCAGCAAACTCTGGGAAACGCCGCTGGTACTGTACAGAGCACTCTGGGTAACGCCCCTGGCACTGCTGCTGCTACTGCGGGTGCGGGTGCTGGTCCTGGCGTCGTTACAACAGTCCCTGTGGCAGCACGCTCGGCAGCAGCAAGTGAGCCTGGGAGGAGGCTGCAGGGCAGCCCAGCAGCTACAGGCAGCACTGGCTCTGCCACTACTCCCACTCCCCTCCCCACCGCCCCCATTCCCACCACCCCCACTCCTACCACCCCTGCTGCTGCTGGCACCGGCGCCGGTCCACTGGGTGCAGTGCAGCAGGCTGTATCCGGTGCAGCCTCCACCCTTCAAGGCGTTGCATCTGGAGCAGCAACTACTCTGCAGGGCATTACCACTGGCGCAGCCTCCACGCTGCAGGGCTTGACTGGGTCTGCCGCCCAGCAGATCACTTCTGCCGCCCAGTCTCTCCCTGGAGCCGTCCAGTCTCTCCCAGGAGCCGTCCAGCGCACAGCTGCTGGTACTGCGGGCGGTGTGCAGAGCACTCTTGGGAGCATTGCTAGCGGTGTGCAGCAGACTCTGGGAAATGCTGCCGGTGCTGTGCAGAGCACCCTTGGGAATATCGCAGGGGGAGTGCAGCAGACGCTGAGAAACCCGGCTGGATCCATCCAGGGCGCAGCTGCTGGTGCTGCTCGTGGCGTGCAAACTGCTGCTGCGGGTGTGCAAAACACACTGGGGAACATCGGTGGCAGCGCGCAGCAGACTCTGGGCAATGCTGCCGGTGCTGTGCAGAGCACACTTGGGAATGTCGCAGGGGGAGTGCAGCAGACGCTGAGCAATCCTCTGGAATCCATTCAGGGCGCAGCTGCTGGTGTCGCTGGTGGCGTGCAGAATGCCGCTCGCACTGTGCAGAGCACTCTGGGCAGTGCGGCTGGGGGCGTGCAGCAGACTGTGGGGAGCGCCGGTAGCAACGTGCAGGGGACTATGGGGAATGCTGCTGCCGGTATGCAGGGGACTCTGGGGAGCGCTGGTAGCACTGTGCAGGGAACCCTGGGTAATGCTGCTGGTGCTGCTCCTGCTACTGTGGGTGCTGGCGCTGCCGCTGCTACAGTTCCTGTGGCAGCACGCTCATCAGCAGAGAGCGAGCCTGGAAGGAGGCTGCAGGAAGGACCGGCAGGTACAGGCAGCACCGGCTCCACTGCTATTCCCACTCCCCTCCCCACCGCCCCCATTCCGACCACCCCCACTGCTGGCACCAGCGCCGGTCCACTGGGTGCTGTGCAGCAGGCACTCTCTGGTGCAGGCTCCACCCTTCAAGGCGTAGCCTCTGGAGCAACATTAACTCTGCAGGGCGTTGCTTCTGGTGCTGCCTCTACTCTTCAGGGCATCACTGGTTCCCTCCCCGGCGCCATCCAGCCCCTCCCAGGTGCCATCCAGGGCGCAGCTGCTGGTGCTGCGGGCGGCGTGCAGAGCACTCTTGGGAGCATCGCTAACGGGGCGCAGCAGACTCTGGGCCGTGTGGCCAGCAGTGCGCAGCAGAGTCTGGGAAATGCCGCCGGTGCTGTGCAGAGCACCCTTGGGAATGTCGCTGGGGGCGTGCAGCAGACGTTGAGCAATCCGGCTGGATCCATCCAGGGCGCCGCTGCTGGTGCTGCTCGCGGGGTGCAAAACGCCGCTGCCAACGTGCAGAGCACACTCGGAAACGTTGCGTACGGCATGCAGCAAACTGTGGGCAACATCGCCGGGGGGGTGCAGCAAACTCTGGGCAATGCGGCGGGGGGCGTGGCCAACGTGGCGAATGCTGCTGGAGGGACTCTCTCAGGTGCTGCCACCGGCGCACAAACAGCTCTCACGGGACAAGTATCCTCAGCCCAGAACGCCCTGTCAGGCCCGGTTTCCACAGTACAAAACGCTCTCTCTGGACCCCTCTCCACGGTTCAGAGTGCAGCGGCGGGTGCAGTGAGAGGCGTGCAGGGAGCCCTATCCGTCCCTGCTAGCGCCATCCAAGGCGCGGTTAGTGGCGTGCAGAGCACGGTGCAGGAAGCAGTGCAGGGGGCTCAGGGCGCCGTGCAGGGAGCAGCACTGGGGGCTCAGGGCACCGTGCAAAACGCTGCCTCGCTGCCTACAGCTGCCACTCAGCTTCCTGCTGCTGTTGGCACTGCTGCTTTGGGTGCGGGTGCTGCTGCTGGTAATGCTGCTGGTGCTACCACTGTCCCCATGGCAGCACGCTCATCAGCAGACAGCGAGCCGAGCGAGCCGGGAAGGAGGCTGCAGGATGGCGCGGCAGCAGCAGGCAGCGCAGCTGGTAGTGCTGGCCCCACTTCCCCAGCTATCCCCACTCCCCTCCCCACCCCCACCTCCACCACCTCAACTCCCACCACCACAACTCCCACCACCCCCACACCCACCACTCCCACCTCCCCTACTCCCACCACTCCCAACCCCACCACACCCACCACCACCGCTGCAGCTGCCACCAGTCCACTGGGCGCTGTGCAGCAGGCGCTCTCTGGAGCAGCCTCGACCCTTCAGGGCGTCGCCAGCTCTGCCGCCCAGCAGATCACGTCTGCCGCCCAGCAGATCACGTCTGCCGCCCAGTCGCTCACAGGCACCGCCCAAGGGGCCGCTGCTGGTGCTGCTGGCGGGGTGCAGAGCACCCTTGGGAGTGTGGCTGGAGGGGTGCAGCAGACGCTGAGCAATCCTCTGGAATCCATTCAGGGCGCAGCTGCTGGTGTCGCTGGTGGCGTGCAGAATGCCGCTCGCACTGTGCAGAGCACTCTGGGCAGTGCGGCTGGGGGCGTGCAGCAGACTGTGGGGAGTATCGCCGGGGGGGTGCAGCAAACTCTGGGTGATGTTGCCACCGGCGCACAAGCAGCACTCTCCGGACCTCTTTCCACTGCCCAAGGCGCAGCAGCGCAGGGGGCATTGAGGGGCGTGCAGGGAGCGCTGTCAGTCCCTGCTGGAGCTACCGAAAGCGGTGCTAGCGGCGCAGAAGCAGCACTGTCTGGCCCCCTGTCTGCTGTGCACAACACACTGTCAGGGCCGCTTTCCACTCTCCAGGGCGCAGCAGCAGGGGCATTGAGGGGCGTTCAGGGGGCACTATCCGTCCCTGCTGAAGCCATCCAAGGCGCTGCTAGTGGCGTGCAGAGTGCTGTTCAGGGCGCCGTGCAAGGCGCAGGGCAAGGAGCAACACAAGGTGCACAAGGAGCCGTGCAAAGCACTGCCCCACTACCCACAGCTGCCGCTCAGCTCCCTGCCACTGCTACTCCTGCAGCCACCGCAGCTGCTGCTGCCGTTAACACTGCTGCAACCGGCGCCACAGGTGCGGGTGCTACAGTCCCCGTGGCAGCACGCTCGGCAGCAGAGAGCGAGCCTGGGAGGAGGCTGCAGGACCGCCCGGCAGGTACAGGCAGCACAGCTAGCGCTGGTTCAACCACCACCACACCCCGCAACGGCCCCACCACCACCCCCACCACTACCATCACCACCACCACCACCACCGGTCCACTGCGTGGCGTGCAGCAGGCGCTCTCTGGGGCTGCCTCCACCCTTCAAAGCCTTACCTCTGGCCCCGCCTCTGCTCTCCAGGCCGCTGCCTCTGGCGCTACCACCTCCCTCCAAGGCCTTACCTCTGGCCCTGCCTCTGCTCTACAGGGCGCTGTCACCAGTGCCACCACCACCCTGCAAGGCGCAGCCTCTGGTGCCACCTCCACTCTCTCCCGAGCCACCACCGGCGCTCAGTCCCTCGCTGCCTCTGCCGCCCAGTCCATCCCTGGCGCCGTCCAGTCCGCCGCCCAGTCCATCCCCGGTGCAATCCAATCCGCAGCAGGGTCGGCACAAGCAGCGGCAGGGGCGGCAGTAGGGGCAGCAACAGGGACTCTGAACCGCGTAGGCGATGCCCTCACACTCCCACTGCGCCAGGCTGTAACGGCTGTAGCCCAGCCTCTTGTGGGGGCGGCACAAGTTGTAGCACAACCCTTGGGAGCGGCTGTAGCAAACGCTGTGCAGCCAGCTGTAGTGACTCTCCAGGGGGGGCTGGAGCGATTGGCGCTGGGGTTTCAGGGGTTGCTGGGGGGTTGGGGAATGCGGTGCAAGCAGCAGGAGCAGGCGTGCAGAACGTAGGGAGAGGGGTGGTAGCAGGAGTGCAGAGCGCAGGGGCAGGAGTGCAGAGCGCAGGGGCAGCAGTGGGGGAGAGGGTTCAGAGCCTTGGGGCAGCAGCAGCAGGGGGAGTGCAAAGCCTAGGAGGGAATCTGACTGGGGCAGCAGCAGTGGCGGCAGAGGCGCTAGGCAGGACGGCTAGTGGTCTGGGGGCCGGGCTAGGGAGCACCGCAGCGGGAATTCAAGGGGGTATTGGGCAGGCGCTCGGGGGAATTACCCGGGCGGTTCAGGGCGGGCCCGGAAATCTCGGGCAGGCGGTTGGGCAACTTACCCAGGGAATTCAGGGCGGGCCGGCAGTGCTGGGGGGTGTGCTGACCCGGGCGGCAGACGCGGCTACTGCGGCGGTGGGAGGGGCGGCAGGGGCGGCGGGGAATGCTGTGACTGTAGCGGTGGATGCTGCTAGTGGCACGATTCGGTACAGCATCGAGGGGATTGGGAACGCAACTGAGCTGGTGTCTGCAGGGATCTACCAAGCTGCTGGGACGGCAGGAGGTGAGTTGATGAGTTTGCTTCAGCTGCCATGGTGTGTGTCGTTTCCACACACCCGCACTCACCCACTCACGCACACCCACTCACTCGCACTCCACTCGAACACACTCTTGCTCAATTCTTGCTCAATTAGTACACACTGCTCGTGCACCCACTCTTGCTCAATTCTTTTCCTGTCTCTTCTCTCGTGCCCGTTTCCACACCACCAACTCACATGCACCCTGTCCCTCTTTCTCTAAACTCTCCACCAACCCGATTTCAACTTCCACAATTCAGGAGCTGCCAGGTCAGCAGGAACCCAAGTGGTGAGCCTGTTCAACCGGGTCAACCCAGTCAACGCCCTGTCAGCAGCGGGCGGCACACTCACAGGCACAGTAGCCGCCACTCCCAGCGCCATTGCCAGCCTGCTGCAGAACCCCGCAGGCTTCGTCCTGCAGGCCACAACCAGGGGAGGTGCACCTGCTGGTGGCAGCACTAACAGTTCTGCTGCTTCTGCGGCCACAGAGACTCGAGTGGCGCCGCTGAGTGTAAGGACGACTGACCCTTAACCCTGCCACCAGAGTGGCCCTTAACCAACGGTCTGACCCTTCAGGCCAACCAGCACTCACTGATTCAGCCCAGGATGATTCAACAATGGTGTGTGCGTTCGCTCGGCACTACCAGCGATTTGTTAACTGGACGAAGCCTGATAGTGCCTGGTGAAGAGCTTGCAGGGTTTTGGACTGATGCTAGTGACAGCAAGGATAGTCACAGGAGCAACAGTGTGTAGCAGTGTGTGTGTGTATTTAGGCAATTGTACACGTGTGTGATGCAATGAAGCTAATGGAATGGAAACTGCCTCTGCGTGTATCTCTGCTTCTATTCATTCCTTTCACCTTTCTCCCTTTTACTTTCTCCCCTGCCCTTGACATCTCATCCCCACTCCCCCATCCCCTTCCCTTTCTGTCTCCCCCATCCCCGCCAGATCCTCGCGCCGCTCCTCCCCTCGACCATCACCACCACTCCTCTCCCCGCTGCTGCCTCCGTGGCTCCTCGGCTAGGCGTTCGGCGTCAAGGTGAGAACTGGGGGAGGCGTGGGGAGACTTGGGGGGAGTGGGTGGTAAAGTCGGGGGGGCAAGAGTGGCTGCTAAAAGCAATCCCCTCTCCGCTGCTCAAAGCAATCCCCTCCCTGCTGCTGCCTCCGTGGCCCCTTGGCTCGGCGTTCGGCATCAAGGTGAGAACTGGGGGAGGCGTGGGGAGACTTGGGGGGAGTGGGTGGTAAAGTCGGGGGGGCAAGAGTGGCTGCTAAAAGCAATCCCCTCTCCGCTGCTCAAAGCAATCCCCTCCCTGCTGCTGCCTCCGTGGCCCCTTGGCTCGGCGTTCGGCATCAAGGTGAGAACTGGGGGAGGCGTGGGGAGACTTGGGGGGAGTGGGTGGTAAAGTCGGGGGGGCAAGAGTGGCTGCTAAAAGCAATCCCCTCTCTGCTGCTCAAAGCAATCCCCTCCCTGCTGCTGCCTCCGTGGCCCCTTGGCTCGGCGTTCGGCGTCAAGGTGAGAACTGGGGGAGGCGTGGGAGAGGAGCGGGTGGGTAGTGGCTGAAGGGTGGGTAAGGAGAGAGTGGGTTGGCAGAGGATATGGTAGAGAGTGGTTAGGAGGTGTCTGCTGCGGTGCGGGCAGCAAGAAATATGTGCCGAATTTTCATCCTGCTGGGTACCACTGTCCACTCTTTTGTAGTATGGCCTACTCACTGACATGAATCATTGCTTCCTCTCTTTGTCTGAGGGTGTGTGTGTTTGCATGAGGGGGTGCATGGATGCATCTGTGTGTTTCTTTCGGTGTTTGAATGTACCTGTGTGTGTTTGCATGAACGTCTGTGATGCGTGTGCGTGCCTGTTCGCTTGCACATGGAACTGGATTTCAATGGTCCAGAAGTAACCCCAGCAACCAGCGCCACCCCTTCGACAACCGCAAGGGGAGGACCAACCACCCTCACCACGGCTCGTTCCGCCACCACCGCCACACCCAACCCCGTCACCTCCCCAACAACCACCACCCCCTCAACCACTTCCACCATCAACCCCTCGTCTGTCTTGTCCTCCTTCCCTTCTTCCTTCCCATCGTCCTTCCCCTCTTCTGTCCCCTCCTCCCTCCCCTCCACTCTCGCCAACCTCCCCACCAACACCCCCACAACCCTCCCCACCCCCAACCCCCTTCCCGCCAACACCCCTCTCCCTGGGGGCTCCTCCCAATCCTCCTCCGCCCCTGGCATGCTGCTGGGCGTCGCTGGTAGCGCAGTAACCGATGCTGCGCTGCAGCTGCTCAGGGGAATTCAGGGGGGCATGACTGGGGCTGGAGGCTCCAGCAGCAGCAGCGGCAGCAACAGTGGTTCCAGTGGTAACACAGGGTTTCCGAGCGGTAACACTGGGTTTCCTAGTGGTACAATTGGATCTGCCTTCCCTGCAGCTTCTCAGGGAGGATCTCCTGGGGGAGGCATTAACTGGGCTGCTGCATTGCCGCTCCTTCAAACCCTTGTCCAGCAAGCCACAGGCGGCGGCGGTGGTAACGTTAGCAACCGTGGCAATGGCGATGGTACAGTGGTGAATGTGGATCTGAATGCGTTGTTACCTGTGGCGGAAGCTCTTATGGGGATGGGGACAGGGGGTGCGGTTGGAGGAAATGCAAACCAGCTTGACCTGGGGATGCTGATGAATCTGGCTGGGGCCCTTGGTGGTGCCATGTCTGGCAATCCATGATTGGTGAAAATGAGGAATAGTATACACTCCAATTTAGGTTGAAACAGAAGTGGCTCATTAAGTTGTCGTAAGGCTGGAAATGTGCAAGGCATATAGAAGATTTGCATGGAAACAAAATTGTTCATGTGATTTGTCACAGTCGAATGTAATGGAATACTATTTTGCATTTTGGGATGTGGAATGTGGAGGGTAATAGAAAAGGATGTGATTATGTTTCTTTCATGGTTGAGTATTCTGGTAAATATGTTCGTGCTTAGCGAGTGCTGTACAATTATGCTCCACGGCATTAGGATGTGGTTGGATGTGAAATGGGTGTATGCTATGACATCCCATGCACAGAGCCTGAACTCAGCTTATCATCTTGGCGGCTCGAGTTTTGTAGCAGATGCCACGCTGGAAGAGGTTGTCAGCTGTGTTCAGGTCTGCGTTCAAATTGAGTAGCCAATAATTAACCTTTGCGACTGGTGTGGAATGCAACAGCTTGCAGAGGTCACCTGGCCGTGGTCAGGCGTGACCTGGTACGGAAGAGGTGATTGGTTGCCGCCAAAGGTTGCGGAAACCAGATTGGTTGGAAATGGGACGCCTTCCCGCCGACGACTCCTCGCGGTCAATCGGGATGTGAGATTCTCACAAGCTACCCGTGCAACCAAACCAGAATTTTATCGCGGCACACACAAAGCTATGCACTGTAGTACGCTGTGAACTCAAACCTATTAGAGAAAAAAGAATTGTTCTGCAGGAGCATCCTACCTCGATGGTGGCGGCTGCTGTGGACTGCCGCCAGGTGCACCTCACCTGTCAGCGACTACTTGTGCGATTGATCGCCTGGCATCGCAAGAACGACGCTCATTGGGTGTTCCACCTTCAGGGCAGTCTCTCCTTGGGGCCTGCCGCCGAGCCGTGCGGAGAAGTCGTGCTGGCGAAGATATCCCATGGCGGCCGACAGGTTCGAGTGGGTGTTTGGAGCGGAAGCTTGAACCGTATTTTGCGGTGACGTCTCGTCCCGTCACCCTCTTGGGCGTAAGTGGCCGAGAGGTGAACGGCCATGCAGGTTGCAAGCCACTGATTACCGTGCCGAACCTGAGATTTAGGTTTGCGCACGCGTGGCTGCGACGTTGTCATGTACAACCAGGCTCGGATAGAGAATTCTTTCACCCATTTCGATGCTTTTGCTCTGCGGCTGCCCGACAGAAGGCGGCATCGCGTAGTTTTCGGCTGACGGTGGTGCCCCCTTCCCCCAATCTAAATTGTAGGCAGAGTCCACCCACCGCCCAACCGCGAAGTGGACGAACTTCCAGCCTTCCACCACACCCGCATTCAAGTTTTTCCCCTTGGCCAGCGGATTGCGGTGTGCCCTTGCCCCCATAACAAAGCGCACATCGTTGCGTTCCGCGTGCATCTGCTTCCCTGACACAGCACGAATTCCCGAAATCATCGAGTCGCCTAAACTTTCCGGCTTCCCAATGCTGTCGCGCATAACTTCACCCCCCCTCCTCTCCTCGCAACCCAATCGCCTGATTGACGGAATATCCTCTCTTGGCTGTACCACCTCACCCAACCACACACCTGCCCACACGTGCTGACGAATCACAATCGTTCGCGCGGCTTGCACCTTGCCTTGCTTGACGTCCGTCCGTCGCCATGTCACACCTAACCATCCATCTCAAACAAAGCAGTTCCTAGGAGGTCGCTCTTGCAGAACCTTCCGTAACTCCCCCCGGCCGGAATTCTCAAAGGTCCATCCGAGCCCTGGCGGGTTCGAACCAACCAGATGCCTCATCTGGTGGTTTTCGAACCCACCAGGGCTCGGATGGACTCCCCAGAGCTACCCATTAAAACCCCCTCAGCCCGCGAACCCGCCAATAAGCTCGGGGAATCCCCTAGGAACCCCCTGACAACTCTCCATCGGTCCCGGCGCCGAACCAACATCATCCTTCCGCCTTTCCCCCCGCGTTTCGGTTGATCCCACCTGGCCCTGTGACGGCGTCACTTCCCCCTCTTCCATTCGCCACGCCGCCAGCCGTCAATCTGTCGATGGGACGAAATTCGCTTCCCTCAATGCCCACCGCCATTTTGTTCTCTCTCCCTCCCCTTTCCTTTCCCCGCTGGTTCTGCCGAGCGCGCTGACTCGCTCACTCCTCGCCTGCACGCAACTGCCTGACTTTCTCTCCAACTTTCAACTGAGCTGTGCGGACCGATCCACTGTGCTCCCAACTCAAACCCTCTATCCGTGTTTTCCCATCCCATCGCAACTCCACCACCGAAGACATCAGATGCGTTTCGTTCTCCAGCCAATTTTCACTTGCTCAGTCACATCTGAATCCTTCAACCTCAGCTAAGCCAGGACACGGCCGAGAAATATACGGCTGCGTCACAGCCGTGCAGATCTAATTAATTCTCCAGGTTGTTATCTTCTTCAAGCAGTTAATCTCGTGCCTGCTGCAGATCAAAGCCATCTCACATCATGGCGGGTCTTTCACTAGACCTCTCTCTCAGCCTCCTCTCTTCTGCACCGTCCTCCTCTCCGGTCGAGGCCGTCACAAACCTTCGCGATTCCCTCTCCAGCCCGCGTAAGGCGAAGCGCCACTGCCCGTCGGATCTTCGTCAAGCGGATCAACGTCCCCAATCGCAACCGTCGCTTTCCATGAGGCACGTGCCGTCGCCGGGCCTGTCGCTAGCAAGCAGCCTTGACGCAGATGCCGTCGCCGAGCCCGTCGCAGAATCCGTCGCCGTGACGTCGCAGAGGGATAACGTGAATTCTTCCTTCCACCTTCTTGACTCGTCTCCGTCGTCGTCTCCCCCGTCTACTGGCTCCTTCTCCCCCTCATCCCGCGGTCCCTCCTCCTTCACTGCTCTTGCCTCCCTCGCTCACACTCCGCCGACCCACTGCCTGCCGGCGCTCACTCCCGCTCCTCCTTCCACTCCGCCGCCGCCGTCGCACCAGCACCGTGGCTGGTTCGGCTCCGCCAATCCCCCTGCAAGCTGCCCTCCCGCGATCTGTCCCGCCCCAAGCTACCCTTCCGCAAGCTGTCCTCCCGCCGCGGAAGCCGTCAGCGTGACTCGGCTAACGATGCCACCCTCCGCGTCTTCCGCCGCTCTCACCGCCCCGCATCTGGCCACGTCACACTCTCAGCAGTCTGCAGCTCCTGCGGCGCCATCTGCGGCAGTGAATCACAGCGGGGAAGCGGGAGGCGCTGCAGATCCCGTCGCGGCTCCAGCGCACCCGATTGTCGCGGGAGCAGCGCCGATGGCTCCGACGGCGGCGCCGGCGCCGCCGGCCGCTGCGCCGGGTCCGAAGAAAAGGAAGAGCATGAAGGACCGGAGGTTCCGCGGAATTCGCGAGGTAAGGAAGAACGAATATGTCATGTCTTGCAGATCGACATAAACGGCGGGTTCTGAAATCGGATCTAGCGTCTTGCGCACCTTTTGTTTTTTTCTACCTTTTTCTCTCGTCGTTTTGCTGTCTTGACCTTGTGCTTGTGCCTTTTCTAAAACTTGTCAAGATTGTTTTTCCCGCTGCCTGTCTGTTTTGCAGCGCCTGTGGGGTCGCTGGGCCGCGGAGATTCGGGATCCCCGAACGAAGAAGCGGATCTGGCTCGGTAGCTTCGACACTGCCGAGGCTGCAGCCCGAGCCTACGACGCAGCCAACCTCCGGCTCCGAGGAGCCAACGCCCGAACTAATTTTCCCCAGCCCGAGCAGCTGGCTGCCTCGGATAACAACCCTGCCGAACCGGCTCAGAACGAGGCTCTGCCGAACGTGAACTCCAGGCTTGAGGAGCAAAGTCCAACGGCCGTGTCAAGCTCGGATGGTGACGGCGAGAACGTCGCGGGCGGGGAATCGTCCGCGTTGCAAGAGGAGGCGGATGTGGTTGCAGCTGCGGATAGCCTGTCTCTTCTCGCCGCCGCGGCGCTTGCGGAAGAGCCTGAACCTGCGGCTGCGCCTTCCCCTGCGCCTGCGGTTGCGGGCGGTTCGGCAATCGGTGCGCCGGTTGCCGTGAGGGCTACAGCCGCGGCTGCAGCCTCGGGTCAGGCGGTTGTAGCGCTGGCCGCGACAGCAGCACCTGCGGCAACTCCAGTCCAAGCGCCAGCAGCGGCGCCAGCTGCTGTATCTCTTTCCCCTGCGGCGACGATCGCCCCTCGTCCCACCCCCATTGCCCCAGCTCCCGTTCAGTTTTCTCCGGGGCAGCCCGGGCCGTATCCGTTTGTGGCTGTTTCGCAGTGGCAGTACAACGCGCAACGCAACCCCCGCCAACAATACAGCAACAACGTGCAGCAGCAGTACCCCCGCGCGCAGCAATACCCCCAACCCCACTCCCACTCCGCCCAGACATCCTACTACCATCAGGCGCAACCAGTGAATGCTCGCGCCGCGCCTCACCAGCAGCAGGCTGTAGCGGGAGCGCAGCCAGCTCTAGCCGTCCCAGCCACTTCCCCCTTCCCCACCTTCCCCGGGTCCTGGGGACATCCCAGCCATCCCAGCGCATCCGCGCAGTACCAGCAGAGCCTGGCTCCGCTGTCTGCGTCCGCCTCCGCGCAACACGTGTCTCTCTCCGCGCCTGCGTCCGCCGCGCTGGCTGCTGCGGCAGCCGTGCCTTCGCACCGGTCCCAGGCGGCATTCCCTGTGTCGCAGCATCCCCCTCCTCCCAACACTGGTGCTCCACGTACAGTGGTTGCACAGGCGGTAGTCACTCCGCGTACAGTCACTCCGCACACTGTCACGTCGCATAAAGCGGCACCTCTGATGGGGCTGCTGCAGCTGCCCAAGTCTCTCACTGGCCCAGTCCCAGCAGGCCAGCTGGCGACGCCAGTGGCAGCAGCAAAGCCTGCTGCGGCACCGGGAGCGGTTATTGTGAGAGCAATGCCAGGACCAGCAGCAAAGTCGACAGGAGCAGCAGCAGGAGTGGGAGTTATGTGCACCTCTCTGGTTCCCCAGGATCAGTCGCCGTGCACATCTGTCCCTCCTTCGGCCTCCTTGCCATCTCACTCCTCCAGCAGCAGTAGCTATGCTGGAGGCTCGGGTGCGGATCAGTGCACAGCTGTGTCTGCTGATGGCACTGTTGCTGTTGTGGATGCGTCCACTGCTGTGGCTGCTGCTGGAGCTGATGGTGCTGCGCAGAGCGAGAAGAGTGGAAACAAGAAAGACGGCCGCACCAGGCTTTTCCGTGGTGTTCGCCAGGTAATTTTCTGAGCTTCATTGCGTTTTTGTTTTGTCCTAGACATCTGCTGTATTTGTTTGTTTTGATATCTATTTGTGGTGGTTGGGTTTCTTATCCTGACGGTCTTTTCTCTGCTGTGTTTCTCCTGCCTTCTGCAGCGTCCTTCTGGTAAATGGGTGGCCGAAGCCAGGGACCCTCACTCGCGCCGTCGCATCTGGCTAGGGAGCTTCAATACCCCAGAGGAAGCTGCCCGGGCATATGATGCCATTTCAAGGAAGTTCAGGGGATCTGCTGCCAAGTGCAACTTTCCAGAAGGAGCTGATGGGTTTGTGGACAACAATGTTGCCTTGACTGAGCTCATTGATGTCAGGGGCCGATCGATCGCTCAGGCAGCATTGACATTTGAACGATACGGACCTGGTGGGCGGAGACCTACATACAAAGACCCGGCACTGCAAGTTAGTGTTCCTAACAGTGTTCCTAGTAGCGTACCTAGCTGATAACTGAATGTTTCTTGATGACCGTAAACTTTCAACAGTGTACCCTTGCCATCATTTCCAGGGAATTCTGAAGTCGACTCAAAAGATGTCCAATGTGGCTTTGTTTTGGGTGAGTGTTAGAATAGTAGCTAGAGAGAGCCTTAGGGTTTGGTGGGAGAGAGTGTTGGCCAAGCAAAGAAAGGGGGTTCACTATAAGCTCGAGGGTACAAATAGGAGACAAAGGAGGTGCACCACCAATACAAAGAGTTTATAACTACACTAAAGCTACAGCTACAGGCAGGTACATAAATATATATAAATATATATTCTAACACTCCCCCATAACTGCCTGCAGCAGGAGCTTGTGCAGCAACAACTCCTGGATGGGTACACCACGAACAGAGAAAGCAGCAACAGGAGGCAAGTGCAATGACAACCAGTGCAGTGGTGGCAGAGACAGCTGCAGCAAGCCCTGAGGCAAGAAAGAGAGAACGAAGACGATGTGCTGTGGCGCGCTTAGTTTGCAGCTCAACAGCAAAGAAGACGAACGAAGACGATGTGCTGTGTGTCAACAGGACTAGGCAAGAATGGTGCATTGAATGAAACAGTTGGGTACAAGTAGCAAACCCTAGTTGGGGTTGTACCCCATATTGGCTACCCCACTACAGCCTACCAACATATAACACATTACAATTTAACACACCCCCATAGGCAAAGTGGGGGAGAACAAAGGGTCACAAGACCAGTCCAGCAAAGCAACGCAAGCCCAGGGTGGATCACAACGTCACCACACTCCGAGCACAAGCAAAGGCCACAAGGCCAGTTCACATGCAGTGCTAGATATAGTACAAGACAAGCAACACAGTGATCAAAACCTAGCAAGCAAGCAACAAGATATATATAAAGTACAGTACAAAGAAAGTCAAGCAGTAAGCAAATGAGGGAATGTGGACACAAGGCCTAAAGAAGTACAGTGTCGCTGATGATCACTAGGCGGGAGCGCCTTGGTGAAGATATCAGCAGTGTTGGCCTTCGAGTCCACGTACACAAGCCGAAGCTGACCGCGCTGCTGAAGCTCTCGAGCAAGAAAGTAGCGAAGAGCAATGTGCTTCGTCCTGTGCTCCAGTCTGTGCTCCTGACACAAGGCAAGGGCCGCCTTGTTGTCACCGTACAGAACTGGAGGAGAACTAGGCCGCTCTCCCAAGTCAGTCAGCAGGTAGGTGAGCCAGCGTAACTCCTGTGCAGCCATGGCCGTGGCGTAGATCTCAGCCTCACAACTAGAGCCGAGAACAGAAGAAGAGCGGGTGGACCGCCACGAGACAGAACCAGAGCCAAGGCTGAAGGTGTAACCCTGTGACGACCGCTGCGTAGCCAGGTCGTCCACCCAAGAAGCGTCCGAGTGACCAGTAAGGACAACTCTGTCGCGTCCTCCAAGCACCAGCCCCATGCCTGACGTACTGCACAAGTAACGCAGCACCCTCTTAGCAGCCTCCCAGTGCTCTCGCCTGTGTCTCCCAGGTGCAACGTAACGAGCAAGGATGCTAAGAGGGTACGCGAGGTCAGGTCGCGTGCAAGTCATCAGGTACATGAGGCAGCCTACAAGCTCTGGGTACGGGCCACTCGGCTCTACGGACTCGTCCGAAGGTGGAGCTGAGAGCGAGTGGCTGGTAGCCAGAGGTGTGGCCTGTGGTGAGGAGAACTGGAAGCCGAAGCGCTGAAGGACCTGCTGCACCATGTGTGACTGAGTCAGGGTAATGGTGCGGCGTGCTCTGTCCCGGGTGATCTACAAGCCAAGGTAGCTACGCAGCTCACCCAGGTCAGTGCAGGTGTGTCTCTTCTGCAGCTCCGACTTCACACGAGCGAGTGCCTCAGTGTCAGCAGTAGCAAAAACCAAGTCGTCGACGTACACGAGAATGTAGAACGGCGGCAGCGACGTGTCTGTGCGCAGGAACAGCGACGGGTCAGCAGTAGACGGCGCGAACCCAAGAGCCGCAAGTGTAGTCCTCAGTGTGTCGTGCCACTCACGTGGCGCCTGGCGGAGACTGTAGACTGGCCGCCGGAGGCTCCACTGGGTACCAGGAGGAAACGACCCAGTAAAGCCAGGTGGGCGGCGCAACCAGATCTCCTCGTGCAGGCTGCCCTGCAAGAACGCTGTGCTGAAGTCAAGAGAGTGAAGCTCGTAGTCACGCTGAGCAGCAACGTGCAGTAGAACCCGAAGAGTGGTCATCTTCGGGGTGGGGGAGAAGGTCTGGAAGAAGTCAACCCCCTGACGCTGACTGAAGCCTCTAGCAACGTAACGAGCCTTGAAGACAGGCGGAGAACCTGGCGGCCGCTTCACCCTGAAAATCCACATGCCATCGACGATGTTCGCCCCAGGAGGGGGAACCTCGTCGACGTAGGTGCCTGTGGACTTCCAGGATGCCATCTCTGCGTCCATGGCTGTCTGCCACTGAGAGGAGTAGGGACCCGAGATCGCCTCTGCGTAAGTGCGCGGAGTGGGGATGTCTAGTGCATCCGGGTCTCCCTCAGGGGCAAGCAACCAGGCCACAAGATGAGGTACAGCAGCCGCAAGAGAGTCAAAGTCCTCCTGCCTGTCCTCAAGGACGTCCGTGCCAAGAGCACACTCACCCCCGACGGACGGAGGACAGACAGACTCAGACCCAGCAACAAGACTGGCGGCGTAGTCGAGGCGACAGGCAGCAGCAAAGTCGACAAGCTCAGCGACCAGGGCAGACGCAGCAGAAGACTCAAACGACGGGTCAGTGACAACAGTGGCGAGAAGACGCGTGACAGTAGGGTGGGCAGCACGAACACTGTCAGACTCAGGGTCGGGAACGTCAGGAAGAGAAGACGCAGGTGGAGACGGTAGGGGGACACGCTGTGGACCAGTGGAAGGACGAAGTGCCATAATGTGCGTGCCAGGAACAGGAGGAGGACGCGGACGCGCGACACGACGGCCAGTGGGACCAGTGCGAGCAGTGCGAGCAGCGCGAACAGGCGAGGCAGGACGAGACGTAGGCTCACGACGCTCCGTAAGCGAGTCCGGCTGTGCAGTGTAAGGCACAGGAGCAGGGAGGGGGGAGCCAGGCTGGAGAGGAAGGCCAGTGGAAGACGGGAGGGAAAGAACCTGGCGAAGCACCGTGTCAGGCGGCGGCAAAGCCGACGGCGACGGAGGGGCAAAGAACAGGCGCGACGGCGGAGCTCCGCCAGCACCTCCAGCACCCGCAGCACCAGAAGCACCAGGACCAGCACCCTCCGCCGCAGCACCCCCCGAGTCGGCGACGTCAGCACCAGAGGCCCCAGCAGCGTCAGACCTCCCCTCGCCAGCACCTCCAGAACCAGCAGGACCACCGTGTCCAGAACCGTCAGCTCCAGTGTCGTCAGCTCCAGCAGCTCCAGTACCGCCAGGAAGAGCACCCCCAGAGCCGGCAGCTCCAACTCCGCTAGCACCGCCAGCTCCAGAGTCCCCAGCTCCAGCAGCTCCAGTCTCAGTGCTCCCAGAACAACCAGTCCCGGCAGCTCCAGTACCCCAAACTCCAGCAGAGCCACGAGAGCGGCGAAAGCGCCGGACGTACCAGTCACGAAGCTGCTGCGGTGTGAGAGACTGCTCAGCACCCCGAACCGGAGCACCCCCAGACGCAGCAACCCCAGGCTCCGTAGGCTCAGTAGCAGCACCCCCAGGCTCAGTACCCTCAGGCGCAGCACCCCCAGGCTCAGCACCCCCAGACTCCGTACACGCAGGCTCAGCACCCCCAGTCGCAGCACCCCCAGGCTCAGCACCCCCAGGCGCCGAACTCTCAGGCACAGTACCCTCAGCTCCAGTACCCGCAGTCCCAACACCCGCAGCCCCAGCACTCCCAGGCCCAGCACCCGCAGGCTCAGCACCCCCAGGCTCAGCACTCCCAGCAGCACCACCTGCAGCAGCACCTGAGTCACCTGTGACCTCGACAGGCTCAGCGACGGGAGGAGGGTCTACCTGAGAGACACCTGAAGGAGCAGGACCCTGAGGGGGGAGGGGGTCTACCGGAGGGGGGAGGGGGGCAGTGCGGTAGGGGAAGAGACGGTAAAAAGGGACCGACTCGTCAAAGGTGACGTCCTGAGAGGCGAAGACCCGGCGCGAGGTGGGATGGTAAAACTGCCAGCCAGGCGCGTCAGGGACAAAGCCAAGGAAGACACAGGGAAGCGTGCGGGAGGAGAGCTTGTCCGCGGACGTATCGCGGACAAGGGCACGAGCACCCCACACCCGGAAGCGCGACGCATCGCCAACCTCCCCCGTCCAACGCAGTGTGGGCGAGGTCTCCGGCAAGGAGACACGGGGCCAGAGGTTGAGCTGATGCGCGGCGTACCGGACAGCAAACGGCCACAGAAAATGGGGAGCCGCCGCGTGGACCAAGGAGGTACGAGCGACCTCCATGACCAGGCCAATGCGGCGCTCAGCAACCCCATTCTGCTGTGGGGAGTCCGGAAGCGTGAAGGTCTGCTCGATGCCCTCCGCCTGACAGAAGGTCCTCAAGAGGTCGGAGGAGAACTCACCACCTCTGTCAGAGTGCAGACGCAGGACAGGAAGATCCGTCCGGAAACGGCGGCGGAGCTGGAGACGAACTGTGCGGATCCAAGGGATCAGAACAGCAGGGACCTCACCCTTGGTGCGCAAGGGGAAGACCGTGGTGTAACGCGAGTAGTCGTCGACAACCAGCAAAAAGTACCGCTCACCGCCCTGACCACGAACGCGGGCTGGGCCCCACACGTCCAGGTGGAGGGTCTGCAGAGGAGCCTCTGTCGGGGGGAACGAGGAGGAGTGAGGAGCGGCGCGCTGCCGCCCCTCGACGCAAGGAAGGCAAGGCGGCGCAGGCGAGGCAGGGAGGGGAGGGAGGGACCTGGGAAGACCAGACACAAGGTGGCGACGGTGCATGCCACGGAGGCGTGGCAAGGAGGGGTGACCCAGGCGGTGGTGCCAGAGAAGAGTCTGGTGCGACAGGGAACGACACTCACAGGCGTGGGCCACCAGACCTGACGCGGACACCTGACCGACAGCAGCGACCTGAGGAGACGCAGTGGTCAGTGTGTAGAGACTCGACCCCGGCTGACGGGTAAACGTAGCCAGGTGACGGCCGGACCTGGAGCACGTGAGGATCGCCACACGCTGTCCTCCAGGGGTAAAGGTGTCAACCCACTGATCCTGGATGACAGCGTTGCTCACCAGGTTCGTCGAGAACGAGGGGAGGTGGAAACCCGACAACGAGCCAGACGGAACCGCTGGACACGGGAGCACAGTGGTGGACCGTGCAAGGACTGGGCCCCCAGAGGGGTCAGCCAAGGAGACTGGGACCGGTGCAGGAAGCGGTGTGAGCTCAGTACGGTCACGAAAGAAACAGCGGGAAGCACCTGAGTCAAGGGTGAAGGTGTGACAAGTCTCAGCCGGTGCAGTGCCTGAGAGAGCAGTCTCTGTGGGTGCTGTACCTGAGAGAGCAGACTCACAAGCAGCAGGGACAGTACCGGAGGGAGCAGCCACAGAGGGCACCATACCAGAGAGAGCAGACTCACGAGTACCTAGGGCAGCGGGCTCTATACCTGGGTCAGGCGGCACACACAAGTAACAGTCTCCCTCGGCACTAACAGTCAATGCATACATAGCAGCAATAATAGCATCATAGTCAAGAGCAAAGATATCAACACCAGCCCTCATCAGCTCCGCCCAGCGGGGGCGCTCAACATCCTCGCCCATCTCCTCACGCCAAGCGTCGTCAAGGCGGGAGAAGCAGCGGTACGGGGTGTGGAACTTCCCACACGTCTGTCCCTTGCGGTCACCTGTGCGAATGACATAGGAACAGCGGACACTGCCCCCCGACGTCCCACGCTGAGCAAGCCACTCACGAAGCTGCTGGGTCGTCTGGGGACGCTGCTGCTGCTGGGAGCTCTGGCCCGAGCCAGTGCCTCCACTCCGACCTCCGCCGCCACGACTACTTCCGCTCCGACCGCCACCGCCGCCACCGCCACCGCCGCCACCGCCGCCACTGCTCCCTCCGCCGCCCCCGCCTCCGCTGCCGACCCCACTCCCACCAGTACTGCCGCCACCGCTCCCTCCAGCACTGCCTCCCCTCCCACCTCCCCCACCTCCTCCCCCCCCAGCGCCACCCCCGCCACCCTTGCCCCCCTTGCCCTTGCCGGTGCGGCGCCTCCCACCAGGAGCAGAAGCAGCGCCAGCAGACTCAGCACCAAGGAAGTCAACAGCAGCAGCAGTAGCGTAGGAGGGAGCGAGGGGAGAGGGAGAACACCCCTCAAAGATGGGGGTGCGAGGAGCGCCACGAGCAGCACCGACAGCTACAATGGTCTTCTCGGCCGCTAGCAGCTTCTCCTCTAGGAGGGCGACTGTGAGCTCAGTGGGACAGCGAGCAAGGAAGTGGTCTCGAACTGAGCTGAGGGTGTCAGGGAGACGGGTGACTATGAAGTGGAGTGTCCAGTACAGTGGAGGGGGGTGCTTAGCGCAGAACTCGGTGGGAAGGGCGGCACGCAGGCGAGCATCACTAGTGCGAAGGTGGGTGATAAGATCGGCGACTGTAGCAAAGGTGGACAGGTCAGGGAACAGGTAAGGCAGCATGAGGCGGCTAAGCTCGGCTGTGGCAGGCGAGGAGTAGCGAGTAACAACAGCGTCGTACAGGGCCTTAGCGGATTTGCAGTCGCCAAAATGCTCGAGCTCAGCTAACGGCAGGTGACTGCGAATGGCTAGGCGAGCAGCTGCGTCACGAGTCTGCCAGTGGGAACGAACACTAAGCTCAGCTGTGGCGGGAGGGGCAGGCGCTGCACCAGACGCGTAGTCATAGAGCGACACATGCTCCTTGCTATCGCTCAGGAGGAACAGCTGCAGGTCATCTAGCCAAGTGGTGAACTGCACAGGGCGGCCCTCAGCATCGAACGACAGCACGCGGATGGAAGCCATAGCGACAGTGCGACTGAGCAAAGCAAGCTGCCGCAGCGCTGCAAGCAGGTAGCTCGGTGGGGAGCGCGGCGGGGGGGGCGGCGCTCTGAGCGGGCAGCGCGGCGGACGGGCGGCGAAGCTGGCAGCGCGGCGGGCAGGCGGCACTGCAAGCGGGCAGCACGGCGGGCGGGCGGGCGACGCTGCGAGCGGGCAGCGCGGCGGGCGGGCTACGAAGCTGGCAGCGCGGTGGGCAGGCGGCGCCGCAAGCGGGCAGCGCAGCGGGCGGGCGACGCTGCGAGCGGGCAGCGCGGCGGGCGGGCGACGCTGCGAGCGGGCAGCGCGAGCGGATAGCGCGGCGGATGGGCGGCGCTACTGGCGGGCAGCGCGGCGGGCAGCGCAACGGGCAGCGCGACGAGCAGCGCGGCGGGTGAGGGCGCAACGAGGGGCGCTAACGAGGGCGCTAACGAGGGCGCTAACGAGAGGCGCACGAGGGCGCTAACGAGAGGCGCACGAGGGCGCTAACGAGAGGCGCACGAGGGCGCTAACGAGGGGCGCGCGAGGGCGCTAACGAGGGCGCGCGAGGGCGCTAACGAGGGCGCACGAGGGCGCTACGAGGCTAGGGCACGGGGTAGCGTGGTAACCGCATGCGAGCGGTGGTGGGCCCTAAAAAAAACGGTCGGTAGGTCCTAGGGACCTCCTGCTCTGAATACCATGTCAACAGGACTAGGCAAGAATGGTGCATTGAATGAAACAGTTGGGTACAAGTAGCAAACCCTAGTTGGGGTTGTACCCCATATTGGCTACCCCACTACAGCCTACCAACATATAACACATTACAATTTAACACTGTGGCGCGCTTAGTTTGCAGCTCAACAGCAAAGAAGACGAACGAAGAGAGAGAAGCGTCAGGGGCTGCAGAAGTAGGTGCCACATAGCAGTGGACGGCAGCTGCAGATGCGTGGCTACTGGTTCCACCACTCTCTCTTACCCTCCCTTAGCATCTCTCCCCCCCCCTTCTCCCCGACAGCAACAAGTGCTGCAGGGAGAGAGTAAGAGGGAAGGAGAGTGGGGGAGGGACGAGCTACTGGTGGTTCACACCCTCCGCCCCCAGAACTCCCGTCCCCCCCCCCACGGCGGGAGCCGCGGAAGGGAAGGGCGGGGGGGGGGGGGGGGGGGGGGGGGGCGGCATACGGAGCTGCCGGCGCCGGCGTCCCCTGCTGGCGCAAGCGCTGGCGTGCGCGGATGGCGCAGGCGCTGGCGCCTCGCGGCTGGCGCAGCGCTGGCGCTTTGCGGCTTGCGCACGCGCTGGCGCTGCGTTCCGCACTGGCGCTGGCCGCGAAGTGCTGGCGCAGGTGCGGGCGTTGGCGCGGACGACGGGCAGGGCGACGCGGGCAGAGTAGGGCGCATCGGGGCGCGACGAACTGGAGGGCGCACGGGGCGCGACGAACAGGCAGAGCAGGGCGCAGCGGGGCGCGACGAACGGGAGGGCGCACGGGGCGCGACTCGGGTGACCCGCGGGGCGCCGAAACGTGGGGCCACGGGCGACGGGAAGGAGGGCGCACGGGGCGCGACGAGTATGCCTTCGGAGCGCGAATCGAGTGGGGCCTGCAGAGAGCGAAACGCGGGACCCATGATCCAAAAAAAAAAAAGGTCCTTAGGACCGATTATTGCTCTGTACCATGTTAGAATAGTAGCTAGAGAGAGCCTTAGGGTTTGGTGGGAGAGAGTGTTGGCCAAGCAAAGAGAGGGGGTTCACTATAGGCTCGAGGGTACAAATAGGAGACAAAGGAGGTGCACCACCAATACAAAGAGTTTATAACTACACTAAAGCTACAGCTACAGGCAGGTACATAAATATATATAAATATATATTCTAACAGTGAGCTATACAGAGCGACGAATGTAATTGTGGGAAAGACAATACACAGGGCGTGATATTACCGTAGTGCGGTCTAGGTAGCTGCCTGGCGGTACGGTACGGTACGGCTGTGGGCGTATGAATTCAAAGGACTTGCCCTCAAAATGTACGTGCAACAAGTCAAAACTTCGACCCTCCGAATCCCAGGAGTTTCCTCCGAAGTTGTCGCTGCTCGACCCTGGTGAAGAATCGATGGCCTCCCAGTTTCAAAATGACCAGCAGAGCACGACAAGCTCAAGGTTGGCTATGCTCCCGTTTTGTCAGCATAAGTAAACCACCGCTGTTGATATATAGTCGAATAGCTCTAGTTTCTTACATTCTCCTGCTGTTCATTTTCGCTCTCGACCCAGTTAGCTGAAGACACGACAACAGCTCATTGCTTGTCCATTGGTTAACCATGTTCTACTCAAACTCCTTGCTTTCGAGGAAAAGCCCTCTCGGCCAAATATGGTACGGTTCAGAGTCTGCAAGTCAGTTGCTGCACTTCATGCTTTCGGCGAGCTTAGCAAACACCTGTTTTGCCTCATCAGGATCGCCGCTATGATGCAAGGAAGCATAAACCGAAAAAAGGCTGCACTTATTGACATTCGAGATATCTGCGCCCGGATATTAGAGCCTGAACTTCCACTTGCTCTCCGTCTCTCCGGGATCCTAATGGGTATAAGTTGACGCACGTGTCTTTGAAATCGCGTCCAGGGACACGATACTGATTGTGTATGGATTGTTCTACAGGTGGTGCGGTCATTGTGTATTCAAAGAAAGTCACGTTTCTTCTGGAGGATGCCAAAGCTTTCATGGTGGGAAGAGTTTTTTATCCTATTTCGCTTCGCGTGTGAGAGTACGACTCACGCCGTGGTGCTTACTGCGCAGGCAAAGATTAACGCGGCCCTGGTTGTGAAGCGAGATGACAAAACGCTGCCGAGGGAGAAAGGCCAAGCAAGGTTGGTTGTTTGACCTATAGATATGATTCTGTTGTTCTTATTTTCGCAGCTAACCACAAGCGTCACAGATTTGAGAGTGTTACGGTCGACTACCAGTTTGGTAGCTTCAACGTTGATGTCACTCTTGATTCTGGTCGTGCCCTTGGGGACCAGACAAATGTAAGATGCTCCCAGGCTTTTCTTGTAAGCAAGAATGCAGCATCCATTCTCAATCATGAATGCACTTTTCAGGAGTTTTTTGTGCTTCCTCAACCAGAAGTTGCACGTGATGGCCGAAATGAGCACACTTTGGGTGAGCCTGCAGCCTGCACTTGCTTAATTTGAACAGTTGGTTTTCGGGTATTTAACTCGTTTGATGTTCCAGCGACACCTGCGGACATTACCCTTCCGGAGTTGCAACATGACAACGAAGGCTTCACCAGGTGAGATTCGCAAGCTGTTGAGACAGCTGTTCCTTTTCAAATGACTTATCTACACATGCATCCGCAGGTTTGGGGTTGATGATCAACCACCTATGACATTTCAAGACGAAGGTGCTGCCGACGCGATGTGGCAAGACATTTTGAAGGGTAAACCCAGCTTGCTGTCTGCCATGTGTGGACGATCCTGTGAATGTTGTTGTTTCTAAGTTGCACTCTCAATCTAAATTTCAGGGATGAATTCGCCGAAGCCGAGCACCCCTCAAGGACCTCACCCAGAAACCATCATTGAAGACCAGCAAGAAGCAGGCCAGCCACAAAATATTCGGGATCAGACCGCTGCACCTGAGTCTGTATGTAATGGGTTCGCTTTAACTGGTTTTGCATTAAGCATTGCAGTCTAATAGCGCTCCCTTCGATGTGGCAGCCTGAACAAAATGAGGCTCCAAAGCGATCACGGCAACTTAAACGGAAGGCACGTCCAAAGAAAGTTGTTATGGATGAGGATAGGACAGAGGTGGCCCCGATGGAATTCAACCGATGGCTGCAAGACACGTCAAAAGTTATTGGAAGGGTGAAGAAGGTATGACCGGATTGTGAACCTTTCCCAGCATGTGGGCCACTTCTAATGTTTCTGCCAATTCCAGGATCGGAAGGCCCTTCTGGAAAAATCCCTTGAATCTCTCATTGACCTTCCCTTGACTGGAAGTATCACAATGGACGGGTTTGTAGCTTCCAGATGGTCTAAAGGAATGATGCGGACGTGGAACAGATATGTACGAAAAGATACATTCAGAAGCGATCCTGAAACATACGGTAGGTGTCGTCAACCTCCACATCCATTGCTCTTCAATGGATTTTCGCTTATTTTTTCTAATCGAGGTTGTCTGACCTTTGCAGAGATGCATGCCTCGAAGAAAGCTCGTATGGAAAGTGGAAGTGACAAGGTACCATAGCCATATTCCACGGTTTGATTCTGCAATACTGTCTCCACCTCAAAATCAGGAACAATCGTTTGACCTCGCAGGACCCTGAGATGCCAAATCAGGCCATGCTTGATGATTTCGGATCTGCTGAAGCTATGAGGGAGAGAAATGAGACGCCAGTAGTGGCAGAAAATGGCGTACGACGTGATGACGTGACTCCACCTGCTCAAGGTTGGTCATTGTGTCGTGTCGTCACCTTATTGCACAAACTCCGTCCATTTTCTAATACGCGTAACACCCTGCAGGGCTTTTGGATCTTGAACGAACAAAGAACTCTTCGGGTGGGGTCCCACTTCCAATGGAGGAGGAAAATCAACCAGACTTCTATAGAGGGTGAGTCCGACTTCTGCACTTGGTTGCAGTATAGTTGCTGCTTTGTTCTTACTAAGCCACTCGAACTGTGATCTTGCAGAAACCGTCCTCAAAACATAGCAGATTTCTTGATTGAAGGCTCGCCACAGATTCCTCAAAACTTGGCTGATGATTTAACTGCTCAATTTCCCGGGCAGAGTGCTGAAAAGTTTTCTTCCAAACATAGCAGCAGTGGACTGCGAGGTGCACTGAGCCAGTTTGGTGAGTACCGGTACCTTTCCTGCTATTTTGCACGTCTTTGTACGAAATCATATAGAAGACACTCGTATATTTCAGGTGTATCCGAGCCCTTGCAAGAAACGGATGCAACACAGACACAATTCCCTGCAACTTCCATTGACAAGAGGACAGCATCTCTTGCTGGGTAAGCGGGACTACATCCCTCTGTAACAATTGCTGGCTGAGTGTGTCAGTCACTCAGGCTTTGTGCTTGCAGATTTTTCCGCCAGCAAGTCTTCAGCAATCCAGAAATTAGATTCGCATCACTGCATGAACTTCTAGCAGACTGCAACAGGCAGCAAGCAGCCCGCATCTTTTACCAAACATGTGGTAAGTCTAGCACACCTTAGCCCCTTGTCTTGATGCCAATGCCTGCAGCCTGCTGTCAGTGATGCCTGTAAACTTCATTCCTTGGCAGTTCTTGCAACGATGAACTACCTCAAGGTCAAGCAAGCCACTCCTTACAGTGATATTGAGATCCTTGCGGGAGGATTTTTGTGAGAGCCATTTCTGTGTGCGAGTTCATGCATGGTGGATGTCATTTACGCTCGTGTACCACTTATTTGCAATGCTTTCCATGTTTCACTATTATTGAAGAAGATAGAACCCTTCACCTAAAGCAGTGAGTGTTATCAAGGGTCCAAGCATGGAGCATGCACTAAGCAGCCAGGGTTGGCATCCCATGTGCTGATGCATGCACACCTGAGAAATGTGATACAAGTACCGTAATCCCCCGTATATAAGACCCTAGGGTATTATGATAATCACCCCTAGAAAGGCTTGGGGGTATAATTATATGGTATACTGTTTAGAAGACCCGGGTCTGTTCATATTGACATTTATAAGAATGTAGTTTTGGAGCTCAAAGAAGTGATTTGGAATTGCTCCGTTTTTAGCTCCTCCCAAAAATACTCGAATTGGTCTCCACACGGGCCGAACCCACGTCATCATTAACCCTATCTGGGAGCCTACTCCCGTTGGCCACCAACACCACTTGGTGTTCACACGACAGCGAAGGGCAACGTTTGATGGCCTCGACCTTCACACCCCATGCACGCTTCGTGCGGGCTGCACAGTCATTTTCGATTGCTTGTTTGTAAAATCCACACTTCTCTAGGATGTGGGGGGGGTCTTATAATGTTTGGAGCCATTTAGGGGGTATAACTCAGATGTACGGTACTCGAATAGAGTACCCGGGTCCGTATTATAGACCCGGGGGTCTACAACTGGGGGGGGTCCTATATACGGGGGATTACGGTACTCAAGGCTCAGATGGACAGGAACCAGTGAATCCAAGATTCTTCAGAGTAATTGTTCAGGATTTAGATTGAAGTAACAAATATCTAGAATCTTTTATGCATGCTCAGCTTTGCAAATGTGCCAGCATGAAACTGCATTCTGCACATAAAAACAGCAACTTAGCCCTCATAGCTGCCCAACTCCCCAACATACTCTGCCACATCATCCATTGCCAGTCGCTCCAAATCAAATGACTCAGCCAACTGGACAACAGCCACACCCTCCTCTCCTCTCCTTTCCAAAAGTTTCCCAACCTGCCCTCGGTTCGCGCCACAAAGAATCATAACGCGACCCCCTTTCTTCGGCAGAGCTGTTTCCATTTCCTGCTCCTTCAATCCCTGGACCAAGTTGCCTCTGCTGCTGACTCCATTCCCACTCCTTTCACCAGCTTCTGATGACCCGGAATCTAGCAGCACATCACACGTCGTTGGCGTGACAACATCAACAATTGTCCCCTTCTTCAAGTAAAGCCTCCCCCCATGTATGCGCTTATCCACAATGCGTACTCGGATATGCGGCATAAGCCACGGTCGCCGACTGGGAGGAGGGGGAGAGAGAGATGGTTCTCGTAAGGCCTGTTGCCTGGTAGAAGCCTGCTCACGTTTATCTTCTTTTCTGCTGCTCTTCTCTTGGTCAGTTCTCCTGTCACGGTCAACCCCCCTCTCCCTGTCCCTGACTCTCTCCCTGTTCCTATCTCTGACACTATCCCTGACTCTCTCTCGCTCCTTCTCCCTGTTCCTGTCCCTCTCTCTCTCCCTGCCTTGTTGTCTATCCCTTTCAGTACCTCTTTCTCTGTCCATTCCCCCATCCCGCTCCCGGTCTCTGTCTCTGGCCACAGATCTATCACCTTTTCCCTTCTCTATAAACTTCTCAACATCCCTCCCTTCCTCCCGTCTCCCTCTGCTCCTCTCTCCACCCTCTCTCTCCTCCCTTCCCAATCCTTTCCTCCTTCCTGCACGACCATTCTCTTTCGCCCTCCTCTCTTCCCCATCCCCAACCCCCTCACCCCGTATCCTCTTCAACGCCTGTTCTTCCTCCCACGACCCTATATCCGCCACCTCCTTCCCCTTGACTACAATCACCTCCTCGCTACTTACAAGCACCAGCCTCACTTGAACCCCCTTCCCTTCTCCCAATTCCACCACTTCAAGTACTTCCCCTGTCAATCCCTCATGCCGTCCCTCAACTATCCTCATCACCTTCCCCTTGGCCGGCCCAGGCCTCACCCTCTCCACTAGCTTCTCCGAAATCGGCTTCACATGCCGAACCTTCCCGTCTGGTCCGACCGAAGCTACCAGGTCCGGCTTGGGCCCTCGGGTCTCCCCAGGCTTAATCAGCTTCTTGCTGTTTTCCAGCAGCTTTGGAGTAGCTCCTAGACCCAGGCGTCCCTGCCTCGGAACAAACTCCACAGGTTCAGCCAATCCCTTGGCGTTGCGACCAATAGGCTTGCCTTTCTGCCAACCCATCCCCGTTAAAAGCGCAACTCCAAAATCCTCTACAGGCATCGACTCGTAGTCGTCCAAATTCGCTTCATCTGGGAGACGCTCCAGATCCTCCTGCAGCTTCTGCGTTTCAGGATCCATTATTGGCCGTTGATCTCGATCGTCAACTCTTTCTGGAGCAGATCTGACGGTTAAACCGTATCGAACGCCTCCAGAAGATTCGTCCGCTCCATCACCATCCTCTTTTCCTTCCCCTCCGGGTAAGGATCCCGCAGTACCCATATCGAATTTATTTTCCGGACCTCCCATAATCTCATCCATTTCCGGATTCACGCTCTTCACCCGCTTCTCCGGCTTCCACGTGTCTTCTAGCGGAGCGATTATCTTAGGCCCGCGCTTCGACTTAGACTCGTCCTTGGCTACCAAGCCGGTGGAGTCGACGGCGGTGATCAACTCCCGCTGCTCGCTCTCCTCGTCCTTCTTATCCTGGGCCTTTCGCGGAACCTTCGCCGCTCCTTTCATCTTGCCAAGAGAAAATTTCATTGGCGCCGATTTGCCCTCCTTAGGACCATCCATAGTCTCCCTCTGATCGTTCTTAACAGCCTCCTCCGCGTTCGCGGAGACATTCTTTAACCCGTCACCTTCCTCGCTGTCCATATTTCCCTCTTGAAAACGGTCAAACTAAGCCGCCTCAAAAGATGGACACTGAGGGAGCTGACCAGGGAACACGGAAGCTCGAGAAAGAACGATGGATTAGGCAAGGGAGGACAAGTCGATGACACTGAAGCCAGCAGTCCTGCTACGGACTGGGCGAAGGCGAGGTTGTGTCAACATTAGTTTGCGTCAGTGCAATTCAGGACGATGGTTGGGTACGGTATTGCGCATATCGCCGACACAGCCAGGAAGTGAGGTGGTGGTGGTTGGGTTGGGGAGGGAAGTGGTTTGCGAGAACTAACCAACAGTTCAGGATGAAACCTGCGCTTACAGGCGGTTGAGTACGTTCCAGTAAGATTTCAGACGGTAACCTGGCCCAAAGGACCAGGCGGAACGATTTAAAACCAACTCACAAAACACTCTTCACGAGCTGGTAACCAGCCCTTTGACGCGAAACTACAATTTGCGCGGGAAACTAGGCACACTGACACCAGTCGTTCAGCTCACATACCAAGACCACACATCTAGCTTCTAAATGAGTCTATAGATTTGTCCCTTCCCGTGGCGCGTCGCCCATCGTCCTTTTAGCCAATAACTATTCTCGAGCAAGAACAAGTGGTGGTCCCAACCCGAAAGCTATTTTCGAGATGCGGTAACCCCTTTCGCATCACGCGCGCATGGCTCTCGTCCGCACCTTCGTCGGCACGTTCCTGGCCAACGTGGTGTTTTATAACAAGGCCGTGACGAGCTTCTTAGCGGGGACGGTGGTGGGGATATACGTCGGACAGAATTACGACGTGCCGAATGTTGAGGAGAACGCACGCAAGTGAGTCTTTCGGAAAGAAAAAAAGTAGAGAATCTTATAACGTCATATGTCCTTATCACCTGCGATTGCGATTAGAGAAAGCCACGTGATGGTGGGTCGTTTCATATTCGGCAGCTCGATCATTGATGGAGAGAGCCAGGATTTAGTACATGCCTTGTTTGGTCGGAGGCCGGGAGATAGGCGTACAAAATTGGCTTTTACGTGAGCAGGGATCGTGTGAATGAGTAGGTCCGATTAAGTGAGTTTGAATCGTTCCAGAGAGGAGAGTCATTCAGGTGTGCAGGGCCTTAGGTTGTTAGGAAGGTTGTGCACCAAGGTAGGGGGGAGGCCTCAGGCTGTGGAGGGCTGTTCAAGTTGTATGGGGAAGGTTTTCGGGTTGGAGGGGACCTTAGCCTGGTGTGTTGGCTTCAGAAAGAGGGGGGGGGGAGAGGGGGGGGGGGTCAGTCTGGGCATGAGATCTGCAGGTTGAGGTGGAGGTGTGTGGGTAGGGGAGGGGTTTCAGAACAATATTTGCAAACGTAATGTGTAGGATGGATAGTGTCTCATTTGGATCTTAGGGGAACAGGTGGGTGGATGGATGGGAGGGTGGAAGCTAGGTTTGACATGATAATGCGACTGCATGACCCACTCATAAGAACGATGCATGCATGTGCCTCAACAAACTCATGCATGCGTGTCAACCCCATGAATTGTTATTACTTTCGTGTTCTCCAACCCCATCCATGTGCGTCAACCCCATGCATGTTCTCTAAATCCATGTGTCTGTCAACCCTATGCATGTGCATCGACCCCCCCATGGATGTATGTGTGCCAAATACATGCATGTGCGGCTTGCCTCAACCCGATGCATGTGTGTTGAACCCAGGATATCCCCTCCCTTCTGCCAACTCCTCATGTACCGTATGTGGATTTTTTTACTCGCAGTTTTCTGTTGCTTGAGGTTTTGTAACCCCCTCTTTGTGTTTCCTCTGTGCTCCTCAGATTGCTTGCATATGCTCAAGAACTACATGACAAGTACCGCAGGCAACCGTGATTGTGTAAAGAGTAGGTTGTGAGATGTCCTGTTTGCTGTGAATACTATTGCTCAAAACAGCTGTTTTGGGCACACTTGTTGGAGAACTCATGCTTCTTCTGAATAGTTTTTTCATATTTATGATGCAAGACATAGCAGAGTAGTTAACTCCTTAGCTTTTACTGCTAGTTATCTAACTCCATTGCAAACTCTCTAGTTATCTGAACTAACCAATGGCCACAAAGCAGTTACAGGTTGGTTACTCGGCCCTGGGTACAAATGAGGCCAGCCATGCCTGTTGCTCAGGTTACCCTACCTGCTGTCTGGTTACCCTGTCACCTAGATTTGCTGCTTCGCTGCTGCCATGCCAGCCAGTCGATAGCAACCTAATGCTGCTGCACTGCAGCTTATTGCCTCCAGAGAACAGTCTCCATCATGGGAATCCTCACTAACCCAGGATCCTGATGGGTGGGGGTCTGCTGCTTGAAAGGTGCCACATGGATTGACATTGTTCTGAAGTCACCTACTGCATTGACTTGGAAGTTTTTCGGGCAGCTCGTCCAGCCCCACTGCTTCCACAGTGTAACTCGGGCGCAAGTCATCACTTGCTCTCAGTCAGCCTCGCTGCCTCACCCTAGGGACTTGACCCAAGCGTGCTGTTCCTTAGAAGCACACTCAGGCTTGTTATTGAGGAATGTTGGACAGAGCTGCCTCGATGTCTTCCATCGTTATAGTCACAAGCTCGTCCATGTCACAGCAGTCAATATCCAGCCGTTCATCCAGTCGATCTCGAGCGTCCATTAATACAGGCAGCGCCATCCCTCCGTTCCTCTGCCTCCGCTGCTCCTCTGTGGTTGATCGGGTGATAACAGCTGCTAGGGAGGATGGAGTTATGCTGGGATGCAACCTGCAGTGAGGAGGGGAATACAAGACAGGAGGGAGGAGTGAGTAGAGGAGGAAGTGGAGGGAACGGAGGAAGGAGCAAGTGTTATGACAAGAGTGCACATACAGGAAACAAAGATGCGCCTGACAAGGGTTATAATCAACATATCTACTTGGTTCACTGTCCAAAATTACCTGAATCCTGCAAGGGGCGACTGCTGAGTGGCTTCACTATAGTCACTGTTGCTGTTGCTGCTGCTGCCACTGGCACCTGCTCCATAGTCACTTCCGTTGCCACTGCTGCTGCTCCTGACACTGCTAGCACAGTCAACGTCTAGCTCATCCCCGTTAGTAGCAGCTTCCCCAGCCGCCTGCTTCATTTTAAGCAGCATGACTTGCGCAATATCGAGTGGAGAGAGATCGTCAAACACAAATACTCGCGACACACGCCGCTGAAACCCCTCGTTTACTGCAAAGACCCGCTTCATTGGCTCAGCATATCCTGGAATAGAGGGGGGAAGGAAGGAGGGCAGGGGAGAAAACGTAAGAGAAGGTAAGTATGTGTACATATGAAATACTCATACATTTGGAATACTATCATTAGGTTACACTACCCAAGTAAAATCTTCGGCATCTCCCCCATCTTCCCATCAATCCAAGCAACCAACACTCACCAGCAAAAATCACAACAACGCTGCCCGAGTCCATCACCGACATTATCTCCTCCAATGCCTCCGCGCCATAGTCTTTTTCATCTGACCGCTGCTGCGGAACCAACCGGTACGCCTCGTCCACAAAAAGAATCCCCCCAGCCGCCTCCAGAATTTTCCGCCGCGTTTTCGGGCCCGTATGCCCGACAAACTCGCCAACCAAATCCGTCCTCTGAACCTCAACCACCTTATCCGTGGGTAAGACACCCACCAAATTCAACAGCCGCGCAAGCGCGCGCGCAACGGTGGTTTTCCCCGTGCCGGGGGAACCTAGAAAAGCCATGTGCGGGGGTTTGCGCGGTTGCACGCGGATCCCCAGTTCCCGCCGCTTCTGATCTAAGACCAAGCCCTTCGCCCACACGCGCAGCTGCTGCTTCAATAGCGGGAGGCCTATTAACGAGGATAACTCTTTCTCGAGCGTTTGCATCACGGCGGATGCGGAGCTAGGGGTGAGGGACGGCGACGGGGACGGAGCGTGGAGTGCCACGTGGCGGTCGAGGATTCGTCGTAGGGAGGCGCGGATACCGCTGTTGTTGCTGGTGCTTGTAGCGGATGAGTTGCCTAATTGAATGTGACTCGAAGGGGAGTTGCCATCCTTGTCTTGCGCTGCCACGTCAGCACCGTGCTTCAGCAGCAACTCCACCACTTCCAGAATCTTCGGCTGGCCCATTCCAGCCGGAGCCCCTCCCGCGTTGCTGTCGGCTGCCACGTCAGCAGTGTTGAGTGCGGCCCAGACGGCGAGATAGAGCGGCGTGGCGCGATTCTGCCGTCGAGGAGGAATAAAAGCGGTTAGGAAGAAATTTCAGCGGGGAGAGACGTGGGAAGGAGAGAAGGGCAAAAGGAGGGAGGGCAGAGCAATGACATGTACATACGCAATTAAATACTTTAATGAACTTACCTTCACGGAAAGAACTTTCTTGGCTCATAATTGATGACCTTCACGTGCCTGCACGCGCAGTGTTTTCCCCCAAACAGCGGAAAGCACATGCGTCCCAGCTCTGTACCCAGCATATCTGAAGTCAATAGCGCCCTGCCACTCACCGACGCGCCCTCCCACTCACCGACGCAGCGGCGTTGACGGCCGCGCCGCCTTCGAGCAACGCCTTGACGCTCCTCGCGCTGCCGCACTTGGCGGCGATGTGCAGAGGCGTCTCGCCGAACTGAACGGGACGACGGGAAATGGTGAATGAAGGGCAGGGGCGGCAAGGAGGTTGGGGGGAAAGGGGAGCGGAGAGTGCAGGAGAAGGGTGGGGCGGAGGGAGCGGGTGAGAGGGCGCGCAGAGACGTCTTGCCGAACTGAACGGGAAGACGGGAAATGGTGAATGCAGGCCAGAGGACGGGCGGGAGGTGAAGGAAAGGGGGTGGGGCGGGGGAGCGCGCGGGAAGGAAGCGAGAAATGAAGAACGTGGGGAGGGAAAACAGAGATGTTGGGAAAGTGTCAAGGGAGGGAGGGAGGGAGGGAGGGAGCGAGGAAGGGAGGGGGATGGGGAGTGGGGTGGAGGGGGGGAAGATGGAGAAACCGAGGGGGGAGATTGCGGAGAGGTGATTGCGGGGACATGCGGAGGGGGAAGATGGCGGGAAGTAGCAGCATGATTTCAGCGTTTCTCACCATGTTGCGCGCTTCGACGTCCGCGGGAATTGCGCCTGATGCGTCCTCTCGCGTCTCCCTATACTCGCCGCCACTCCCCGCAACTGACGGCGGTCGGTCGAACGACAGAAGCACACGAATGGCCTCCGCCGCATCTTCCGCCGCCGCTTCGTGCAGCGGGGTTTGGCACGTCTGTCGGCGGGAGGAGGCGCGCGTGGGGAAGGGAGAAGGTGGGGAAGAAGGTGCAGGGGAGGGGAGGGGAGGGGAGGGGAGGGGAGGGGAGGGGAGGGGAGGGGAGGGGAGGGGGCCGGCGGGGGCGGGGGCGGGGGCGGGGGCGGGGGCGGGGGCGGGGGCGGGGGCGGGGAGGGAGTTGTGAGAATGGAAAGCAAGGTGGTAATATCGGTGGGTGGAAACATGAGACGCGAGGAGTAAGCGACCCTGGTTCCCACTCACCAGGCTCGACCGCGCGTTAATCAGCTCCGGACAATCCGCCAGAAGCGCTCCAAGCTCCTCCACGTTGTCGCGCCGGGCCGCGTTGTGCACAGCGCGAGTCGTGGCGGACCGACGCTGCATCGCGACGAATGCGGCGGGCGGGGCGGCAGCAGCTGCAGGAGATGCTTTAGCTACAGGAGCAGAAGTAGCGGCAGGCGTCGCAGGGCCGGCAGCATCGATGACGTCAGCAACCTGGTCAGCAGTCTCCGCCGCTTCCGCCGCATCAGCCGCTGCTCGCTCCAGGTTCAACGTGAGCGCAGTCGTCTCTGGTACCAGGCCCATCCTCGCCGCATTCTCCGCTAGTTCCTCCAATTTCCCCGCGTTTTCCGCCAGGAGCAGCACTCTCTGAAAATCCGCCGCTGCCGCCGCCGCCGCATCCGCCACAGCCGGACTACCAGGGGAGGCGGCCCCAGACCCTTCGGTGCTACTTAAATCCTCCGCTTCTTCGGAGCGAGTGGAGCTTAGACTAAGTAACGAGTTAGAGCTCCACTCAGAGGTAAGCGCCGCGGAATCCGACGTGCTTGTATCGGATAAGCTTGTATCGGAGGAGCACGAATCAAATGAATCGCTCGCCGGCGTCGTTCCCATCGCCGCAGCCGCTCGTACAACCGAGTCTTTCCACTCCATCATGGACTTCCCGGTCACCGGCAACGGTTCACCGTCAGATTCGCCGGCGACTGGCAACATTGGCGGCGGGGATGACGGCAGGACTGGCGATTGGAAAACCGGGGCGAACTGGCCCCAGGCCATGGCGGGAGTGAGTTTGGCAGATGCAGGGAACGAGAGGACAGGGCTGCGATCAGCATGCGTCCCCATTGGAACAGCCTGGTTTTACCTTGCGCGACGCAGGAGTTAATATAAGTCAGGCGTGTACACTATTACGCGTGGGGCGAAAACGCGAAAACGTGACAACGACTGACCTAAAGGGAGCCCGAGTTGAGTTAAAAGCTACAGGATGTTAGTCTATCTGCAGGTTCAGTATTAAATCGAAGCGAGAAGCCCATAAGCACTAAAACCGAGGGCTTGAGACAGTGATGAAGCTAATCAGAATTCTTTCTGTGGCATGGCCAACACGGATCAACGTTGAGGTTTGGCACAGTGACCCTTGGTGGTGGTAAGGGCAATAGGAGCCCAGGCCAGAGAATCAGAGTGACTTTAAGGGTGGAGTGGAAGGCTGGGAAAGCGACTGCTGCGGTGCGGAGTGGATGGCGAAGGTGGGGCAAGAAGCAGGGAACCCCAGGGTGGCGCCTAGGAAGACGGGGAGTTGATGGACGTGAAGGCCGGGGCGGAAATGGCGGTTGAAAGGACAGGGGACGGAAGATTAGTCAAGAAAGACGAGGCAGTCTGTCGGAAAAATCACAGCCCAGCACGAAGAAGGTAACCCCTGTGGGGAAAATAGCCTTGGGTTGCGCGTGCGAGCTGGGTGCCGGGGAGTGAGAGGTTGTGATGGGATGGGGTTACTGAGGTTGAAAAATATTCTTTATACGGTTGAGATAGATTCAATCTGGTACCGCTTGCATGGTAGAAATTTAGTGGAGGTACAGTTCTCTGGTAAGGCATGCTGATCACAACCCAACAGCCTGGATCCGGTTGGGCAGTGCGGGCAGGAAGAAGTTTGCTGCGGCTATCGCGTCACAACAACGAGGCCGTCAACTCTGAGTTGCGCCTGGTTACGATCGCAGCTCGTCGCTGATCAAAGCTTACCGTCGGATGGACGGATCGGACGAGAAGCACGCTGTGAACGAGGTGGAGCCGCGGGGCGTTGATATTTGTGCGATCCGGTCTGTCGTCTCACTGTACAGGTCGTGGTCTACAAGGGAGACCTTTGTGACGCAAAAGCAGGGCAACCAGCGAAAGTGGTCGGGCTGCCCGGACGACGTCGCGCGCAAAACAAGCCGAACACAATGACCTCATGAAAGATTGAACAACAACCGTCAGATTGCATCTTGTGGTTCAGTGTGATGTGGTAACGAGCCCATCACGGGGCTTGCGAAGCAATACGATTGGCTGTCATTGTTGTAAAAGGCTTTCAACGCGGCCAGCCCCCATTTTACTGTGCAGGAGCTTCCAAGCAGCCCAAGAAGGCGGTCCGGAACTTCGATTCGATGGTGGCGGCGTGACGGCCCGCATGTGTGCTTTGAGCGCATGGTGCCAAACGAAGGTGCCTGTAAATCGAGAACGTGACAACCGCGAGTCGAAAATATTCGCTAGCAGGAACCGCACATTTCGTCAACGATGTGACGGTGAATGAATTCATCAAAACATATTAAAGAATTTATGCATAAAAGCAGCTATGCTCTGTGAACGGCCACTGTACTGATTCAGACTGTGCCCTACTTGAACGTATAGGACCACGTTGAACTCCTGGAAATCATCTGTTAGGACAGCATATGTTCGCCCTATCTGCTGCGCCCTCTTGGGCCATGTTTTTGCTGTCATTAGCCAAGTCAAATCCTAAAGCAACCACTCGTGTAGTACCATACAATATCATCCTACATCACAAATCCGTGTTTTGGGAGCCCCTCTTAACAAGCAAGCACGCTAGCCTATACGGGTAACCCACAATATGTGGAGAGCAGCAGAGCACATAATCAGGCTTGTGTGAAGTCAGATTGAAAACCCCCGAGTCAAGCTCAATAGCGGTCACATCTAGCAGCACGTGCCAGCAGGTGCGCTGAGCCTCCGACACCCAGTGCAGGGAGAAGGTTTGGCCGTTTGCACACATGGGGTAGGCAAACAGACCCTGGAGAGGGATGGGTGTAGGGAGGAGGGGAGATGGGCAGGGGCATGTGGACAAAAGAGAGGAGGATTGAGGTGTGCTAATTTTCCTGTCAGGACAGGCTCTGATTATTTGTGACTGGCCAGGATGTTTCTTCATTCTTATTTGCAATACAAGCAAGGGCTGGGGTCACTGATTTGGATGACACGGGACCACCCTGGAATTTTCTCGTTGGTTTTGGACTATGTTCTCACCAAGTCAATAAAGTGTTGGCTGCCCAAATTGTGCAGCTCATGTTCACAGACGGGGTAAATAACCCTGAAAAAGGCTCACCTTGGGGTTGGCTTTGCTCTTGCGCCTGAAGTTGGTGCTGAGCTGGCTTCCCGGCTTCTGCAGGTCGAGCCATGATAGGGGCGCCTGGATCACCTTGGAGTCCTGTAGGGAGGAGAAAGAAGGACGGGGGGGTTTAGAGACCTCCGTAGGAACTTCTGCGGTTCATGCCATACGAAACGGGTCTTTGAATCACTTTGTCCTGCAGAGAGAGTTAGGTGAGGTGGGGGGAGTAGGGGAAGAGGACTTAAGGGCCAACCTTACCCATAAAATCACCTGAGGAAGAAAAGGAGGAAGGGAAGTAACCCACTTTGAGTGTAGCGAACATGCTGATGCTGTCATCAGACTGGTCCAGAGCGGCGAGAAACACGTTGTGGCGGGCGGTGGAAGGGGTACGCACGCCTCCTCAGCAACGAGTCTTGCAAGAGGTGCCAGCTAAAAAGCGTTGGACGTACCTTGTGTGTGGCGAACATGCTGATGCCTTGTGTGTGGCGAACATGCTGATGCTGTCATCCTTTTGAGGCGCCTCAAAAGTCATGCTGATGCTGTCATCCAGCTGGTCCAAGGCGGTGAGGAACACGCTGTGGCGGTGGAAGGGGTACGCCTCGGCCACGCCACGAGCACCATGGCCTCCTGCACGGAGGGCGTGAATACAGTGTGGTACTCCTCGCTCTCCACCCCTTGGGACGTACCTTATGAGTTGCAAACATGCTGATGCTGTCATCCGACTGGTCCAAGGCGGTGAGAAACACGTTGTGGCGGTGGAAGGGGTAGGCCTCGGCGACCAGCACCATGGCTTCTTGAACAGAAGGCGTGAAGACGATGTGGTACTCCTCGTTCTCCACACCGCACTGCTGCAGAATGCGCCTCCGCGCGTGCAGCTCCGTGACACTCACGCTCATGGAGAGGTCCAGCACGTCCCGGCTCTCCACCAGAATGTCCTGCGGGGGGGGAGTGGAAGGAACCAGAGAGGAGTGGGAGAATAAAGAGGCCCTCCGGTATGCAGCTTTATCACGCTCACGCTCATGGAGAGGTCCAGCACGTCCCGGCTCTCCACCAAAATGTCCTGCGAGGGAGAAGGGTGGAGGGAGGAGTGCAGCGAGGTGATGACAGAGAGGGAAGGGAGTGGTGAATCAGGTTAGCAGGCCTACAACAGGCTCTGTCACGCTCACGCTCATGGAGAGGTCGAGCACGCCGCGAATCTCCACCAGAATGTCCTGCGGGGGAGAGAGGGGTAGAAGAAGAGGAGGGCCAGGGAGGAGGGAGGGAGGGGATGCCCCAGTGGGAAGTGGAAACGCAGCGGCGCCATCCAACACAGGAAAGGGGGGAGGGGGGAGGGTGGTGATGGGCAGAAGGGATGGTGTTTGGGTGTACTTCTCCTCTCTCGTTACAAGCATCTTTGCCACTCTCTTGCACTTTTATTAACGAGGGATCATAAAGCTCCTCGTTTGGGACTATCCCTCTCCCTCTCCCCTCCTCCACTCACCCGCAGTCTGCTCGGATTCAGCAGCGCGCGCCCCGGCTGCGTGGCGGTGACCGTTCCCGACGGGACGAAGCGCGAGAAGAGGCGCGACTTGGTTTCCGACGGGGACGACGCGGAGAAGGACGGCGGAGGGCCGTTGCGCTGCATCATCATGCGCTGCTGCTCCATCTGCTGTTTCTGCTGCTGCATCTGCTGCTCCATCTGTTGCTTCTGCTGCTGCAGCGAGTCGCGCATCAGCGGAACCACGTTTCCTCCCGCTCCGCCCGCCGCCGTGGGACTGGCGCTGTGCGCGCGGAACTGCGGAGAGGCCGTTCCGCTGCTGCTCCCCCCCGCGCTCACGGTGCTGTTACTCCTTCCGAAGACCGCGCCCGGTCCGCCCATTCCGACGTATCCCCCTTCCCCCTCCGCGTCCCCCTCGTCATCCATCGCAAGAAGCTCCGCCATTGGAGACAATCCCCCGCCGCGATACCCGCCGCCGTCGGGCTCCTCTAACACGCACGGCATGGGGAATCCGAGCCCTACGATGCACTCCGTGAAAATCGCCGGGTAACGCGCTTTGACGTAGTCTTCGACGTAGCGCATCTCGTTTTCCGAAATCGGCGCGGACCAACGCACGTCTAGCGCCGGCTCGCCCTTGTTGCCGCGAAGCGCGGCCATGGCTTCCGCGACAATGTGCGGAGGAATCTCGACGCGGCCTTGGCTAATCTGCGGGAGAGGAGAGGGGAGAGAGGGAGGTGATGATGATGATGAGACTTTTTACAAGACGCCGATGTGCGGAATGCCAATGTGAAGCGCGGCCGTGGCTTCCGCGACAATGTGCGGAGGAATCTCTATTCGCCCTTGACTAATCTGCTCAGCGTGACGGACAGCGGGGGAAAGAGCGGGGGAGGGGAAAAATAAGGGGGGCAAAAAGAACTAAACACACTTGAAGAAAAGAGGGGGGAAGAGGGAAGGGAAAAAATTAAACGAAAACCGAAGAAAGAAAAGTGCTGAAAAGGGGAGGACGGAGGATTCGGGAAACTGAGGTATGAAGGAGTCCAAAGCGTAAGGCATGTGCCGCCACTACGGATTCACGTCGTCGAGCAATTCTGATTCCTAAAAATTGGTCCGGACGCGATTGATCATAGTTCGTTCCAACAAAACATGCTAGAGTATAAATTCGGAGCTAACGATTGAAGTCGAATCAGAAATGGCCTCCTTACCACGTCGTCCATGATCAATGAATTTGACAACGAACCGCCTCGACGCTCCGAACAAACAATTGTCTTCGGTAGGTACCAACGGAATGAACTTGAGACTTCGTATGCTTTCAACCGCAATGCGTTGCGTAGTTTTTGAGTCGACTAAAAAACACGCAATGCGTTGCGTAGTGCTTGCCCCAGGATTGCAATGGCGACCGTTGATATCGGGGTTGAGTCAGCTTTGCTTGGCATAACTGTGCGACCAGAATAATGGCGAGCGCCAATCAGAACTCTCTTGGATGACCAGCGACTCGAGCGTCGCGTTGTGATGGATTGTAAAGTTCCGCCATCACGTGCGTCGCGTAATAGCGTCGCGTAATGGCGTCGCGTAATGGCGTCGCAGAGGCGTAGCATAATTGATTTGCCGCGTACTTGCGACGAGTACTTGCCTGTCCTGACGAGCTCTTGTGTGGATCCGCAGCCGCCATTTCAATCGATTATCCCCTGGTGTCGTGTCGTGTCGTGTCGAGTCGCGTCGCTGGTTCGTCGAAAACGCTGGCGCGAGACAGCAAGGGGAAGAGTCGAGAGATGATTCACGAGTTACCGCACTTGACGGGGGATACCACAAACCGACCCAGGTTCAGAAACAACACTATGCAAAGAAAACGCAGGAAGTGATCCACAGCAGAGACTGGTCGGAAAAGGAGTTTCAACCTTCAACTTGTCCCGTTCTGCTGCTGCACGAGGAGGTTCAAAAGAAAGGACAACTAGACAAAACTTTCTATGCATGACTTTCCTGATGCATGCACCCAAGTTCTTGCAAGCAAGAATGAACGAGGTTGCAAACGCAACTACAGTACAGTATGGTGGGAGTGGGAGTTGTCTCACGCCCCACCACTTCACTGCTCGTCACTTGGCATGGCCACATTCAGATTTTGCTGCCCTTCTGGCTGTCTTCTGTTTTTCTGAGTGCATTCGCTAAAATTCTCGTAAGGCACACATAGCTTCATGCCGGAAAACCCAGCGACGAAGGTCAGAGCGGATGATTATACAAAGTATCTGCTGGTGGAAACACCATGGGGTGCAGATAACGTAACCAGAAAGAGAAGTGAAGGTGTGGGAGCGAGAGAAGGCAAAATTCAAGGGAGGATGGACTCGAAACGAAACCTTCAAACAGATTCATCAGGTGTCGATTGGCATCAATATACACCGACCAATCCACCCACCGCACACCAGACGCAGTGTCGATTGGGTGTCACTCCCGCCATCAACTTCGATGGACGCAGGAGGAGAATCGTATCAGGTCTCCAAGAGTGACTGCCACTGCTACTGGCACCGCACTAAATCAGTACTTCGGGGTAGAGTACCCCGAAACAAGCCGGTTTATTTGGTGCACTAACCCTGAACATTGAAGGGCTGGAAGGGCTGAACATTGACAGTTTCAAGTCTGTACACACATTTGGGACATGGGAGGGAGCAAGTGGGTGGGGTTTGTTGTAGCAGATCAAGTGAGTGGCAAAACGGCCAATCCAATTATCCAACCATGCAATTCTGAGCATAATGTTTGTTTGTTTGTTTGTTTGTTTGTTTTGGATTTGTTGTCAAATGGTGGGTGAAAATGTGTCGGAATAAATACTAGTATCAAAATATGAGTATGAATGGACAATTGGAACATATGTAATCACGGTATAGTATTTTGTTGAGACAGACAAGCTAACATGATATGATGAAAAAGGATATCATTACTGATGTACCATAATAGCATGATATATCGACATAGATTTTACCGCCACTTTTAGGATTGGAACATACAATATATGTACTCTGTAGCACGTATAGTGAAATCAAGTCTGGTATCCTATGGCGAGCTGTCTTGATTCTTCCCAACGAGAACAAGAATTCACGTGGCACCCGCTTGGACATACTGGCGCTCTGCCGTCGGATGCACATCGGAGATGGAAGAATATCCTCTATTCAACCAACCAGCGAGCATTGGGCTTCTCATCCCACGTCAGGCACACAGATCCGAAGTACTTCTCACGAGAGCATCGGGTCATTTGGTGTCTTTGCGCTCATCACCCTACTCAGCCGCTTTGCGTTACCATTTGACTGCCTGGAAATTCAAAGAAACGTACAGGACCGCATCCAGCCTAGTCCCTGAAAGGGTCGGATCCTAATCTGATCAACACTCGAAGCCAGGATGCTTTTTCTCAGAGCCAGCACAGTTTCTGAGGCACTGTGTTGACAAATCTTCTTAGTTCCTAGTTCTCAGAGCCAGCACGGTATCTAACTTATATCCCGCTTGCAGTAGACTCGAGTAAGCTTGAGCGACTCTCGTCGTTCGGGATTGCTCGTCGTCAACATCGTTCTCCAGCGACATAATTCTCAGTTATGGCGTTGTGCCTGCGAGGAGGCGTTTCCGCTGTCACTGTTTCCGTCAATCTCGTCAAGTACGATGAAGCGGGCATTGTCCACTTTAGACGTTGTGCAACATTACTGAAGCGAAATTTGGATTACTCAAGTTCTCCATTATCGCCAACGACGTTAATAACGACGAAGCGGACACGGACCGCAATGTATCAGCGCGATCTGTAACCATATTCACACTGGAGTTTCCGTAACCTGAAACGCGTCGTCCCTGCATTAGGTGTAATCTACTTCAACACGTATGCCTTGTTAGGTTTGTTCACGTTTACAATGTTCAGCTGATTATCGTAATTCTTTTCGCTCCATATCCTCCTTCTCCCACCAGGTATGAGCCTGCCAACCGCCCCTTCCCGTCTCGCCTGCAGCTGCATTCCTCACAAATCTGCAAACCTTACCTGACAAATCCGCTGAAAAGCCGCCTGACAAACCAGGCGACTGGCCAGCGCACGTCCAGCTGGGTCAGAAACAGTTTCATGTCTGAAAACGGGGGTGGTGAGTGGGACGAGGAGGACGAAGAGGAATTCGAGGAAGACGACGAGGAGGAGCATTGGGAAGAGGAAGAGGCGGAAGAGGAGGAGAGGGTGGAGACGGTCCAAGTTCAGGCGAGGTTGTATGAGGACTCTTCAGGATACAGCGAAGGGGATGAGCATCAGGCGGAGGAGGAGAAGAAACAGGAGAATCAGCAGCAGCAACAGCAGCCGCTGCAGTGGCTGGCAGAAGGAGCTGCTGCTGCTTTGAAGGGAGCCGTGGAAGGGGGTGCTCTGGCTGCTGCCGTGGGGGCTTTGCTGGAGGCGAGTCAGCCTGCGGAGGAACATTCGGAGAGTGACGCGCGGGAGAAGGGCGAGGAGTATTCTGCTACCATGCAGATGGCCATGGGGAACACAGGTGCGTGTTTAGCCTGATGTGCTGGAGGCGAGTCAGCCTGCGGAGGAGCATTCGGAGAGTGACGCGCGGGAGAAAGGGGAGAAGTATTCCGCCACCATGCAGGTAGCCATGGGGAACACAGGTGCGTGCTTGAGCCAGCTCACAAGTCGCTATGCATATTGCTGCCATGGATGCTTTCTGAGTCAACCGCATATGTACACCTCGTCCTCACCTCACCCCTCCCTGTCTTTCTCCCTCTCTCTGCGTATGCCCTCCCACACTCCAATCATCGCTCCAATCTGATCTGATCTGATCTGATTTGATCTGATTCTATTTTATCTGATCCTGGCTCTCAGCGCTGGTCTACCGCCATGAGCTGGGCATGAACTATGCGCGCGTGCTGCCCAACCTCCTCGTGGGCTCCTGCCTGCAGGCGAGTGCCCTTGCTGCTTATCAGTCTGCCTTTCCTCCATCCCCACCCCACTTTTCCCTATTGCAGTTCCATCCCACCCCTTTCCCCTCGTGCCTTCCCCCAACCCCCCTTTCACCTAGTGCTTTCCCTCTCGCCCTTTTTCCCTACTGCCTTTGTCGTCAAATTCTCCCTCTGAATTTGCTCCTTTCCTCATCCTTCCTCTCGCCTGTCGCCCTGCCCATTCGTTCTCCGTCAAATCACGCCCCTCACTCTTCCCTCGCTTAATCGCCTTAGTTATCCACACCGTCCTGCCGTCAGTCCCCTCTGGACTTAGTCCCTCTGCATCAGAAGTCCCCTCGCTGCCCTCTACTGCACTCCGTTTACCCCTGCCACCTGTTACAGTCACCATTGGACCTCGACCACCTGCGGGATGTGGAGGGTGTGGGTGCGGTGCAGTGCCTGCAGCGCGACTCAGACCTCGAGTGAGTGGTGCTGAGAGGGCCTTCAAGAGAGAATTCAAACGGCCGCGTTGAATGTTGAGGGCGATGTTTGGAAAGCGACTTGATGGGGTCGGTAAGGAGACCAGGATCACTGTATGGCTCTTCACCTTGGAATCACCACTTTCACCTGTGGAGATCCTGGCTCATGCTAGCATTCTGGATTTGCTTCAACCTGAATCTCTCTCCACCGTACCATACCACCACACCCACACTCACCCCACCCCAACCACCCCACCCCCTGTTCCCGCCAACCCCCCTTTTTTCCACTCACGACTGCGTGGGGTACTGGCGAAGGCTGATTTAACCTATGCATGCGCGCGTCTTTTTCCCTGGCAGGTACTTTGATCTGGATATTAACCCTATCATTGAGCGGGCGGCAGAGCGTGGTGACATTCGGCATTTGTGGACGGAAATCAGGTACGTCTAGTGAGTGAGAGTGGTTCGAATCGAAAAGTGGGTGCGTTTGACCTTTTCGATGCAGCTGCCCAAAGGCTGTGGCAGTGCTGCAACGTACCCATCTGCGTTCCCATCTTCCCATCTCCTGCCTATTCCCCTCTCTCTCTCCATGCTCTCTCTTGCTCCCTCTCCCTCACCTCCCAGGGACTTTGACCCATTTGACCTGCGCATGCAGCTGCCAAGGGCTGTAGCAGCGCTGCACAAGGCAGTGAT